TTACAGTACACTTTGGAAGTATCATTGGCGATGCGTCATAGACGAGGAGCCTTGGATAGCTTCTGCTGCTATCAACATGGTCCGTCAAGACCATGGTACACTCTTTTCTTCTCTTTCTTTGGCAAGTGTTCAAGCTGGCACCTTGGCCCTGCCTGTAAACTCTGTATAAATTATAAACCTTAATGCTAATAAAGATACACTTTAATACAAAAAAAAAACTATGGGGGCTCCTTCGCTTATACATCACTTTTCAAAAAGTTTTTGTTTTCGCCAACTTTGAACGACGATATCTCAACAACTAGGAAACATCCATCTTGCATCCAAGTATATTGAGATACATTTATTCCAGCTCTACAACATATCTTGATTTCAGATCGATTCAGCATTTTTTCGACGAATTCAACATTTTCACTATTTTTTACAAAAGTTACACTCCAGTTACAAGTTACACTCTATGTCAGTCAATTCTGAAATGACTTGGGCTGAACGTGCATCTCGTGGTTCTACCATGAGATTCTATCAGCCGTCCAAGAGGCGCTCGATGGAGGCCGCGACTTCTTCTTACCCTTTGGTGGGTTCTGTGATGTTCGAGGATGATGATTTGAAGAGTCAAATCTTGCTAGTAAGGCAATGGCGATTGTGCAGCAGGCACTTACTTCTGGTTCAGTTCTCTTTTCTTTCCGTAAGGGTTTGTTTGGTGATCGTGTGGATGCGTATAAGGTAATTCAAACCCAGGTGTCTTCTCTGGTGGAATTTCGTCCTTTAAGTGTCTACGATGAAAAGAACGATGGTTCTTTGCTTATTGAAGCCAAGTTCGAGGAGGTGGATGATGCGAACAAGGCTATGACAACTGGTGTTAACGTGAATGGCATGGTGTACAAGGCTGTTCACGCCAAGGAATGCAAGGAGTTTGGTGATTTGAAGTTTGTCCAGTTTACTTTGATACGCATCGTCAAAGAACCCACCTTTTTGCATGATTTGATCAAGTCTTTGTCGTTTTATGGTCGTGTCCTGCAGGTGAAGAAGTTCACTCGTGGTGGTTTCTTTGAGGGCAAGTTTTCGGTGATGGTGGATACCTCGGTGGGATATCAGGTAGAGGGTGGTGAGTGGCAGGAGGCTCAACCTCTAGATAGAATGCTCTATCTCAGCGAGTTTGATTGCTTTGTCGCAGCGACATATAAGGGTGCTCCACCTGTTTGTCATTTCTGTCGTCATAGTGGTCATGTCCGCGCTAAATGTCCTGAGTTGCTCCAGCGTAGATGTTATGGATGTGGAAAGCATGGTCACATGTTGCGTTTTTGTCCTAATAAGGAGGATCAATCTGGTGCCAAGAAGCAAAAGGTGGATCATCAACTGAAGGATTCGGAGGAGGTCACTGAGGCACGTCGACAGACGGTGCATTTGATGGATTTCGTTGCTAAGGCAAAGCTAGGAGCAGGTAGGGAAGTGGAAGAGAAAGTGGAAGAAGAAGAACTCGAGTCTGTAATAGACGAAGAGGAAGAATCTCTTCAGGGTGTTGTTGATGGTGTTGACGCGTCTGAAAATGACAAGTCCACTAAAAGTGATAATTTGGAGGTGCAAATGGAGGGTCTTCAAGGTGAAGATCATCAGGATAAGTTACACGGAGATGATGCTATGGAAGAAGATGATGAGATCGTGCTTGCTGGTAGTGGGGTCAAGAAGCTTCCTGATGTGCGTGGCTCTGCATTCTCGAAATACGCTTCTAATGAGGTGGCTCTTACTATGAATGTTGACTCACCAGAGGAGATGATGGGTTTGTCTAAGCTAAAGGAGGCCTCTCAAAGAAAGCGAATGGAATTGAATGCCAATTTGAAGGCTGTGAATGGTGCTGGTGTTGGTGCTCCTGGTAACAAGTCTGCTGGTGCTGTTGGTGTCAAGAATAGCAAGAACAATGGCAAATTGCCTCTCAAGACTAAGCAAGACGCCCGTAGGGTTCAATGAGTACAAAATTAGGCATCAAGATTGGCTCCTTGAACACGCGTAGCTTGTTCATGCAGTCTAATCCTACAAATTTCAAAGAGTTTACATCTTATCTTCGCTCCTCCTCTCTCCATCTGGATATCCTTTGCTTGCAAGAGGTATCTCATTTCCGCTCTCAATCTACTCTCACCGAATCTCAAGTCCGTTCCTTTTCTTTTGCTTTTCCTAATTGTTCTCTCGTTGTTTCAAAGCATTGTGCTATTATATGTTTCAATTCTCGCTATTCTTTAGTGGATACGGAGGTATTGTTGGATGAACGTTGTCTTGTTGCATCTGTCGTAGATGCCTCAAGCAATGTTTTGTGAAAAGTGGCCAACATCTATGATCCAGCGCAGTCTTTTGACCGTCCTTTGTTTCTTTCTCTTTCGCACTATGGTCTAGCTGATGTTCCCATTGGAACATGGATGTGCTCGTTTAGAAACATCGGCAATCTTAAAGATCTATTATAAGTCGATCGATGTTCTCATGCCAACATCCGAAATGTTCCCGTATGAGCATATCGATTTTCAGAAATTTGAAAAAACGAATGCTTCCTACCGAAGTCGAACCTACAATGTACCGTTTTCTGAATTATCATTCTTCTATTAAACGACCCGAGTAACTTATTCATGTCATGATGGAAATATGATTTGATAATTTATGGTGTGTTTAGCTATTATTGAAAAACAGTTATAGTCGTGATAATGCATTAGATAACAGTTTGTAGTCATTGCTTTAAGTTGAGTAGCATCGATAACTAGGGTACGTTTGAATTGAAAAGAGTACCAATACAAAAAGAAGAAGCAACCACTCTCGTACCAAAATGCAAAAAGAAACAGGAATAAAATGATAAATCAGCGTAAATATTAAGTGATGTCGTTCAGTTTTGTTGATTTAGAAGTGTGCATACTTTATTTACCGTATAAAATATATGCGTCAGATACTCTGTAATGTATAGTGTCAAGTAGAATATGAAAAGAACAAGAAAAGAGAAGGAGTCCATCAGAACATGTACATTCTTTCATTATTTTATAGTGAAAAATCTCCCTTTCACAGTCATGAATAAGGTACTTTTTTTAAGCTCATCATGAAATACTGGCAAAATGACACACATTTCGTTGAAAATATGGAATAGAGCTACTATATGGGATTTTTTTTAGCCTTACTAAGTGCTTCGAAAATATGATGCTCACAACTGCCCTTAACTTCAAGTAATGGCATTGGGTACTATGTTTTATCTTTTTTTTACAATATTCAGTGATTTTTACAGTGTATTTAATGTGGGGCAGTTTACATTAGGCCACATAATAAATGTTTTTTATATAATATTTGATTAAAAAGATATATTGTAATGAGTGGAATAAGCTGGAAACTGACGAATGTAATTCATAACATGTTATTGGAAATTTGTATCAACATCCGGCAGTTCTACCATTAAAATTGAAAGAGTCATTAAAGAGTAAATGTCTGGACACTCTACACACAAAAAGTATAGCTGTATATTACAAAGAAGACATTGGGAGCTCAATTCCACATGAACCAGTGATCAGAGTCACTCAAAACTTTATACGCTTACTCTTCCGATACTGCTCTTCTAATAATCTTAAAATAAAAATCCAGCAATTAGTTTTGGGTTGTCTATAAATTATGGAAAAAACTTGTATAAAATAGCAAGATGAGAGACTCAATCTTCGGATTTAGAATTCTGAAAATGCTACATCGGCAGTTCTGGATTATTTTGTCGACGTACTTTACTAGAGAAAGAAACTTTGAATCGTATTATTGTTTTCTAATACGACCGGGAACTACTGGGGCCTGTAGTGGCCGGCGTCGCTTTTTAAAATTAGCGTTACAAAATTATTTTACCATTGTAACAAACTGTCGTGTTTAAACTTAGATTTAAACCAAATTTGAAGAAAGCGACTAAAAGACGCCAGCGTACACTCGAAGGTTCTGGAAGCTGATATCAGACATCGATCTGATTATCAGCTGCTATATTAAGTACTATGGCTACTCGAAAATTCCATTGATTAATTATCAATCGTAGAATTAGTATAAATATAAGTTGTGAATGCATTCAATAAACAGCATATTCCAACATAATCTCAAGATATTCATAGTTACACTCTAAGTAGTCACTGCAACTTTTTGAAATATTACCCTCTATTACCCTGGGGGTAAAAGACATAATAACCTCATAGTGGCAGTAGACATACTACTCAGGAACTTAATGAAGTGAGAAAACCGTACTCAGAGTAACCTACCAGTTGAATACCACTAAAGCCAACCTGTCGATTTTCTTTTTCACATAAAATTTGTAGTGATTTTTTCTTTCCATGCATAGTACAACGCGATATTTAATTCGACTCTCGGAAGCTCAGAAGATGTCAAGCAAATAATACTTTTTTACTTCAAATCGAAACAACTGTCAATTGCATTTGTGGTGGGACGAAATCAAGAAGAGAATAGCATCAGTAATACAGGCGAAAAATACAGCTGCGAAAATCAAGGAGAGAGCTCTGCCGATGGATATCTCCTGTAGTAGCTCCAGGTAAGGAAACTTTCTCGCAGAGTTTCTCAGTCTTATTTCGAGCACTAAGAAAATCAGGCGCTTATATATAGGTATATCTGCACCTCTTGTCAAGTATAAATACCATGTCCCTTCCCCACTTCATCCTTCCTAATTGTGAGTTATCTTGTATATCTTTTTGTATTCTAAGATAGTCATTTTACTAGATAAATAATTATAACCCAAGTTCAAACTCTTGACATTATAATCCACCACCCAACCCCCTTTACGTTTCCCAAGTTTTGCCCCGTCCATCAAGACCAAGCCCCCCCAGACTCTTTAAACCCTGCTGGAAATTTTGACAACTAGATGGAAGATGCCGCTTTCTAAAGAACAAGCTCAGACCCTTCACGAAGTGATTTCGCAGTTTCGCGGTTTACAAGAATCCTTGCCTGGTCAGCTACAAGAAATTCGTGACATTGTTCGCCTCCAGTAGCAACAAATCAACGCAATGACAAATAACAACGCTCAGCACAATGAACCCAGTAACAGCAAAGTCCGCCTCCCCAGCGCTTTCAATGGTAAATCAGACCAATGTAACACCTTTTTCTCGCAATTGGCAGTCTATTTTGCAGCCAACCCAAGTTATAACACAGATGGACGCAGAGCTATGCTGGCTATCTCATGCGTTACCGGTCCGTTATTTGCCTTTTTAGAACCATTCATCGCACAAATGGACCAACTACCAAAGCCTAAAATTCTAACCAACTATGCTATGCTTAGTTCCGATTTGATCAATGCTTTCAGCGATTCCAACCCAGTTATCACAGCAGAAACCCAGCTCCGAAGTCTTCATCGGGAAAATCTGCCATTTTCTATCTACGCCACAAGATTTAGGATGTATGCCCAGCAAGTGGAATGGAACCACTACGGTCCAACTAATGTTCTCAAAGAACATGGATGTGCTCTTTTGAGAAGGTGTAGTTTTCCACATGAATAAAATGGTCTGAATAGCTAAACTATAATACTGTAGGCAACAGAGAGACTTTTATTATCTGTAAGATTCATAAAATTATTAAACGTATTATAAATTGCACGAGAAAATGGCAATTTAAAATTACCTAATAACTACTTATTAAAGTAAAAGAGTATATTTCAATAAGATATTCGAGTAGCTAGTGGGAAAAACGTCAGATCCACAACCGATAGGTTGTGGGTTCGACTGATGTAGGAGCATTCTTTTTTTCAAATTTCTGAAAATCGATGTGCTCATATAAGAATATGAATGTGCTCACATGGGAACATTTCGGATGTTCTCATAAGAACATCGGCCGACTTATAATAGATCTTTAGGAACGCCGATGTTCCCATATGAGAGTATTTTTTACCTTTCGGGAACATCGATGTGCTCATTTGAGAACATCAAATAGATTCTCAATGAGCACATCGATGTTCTCATGAGAACATCAGTTGGGCCGTAGTGGCTCAAGAGTGTCGACCAATGATGTCTTCAAAATATCAACATACAAGTACGAGTTTACTGAGCCTTCAATAATGGTAGTACTATAACCAGGCCCCTCCGCTGTTATACAACTCCAGAACATGACTCCACCGTCATTTCCCTGCACTTGAGGTTTGACTTGATGAGGCTGCATAGTTCGGTCACCATTCGTCCGAAAAAAGAATTACCATCTGAACCCCAAAGGTTTATTCTTGTTTCATCCGAAAACATCCAACGACGCCAATCAGCAATAGTAAGATGCCTATGCTTTTTAGCCCACGCCAATCGAAGCCGCTTGTTTGTCTTGCTAACAAATTTTGTCTTTACTTTTCTACGAGATTTAAGTCCATTTCGTCTCAATGACTTGCGGATGCCATTAATTGACATATCATGGCCCATTGATCTTAAACTTTCTTGTGCTGCTCGGGGATTATCTAAAGCACCTGATCGAAGTCCTCTTGACACTAGGGACATAGTTTTAGCACCAAGTTTTTTCGGTCTTCCGCCAAGAGGTCTAGCTGGATCAGGGCAATAGAGTTTTCTGAGCCTTGTAAGAGTAGAGTTACCCACTCCTGGATACAAATTTTTTATCTTTGAGAACGAAAGACCACGTTAGAGCAAAGATTGGAGAGTGTTGCGCAAATCTTGTGTTAAACGAGCAGGCATAATGAAAGTTTTGAAAAAAATATGAAGAAACTAGCCTCTTTTATACTTTTAGAATGCCCCTCGGGTATTAAATCCTGAGCATACCGCGGGTAGTTTTTTAGATCTCTTCCATACGTTTATTGGAAGTAAAGATATTAACCATTTTATATCATCTAGAATTATCCAACTAACATTTTTGCCACGTCTCACTTTAGCTGGTTATGGTGGGATTAAAATATAGTCCAGCCATAAGGTTTTTATGTTGCTGTAATCCCTATAAGCTGCTCTATCGAACGCAGTATGGGGTAGATTTGTTTTCTGAGCTTTGGCAATATGCTGGGTAAAAGTCAAGATTATTTGAACGAACGGGACAGTTTTTATCCATTGTTATAGTATATAAGAAGGATCATCTACCTGGCCAGTAGAGATACTTCAGTTTACTTTACACCTGTCAGTTTGATAATAAAACATACCTTTATCAAATTGACTTTACTGTTTTTATTTTTTTTCCGTGTATTTTAATCTATAAAGCCTCAAATTCCACACATGGATTGATAATCGACCTACCTAATATTTGGAACTCCGAGTGGATAATGGAGACTACTTGCGCTACATGAGGCTTTCTTATGCGACGTTCTCGAGATTATTCCAAATTGTGGGTTTCAGTTATTACCGATTTTGTGACTTTTCAAAAGACCTCACAATAATGTCCCAATGTACCTAATGACTTTGGCCAATCACAGCTTGTGCTCCTACAGCTATATGCTTGTACAAATTAAACGATATAAAGAAAACAGGTTTAGCTCTCAGAAAATACTAACTTCATTATTATTTTTTTTGGAGGTTCCAAAAAAAAATTGGGTTCCCAGCAAAATTGGAACCCGATTGGGGTGATAATTTTTGTTATCAGCCAATACTTTGTCAAATAACAATTGTTATTGATCTTTGGGTCCCAGTTTTTGTTCTAAGTATGTATATTTGACATTTACATAAAAAAATAGTAGGATTTAGTACATTCTAATGATATGTGCGTTATCCAAGGCCTTATCATAAGAAATATATGTATTCTTCTGGTTATTAACATCTGAAAGAACTTTTTTTTTCGCTTTTAGTTTGTACTTATGTTCCTGAAATTTAACCAATTTTCTGATGAGCAGTAATTTGGAATTCGGTTTAAACCAAGCATTAGGCTGTCATTGATGCAAATTATCATACCATTTCCGTTTTGATGCGTAGTAGTTTCTAGATACTCGTTTTGAAACCAAATTGAAAGTGTATAAATACAGCTTGCTTTGCAGTATTTCATCTCTCAGTAATATTTTAAGTAACAAGACTATATATTAACAAGAACAATTAAAAATGCCTCCCCGCCAACAAGAACCAGGAACAAGCTCTCAGTCAAGAGACACAAACCGCCAATTATCTGTGAATGTATCACCCGATGCGCAGTTGATAAGGGACCATATTCCTCATTTCGCAAGCTTGATTGACAAGAAACATCAGAAGAATCAAGCAGGTACTGGCGAAGACCTTTTGCAAAATTTGTGGAGAACAGCGGCCGCATATCAGAAAGAGTTTTGGACCAAGAGGAAATGTCTACTAAAGACAAAGCCTATCAAGATATCCAAAAGGCCCGCGGATACAACACTTCCAGATCCTATTTATTGCGCAAAGCAAGTAGAATTTCTTCGGTTTTGCGAAATGCGCTATGCGAATCGACCTCTCGCTACACGCCACCAGGCAACTGGCGACAAGCTACTTGTGTTTTTGTATGAAAAGGTAAACAAAAAAAACTCTTTAAAGAAAAAAACGATAAAGAAAAAGCACTTAAAGTTAAACAAATATGTAAAGGTAATCAACCGTCAAGTTCGAAAGCCTGGTACAAAACATATCAAAGCACTAGGCAATAGTGCTGAAGAAGAAGTTAGCGAAATCAACAAAACTGACGCACTATACAAAAAATTGTCCTACAGCATTTGCAATGTATACGTTTCAGCAACAATGGATCTTTGGAACTACCAGCGATTAATGGGTAGCAACAGCAACGAATTTCCCAGGACCAAAGTTATCACGCAGCTTCTGAAAGTAGTTCGAATGAGAGAAGCAAAAAACAATAGAGAAAACAATGTCGATCGTGCTACGTCCTCTATGGCGAATGGCTATACAACCAAGGAAGAAGTAATGACCATTTCAAAGTGCATTTACAGCAATGGAGAGAATTTTTACAAGTATAGTTTTGGAAACGTGGTTGCATTTTTGATGTCTCACTATCTGTTGCTTCGAGGAGAATCTGTGAGAAATATCGAGTTTGCAGATCTACATTTTCAAGAATTGGCAAAGGTGCAATCCGATGGCAGCTACCCAGCTATGTTAATGATTTTTAATCAAGGAAAGACAAAGAAATTCAACAAGACCCAGACAGGCGCATGTATGCGTAACAAATCAGTCGAGATATGCCCATTTATGGCGATGAGCTTCCATTTCTTTTGGAGGTGGCATTGTGAGAAGGAGCCTTTCCCTGATATGAGCGCAAACGGAAACTGGTTTAAGCTTCGTGTAGTTTATGGGGCTAGGCCCCAGTCAGCAAAAGTAGAAAAGAAGAAAGGAAAAGAGCCAGCCAGAGGTAAGCTTCAACTGATTATTTTGTAATAGCAAATCGAGTGTTCACTTTTTAATTGCGATTATTTTATTTTGAGTAGATGACGAAGATGATGCCTCAAGCGAAGATGAGCAGGAAACCATAAGCATCAGTCCATATGAATGTTCGATCTCAAAGACAACTCATACCAGCAGGTTCATGAAAATGGACTTTCTGCAGCAGACATCTTTGTAGCAAAAAAAGCTACTCATGTTCCACGGGGTTCTGCTTCAAAAATGGCCGATTTACTTGGGGTTCCTTCACAGCAGATTCAACGAATGGGTGGTTGGAACACTGATACTATGTCAAACTCCTATCTTGATTCTCTTCCTCGCCAATTCATGCGCGTTATGACCGGCTTTGAAAGCGATGCTAGCTATTACTTGCCTAGGGCTATAGAGGAGCCATGTGACAGATTGAAGCAGTTGGTGTTTCCCTGGGTTGACTATTGGTATGATCGACATTCAAGCGGGACAGTTCAAGAAACTTCTGGTTCAGCCGACAAGTTTCTGCTTTTGATTAAATGCTTCAAGACGACTTTCTTACAAGACGCAGCTGTGATGATGGACATAATACCTGAACACCCTATTTGGAGACACGAAATTTTCAGAAACCCACTCTTTCTAGAATTTCAAAGGTATAAAGCCTTTTTTTTCGAAATGAAAACTGTGTGTCTGATCTTTTTGCTTTGTTTATAGAAAAGCAAAAGCTCACGTTGAAGAAAGTGAAGTGCCTCATTCATTAATTATTGAAAGATTTGCTCCTGAAGTACAAGAGCAGCTTTCCAACATCAACCGAAGTATAGCAAATACAATGCGAGAATTGAATGAACGTCAAAAGAAGTCGGATGAAATCCAGCAGCAAATGCAAAAAGTGTTTGACAATATAGTCACCGGAAAGCAGCTACTGCAACTGTCTTTTAGGATGGACCAAGAGAACCAAGCAGTAGCGACAACAGGCGCTGTCGCAAATACCTCTGCCTTGCCAAGATCAGAAGATGTATCGCAATCAAAACAATTTTCGGAAGAAGCCCAACAAAGCCCACCACCACCAGATTACAACAACACCGCAGTTGCAACTATTTCACTTCCATACAATCAAGAGGGTGTACCGTTATACAAAATGAATCGACAAGTGACAACTGTGTGTGATCTTTGGGACGAGTGGACAATAGGTCGAGATGGATTCTGGTCTGTTCAAGAATTAGAAGACAAATGGGGCGCTAAATGAAGAAAAGACGACAGAAAATGGTTCAATATCCGTAAAAAAATCACTGATTTTGTTGAAGGCCTTCAGCTGGATCTTGGTCTCTCCCCCGCTGTAGGCGCCTTACAAAAGGTGCTCAACACTCGCCACTGGTCTTTGGATCACTTGGGCACCGAGCTCCAAAAAGGCGCTTTTTTCCTTGCGAAGAAACGAAAAGAAGAAAATTACAACACTTCTAGTTGAGCCTCTTTTACCATCAATAGTTGCATTTTCATTAATAAATATTTTTTTTTCCTGTGGATTTTGTAAATATCGCTTAAAATGCGTTATATAAATCTGGGTCCCAAAATAGCAGGGAACCTCAAATGGCACCCACTACTGAGAGTTGGTAAATAATCCTTTATTATTGGATAACCTCTCGTCCGGCGGCAAAATCTGAAAGTTAAAACTGCTAAACATTGGGAGAGTTTTGTGGGCCACTGTACATATTACCTTGTTGGGTAATATATATGAGGAAGTTATTTTACTATTTGCTGCTTCAGTTTGATTGAAAATGTATTCAACAGTATCTATGTATCATTTAAAACTTAGTTCAACTTTCAAGCTTTCGAAAGCGTCTGTTTCCCAATTTACAAAGCTCTCCAAAAATTTATCATCTACCTGCAAAAAGAATATTCGTAAATTACCCCTAGGGTAATATAGGGTAATATTTCAAAAAGTTGCAGTGAAATCGAGATGGAGCCAAGTAGCTAACAAAAAAATACACACTTATCAACTTGTCGTGCCTGTAGTAAAAAGGGGTTAAAAAAAGCAGGTAGAATACTGTTAAAATCCTTCTTTATTCGAAATTAGGATAATGTGCAATAAAATGTATATTCTACGTCTCTATTTATATTATTTGGTTTATATCTCTTATCTGGCAGCAGTTTAGTAGTTGCCAGTGATTCCATTACATTATATATTTTTGTTGGGTCATTTAGTTGTTGATCTGATGGATCAAGAACGGTATTTCAATATATGGTTTTTGAATCACGCGTAAAGAATAGCTCTTTATTGTTGAGCCTGTATCCTTTTTAGGTATATTTATGTTACAACACATTACAATACCCTTGACATTTACTTTAGTATCTGTCATCTCTTATTTTAGAGCATTTAACCCTTGCTATCATCATGCTAATACTATTATTATGCATGCCTATCTGCTGATGGTAGCATGGTTTGATTGAGATGACATTTATTTTGGGTTTTGTTTATGATGGGAATCTAGTCTAGTTCACTTCAGTTCCTAAATTTAGGTTTAAGCCAGATTTGAAGAAACCAACTAAAAGGCGCCAGCGTATACACTACGGCCCAACTGATGTTCTCATGAGAACATCGATGTGCTCATATGAGAATCTATTTGATGTTCTCTAATGAGCACATCGATGTTCCCGAAAGGTGAAAAATGCTCTCATATGGGAACATCGGCGTTCCTAAAGATCTATTATAAGTCGGCCGATGTTCTTATGAGAACATCCGAAATGTTCCCATGTGAGTACATTCATATTCTTATATGAGCACATCGATTTTCAGAAATTTGAAAAAAAGAATGCTCCTACATCGGTCGAACCCACAACCTATCGGTTGTGGATCTGACGTTCTTCCCACTAACTACTCGAATATCTTATTGAAATATATTCTTTTACTTTAATAAGTAGTTATTAGGTAATTTTAAATTGCCATTTTCTCGTGCAATTTATAATACGTTTAATAATTTTATGAATCTTACAGATAATAAAAGTCTCTCTGTTGCCTACAGTATTATAGTTTAGCTATTCAAACCATTTTATCCATGTGGAAAACTACACCTTCTCAAATGAGAACATCGATGTTCCCAAAAGAGCACATCCATGTTCTGTGAGAACATCAGTTGGGCCGTAGTGATACTCGAAGGTTCTGGAAACTGATAGCAGGCATTGATCTGATTATCAGTTGCTATATCAAGTACTATATCTACTCAAAAGTTCCATTGTTTAAGTAATTATCGATCGTAGAAATAGTATAAATATAAGTTGTAAATGCATTTAATAAACAGCATCTTTCAACATAATCACTAAGTATTAGTTACACTCTATTTCTTTGTTAACTCTACCTATTTGATCCATCTCACAAGATGACAAACTTGATAAATATCAAGCTCTCTATAACGATTACCTTGGTAGTTAGTAATCAAGATATAAGTATTGTTGTGTGGGAAGGAAGACTGTAAGAACTATCCCAATAATTATGAGAGATGAATTTAAGGGTTCTTTAGGTTTGTTCGTACTAGATTGGCACTAGTAACAAAACTCCAGATTAGAATAAGAAAAATGGATAATGTTTATTAAGATGCAATTCAAAATACTATTTATATATGCTATTGTTCTATTGTTATTCTCCTGTCAGACTCAATTCAGATCCGAATGTCAGTGCCCTGATAAAATGTAACCCCAAATTGGATTGCTTTCAATTTAATGTCAGTTTCATGTACCCGCGTTCTTGAGTCGATCCCATTGTTTAAAATAGTAACACCCCAATTCCATTGTTGTAATTCCACTTGAATCTTGCATCGATTCGGCATCAATTGGTTTGCATCTATCCTGAGTCAAAGTCCAGAGTCAAATCCACATTTCAAAATAGTAATGCTTGGCTATTAGCGCGCAATCTCATTTAGATCCCTGACTAATTCATCGATTCAACATTATCGGCTCCGAATATTGATTAGGTTTTCGGCTAAACTTGACAAGAAGCACCACGATCAAACGAATATGTAACAACACCAAAATAGAAGCGACACCAATTGAGTAAGCACCAACATTGATTAGCAATACACCAAATAGAGACCACATCGACTAGAATAACAGTATCAACGCATCATCAAGAGATAACATACAGTTTTACAACAATTATATGAGTGTGTCAATGCACCAGAACACCACACCAACGAGGAGTAACCCTTCAAGTAAGACATAGTAGATAAGTTAGAGAATTATACCTTGAATCCACCACATTGCGCCTTTCCCATATACGATACGTTGCCTTTTTAGGAAATCTAGATAGAGCCAAGTAACCAAGAAAAAGATACACACGTATCAACTATAACATGGTTTCATAGTGTAATGGTTATCATATCGGTCTTTGAATCCGGTGATCCGAGTTCGATTCTCGGTGAGACCTTTTTGTAATTTGTTTTAATTGTAGTGTATGTAGATTTTTTTTCCATGTGTTGTCGCTATTTACATGTTTTGCTTCACAAGTCAAATAGTATAAATATGAGAGCTAATAACTGTCAAAATCAGCAATCGTTGTCTTTTAACTTATAACTGATTCATTATATATCTTATATTATTATCACGAGACATGTTTCATCTTGAATATCCTTTCATTAAATTTTTTTGCGCAATGATTCCAGGATCGTACAGTGTCAGGTACACACCGACTTTGTTTGTAATCTTTTAATTAGTACTAGTTGCACAACACCGCTTCGCGGTGTATACAACGTCGTGCTGCCGCAGGCTTACTCCACCATTAAACAAAGCTTTATATCTGTTGAGAAATGATGAGACTAACGGCCTGATAATTAAAAATGGATGTAGTTTGAGATATAAAAACTTTATTGAAAGACCTCAGTGTATACTATATTGTGTGTATAGTGGCCAGGTAGGTTCTCCAGTACAGAAATATCAGGATCAACCATGATTCTTATCGATGATGGCTTACTGACCCTTGACATTGCGACGTACAACTGACCATGCGAGAAGACGTGAGAGGGGAGATATAGTCCAACGTTAGATAATGTTTGTCCCTGCGATTTGTTTATAGTCATGGCAAAGGCCAATCTCACAGGAAACTGGGTGTGACTGAAGTCGAATGGAATTCTACCGTTGGCTTCTGTAATAAACTTGATCCTTGGGATATACACAATGTCACCTGCTTTTGGCCCTGTGGCAATGGTGGCTTCAATTGTTCTAACACCCAAAGATTTCACGATTAGCCTGGTTCCATTGCATAATCCAGCTGAAGGATCTAAGTTTCTCAAGATCGTTATTGGAGATCCAACTCTCAAAACCAATTCATGTGGAGGCAGAGAGCCAGATTCTATGGAGTTGAGAAGCTCGAGAGGCACCTGCATTCGAAATTGAGGATCACAGACTTGATCATAGCTGTAATAAGTGAACTTTCTTCCCGGCAAGTTGTCAAGTAGCAGATTGTTTATGACTGAGACATCTTGATTCTTTGGGGTCAATATAACACGCTTCGCAAAATATTGGTCAATCGTTGAGCTATTGCTGATGTTTGGAAACACAACAGCTAGCAAATCCAGCAAGTTGGTAGAATTGAGCTATTTCAGAGGATGGTGTAAAATCACACATTGTTGTAGATGAGGTGTCGATGGGGATTTTAAAGGTAGTGTGGGCAGTTCGACCTCCTTTCAGCAGCAGAGCCGCCGTTTCTGTTGAAGCAACTGCAATTGCAATATGATTTTGTTTGCGAACGGCATCTAACAAAGCATTGATGATGAAAGTTTTCCCAGTACCGCCAGGCCCGTCAATAAAAAAACAGTTTGGACTGTGCAGCATCATAGTTTTTGTCAGCTAACGCGCAACTTTGAATGGCATTATAAGCCATCAATTGACTTGGATTGAATGGCAATGAGTTTGGGTCAGGAGCTTCCAAGGCTTCAATTAGCAGAGTGGCATGCATCCTTTCCAGCGGGGTAGAGTCCTCAGGGTAAGCATAATTATCCCTAGTATCAACAGTAGGGAAAATGTCCTTGAAACCATCCATAGTTTTCAAATCAAATTGGTTAGCAACCAAAATTTGATTCAAATCAAGAAGGCAGTGGCCGTACATCTCATCTGTTATTTCAGTGGGAACAGGTTGATTCAGAGTTCTTGCCTTTTGTTGCCTATGATACAGATAGTCCTCGGCTAGATGCAGTCTGTGATTCAACCATAGCTGAAAAGGATCAGAGACATCGCAGAAGGAGAGCAGAATACAGAAGAGTTGCCGTATTTTTTGAGGTGACATAGTGGTGCTTGCTTCTGACATGGTATCATTCCATTCATTGTCATCTTGAAGAAGACCCATTGCTCTGGCAGTAGCCTGATAAGACGGATAGACGCGGCCATTGTACGTTCGCATGTAGGTAAAGGATGTTGCTCCTGGAATTCGATACAACAGAATTTTTAAATGATACTTTTCAATATCTTTTGGAGATACAGCGTAGACTCTGCCAATGACTCCACCAAAACCTGAACGTCTAGGTTTCCAAACTCTTGGGTTCTGTTGTTTATGAAAAACGTACTTTTCACAGAAGTCCAGATACAAAGTTTGCTTAGCTTCGTTATCTTCAGGATTTTCGAGATTGTACTTGAACCAAGCTGTCAGGGTTGTTTCTGGAAGTGTACGGTTCAAGACCTGGTCAGAACTTTCGTTCTCGTTAAAGTACACCCTTCTATCGTTCTCCAAATGGATATACAGGCGCTCTGTAGAGGGGTATTCCTTATGCATAGGGAAAGACATGATTCTCCAACAGGCTTCAGATGTCGAGACATATCTTGCATCAAGAAACTTTTTGATCTCATCCTGATGATCATCTTGAGCAGATGAACCCATGTATACCTGTGCTCTGTCATGGCCCTTGTATACATATTTGTATATGTATTTGACCGAGTTGACCTGGCTGCAAATCTCCACGTTGATGTGTGCGTTGTATTTAGCGACCAAACAAAGATTATGAGGCACGACCCAGCGATTATCAATAGTGATTCTTCCACTATGCCTGGAAATTGTACGATCAGTCATCAATCAAAACGTATTGAAGAGGATCAAAGAATTGATTGGTTTCATTAATTCTTGTTAGGTTATCACCAGAACCTTTCAATCTTAAAATGATATCACAATTTTTCGGCTGTTCGTTGCTGCTTTCATCGTCGCCATCAAACAATAGTATACCAATTTCTGGAACTCTAGGTCTATTATATCTTCTTGGATCAGGAGAATCCTCTGAACGAAATACCATTCGTATATTCTGAATTCCTTCAGGTTGCCCAACTGATAGCTCCTCCATGGTTTTAAATAAGTCAACAAAAGGATTGACTTCGTGCATCATATTTTGGAGGAGACGCATAGTGGTTCTCTCAATGTTGGGGTTTCCAGCAACATTCAGTCGGTTTTGGAGCTCATTTTCCCCATCGAATATATACATTTGAGCAAATTTTGGGCGTGTATCATTTGCTGGCATAAATGCAGAGCTCATGAGATGATAGACGCTACCGTGAATACGAAATGCGTAGGCACCATTTTGATTATTCGCAACTGATTGATCTAAAGTTGCATTCATGGATGTAAAGCTGAGAGCAGAATTGTACGTTCTAATATTCGATTTGAACTCTTTGCTAACATCGTCATTGCCACTCAAAAGATTGACAATAAGCTCTGGAAAATGGTGTACTGGCTTCAAGATTGCCTGGCCATCTTGACAGCAGATTTGAAACGTTGGAGAAGCTCTTGTTGTTCTTTGCTTTCTTTCATCAATCCACATGTAGGCTCCACATTTTGAGCACAAAGCATTCATGCCTCCCAAATCATTTCGGTTAGCCTCAGGCGCTTCAGAATTTCGCGCCATCAAAAAAGAATCTATTACACCTGTACGTAGAGGATTTTCGGCACAATTATAATGAGATCGGCGTTGGTGTCCTTCTATTCCACAAAAGGGACATACAACTGCTGTTACGATGACATTGGAGTCCAGAGTTTCAGCTGTGGCCTCAGATTGAGAGGCATTTGGAAAGTCTTGTACAATTGGTGTTGAAGATGGTTGCTCAGATGGCTGATTGATTGGATTTAGCGCACAGTCAAGATGATTTCTGTCTATATGTCCTTCTCTATGGCACCATGGGCAAGTTGCTCTCCTGTCAGAAGTATTTCGAAGTATCCTCATTCCACAATCCTTATGCGAACGCCTTTAGTGTCCAGCGCGGCCATACCACTTACACCTTTCTATATTCTCGTTGACGGTAGCTCCTAATTTCAAAAGTGGGCTCATGTACGTTGGAAAAGTTGTTACTGGAATCTTACCTTCAATAGGCTCAGGAACAACAGGATTTGCAGTTTCAGGGAAATTGTGAAAGACAAAATTTACAGTATATGGCTCAGCTGGAGTATTCGAAGAATCAGAGCGGTTTAAACGACTTCTCAAGCTTCGAGGCATTTGGATTGTTAGGTAAAACTTGGGTATATGAAGAGAAAAGGATTATGTAAATGCTTTATTTTCCAAGAATTTTGTTAGGCTTCTACCAAGCTGACAGTAATGGCTGATTTCCCTACGGGCACTCTTGTAATTAACTTTTTACTATGTGACGGCAGAATAAATATGTTATTTTAGGAGTTTGGTGATAAATATCAAACCATTTGCCAAAACAATAAAGATCATCTTCTATTTCAATTGTATTCTATTATATACATTTATCCACGTCTATTCTAAAGGCCATGTCTCTATTCACGACGAAAATCAATTTTTTTTACATGACTCGAGGGAAATAACCTTTAAGGATTTACTAATAAGATTTCTTACAGGTTGAGTTAGGCAAGATCAATGAGCCAAAGTCATATAAAGAGACCATGCTGATTTCAGCGAGAGATGATACATTAAGTCTCTATACTCACGTTCATAGTTAGCATATGCCGTTCTTACAAAAACGAATTGAAATTAATGTTTATTACATTTCATATAATCTAGTTCCATAAAGATTTTGATGGATTATAGGTAGTAGGTGAATTTTGTTGTTGTTGTTGTTGTTGTTGTTGTTGTTGTTGCTGAGTCATCATAGGTTGAAAAGCGGACGGTGCGGATACCGCTGAAGGAGGTGTAGGTGTATTATTTTGAGGTGGTGATGTTTGTGGTAATGGTGCTTGTTGAGAGATATAAGGTTGCGAAGATAAAATGGGCTGATAAATGGATTGCTGAGTAGGGTAGTTTAAAGATGATGGTACTGCATCGGATTCACTATTGACATCAAACACTACTTGTCCAAATAACCCTGTATCATATAAAAATTCCAAGCTATTGAAATCGATTTCATTGCCTCTATTCCAATTGAAAGCCAAAGCGGATGATTGATCTTGTGCTTGTTGTCTTGATTGATTAAAATAGCGTTGCTGTTGCTGTTGTTGTTGCCCAGTAGATGGAGGTGGTGTAGATGGCACTAAATAATGCTGGTTAGTAGCACTTTTGAAAGGGTCGTGAATATGTTGCTGTTGTTGATAGGGTGGGATGATGGAAGGTTCTGATGAGTTTGTGGTTGCACCCAAGAGGGAGGATAAGGCTGGCGGCTGATGTGTGTTATTCATAGAGACTGGAGACATGCTAATACTTGACGAAGAGTGGGAACTTGGTGATCTTGTCGTAACAGGCGATCTACTGTCGTAATTGATTTTGACATCTTGCTGCTTGGTGGAGTCAAACGTCGAGTAGGACGAATACGACGTTGTATTAACGTCTTCTTGTTCGTATAACTTTTGATGTGCGACCAAAAGCTCCTGAGTGGCATTTGCTAACCTCTCACACATTGGCCAGTAAGGTCGAAGCCCCTGTACAAATTAAAGAAATAAAGTGAGTACAGTAACCAGATGCTTAAACAAAATCTACCAACATCTATCAGGTCGTAGAGCACCTTGAGAGCTCTGCTGCTTTTCTTGCATAATTCAGGTGTCCCAGAAAAGGTAGAGGTCATCAATACTGTGGCAAACACATATGCAGAATAGCCCATATAAGGTAGCGTATTGGAGCCGCATAGATCCTTGATTGCTTCAAAAATACCCATCGCATCGCGCACACACAATCGACATGCATCAATACTGCTTTGTATACGACGATACAGGTCTTTTTCTATGATATCTGTAGGCTTGACATCACTGAAAGCTAAACTGACTCGATGCAAGATCATCATACTAGAGCACCAAACAGCGTGACTGGATAACCATATATTGACATAGTGATAGCTGGCGAATTGACGATGGTGATCCAAGTTTTTCTGATTGAATTGAAAGATATCAGGTAAACCGTCTTTCCAGGCACGCAATTGAGCATCCAAGTTTCTAAATTCAGCAATAGGAGGCCAATTGATAGCAGCAGAGGTTGATTTTGCTCGATTCATAAACTTGTTCACTTCGCCATACGTTTCGACACATCGCATATAGTGCTTTGCAATGTTCATCAAGGAATCATCTTGCAGTGATTTACCATCCACATTACGATGAAACATTGGGTCCCTCAATAGCAAGCATTCAGAAATGTTTGGAGGACTAGAATCACAGTCAGACCTATCTATACATTGGGGACGACGAGTACCGGCACTGGATAATCTATTAAGGCGAGATAAATTGCTCTGCTACATGTCATAAACAATCAAATACATACTTGTCGAGACAAAAGCAGCTCCAAAAAACTCTTCTTCTAAGCGCCATAGCTACTGTATCAATAGATCCATCCTGGGAAACAATAGGAAGGCCCAGGGTATCTTCTTTGTAATATCCCAATTCTTGACAAAATCTATAAATGATGATCAGTTAAATCGCATGTTTCAGGCCGAATTCTGCTTTCAGCCTTCTAATGAGAGCGAAAGAGATAGAGAGAAAGCATAAAAAGACTATGATAGACTACCTTACTGCTAAACCACCGTAAATCCATGATCTAATGAATCGAGCAAAAGGGTCAACTAAATCCCGCTTTGTTTTCGTATGGGATGTGCACAAAACTTACTTTGAGCCAGATGCACGACCGTATTCAAGGCACGACATGATCCCCCAAAATTGGACATTTTCTAGATTCGGTTGAAGTGTGTCGGCATCTACCAGGGACAAGGCCTTTTCAGCAAAGCGTTCTCCAGCCAGGTAGGGAGGGTTTGTCTTGATGGTCGGATTGTCCGAGAACCTATCAAGTCATCATGAGTTGCATTATTCAGTCTATAGACTGTCGTAATTTACCTCGCACCAATAGCCAATACACTGTATAACAACGGTCTTGAAATGGATCCATCCTGGATTGATTTCTTCAAAACATGTCTATGTACAAACGGAAATACAGAATTGATATTCTTGAAAAACAGATCGACCAAGTGATTTACAATGTCTAATGGAGGTAAATCGGAAGTTTGTTCTACTGAAAAGCGTTTAGATGTCATTTTTTTATATTTGACATATTGTTGCCATGGTGCGGCATAATTTACCTGGGTTTTCATACAGATGGATAGGCGAATGAGCCCTATTGGACGTGGAAGATAAGCTTCGATTCTCTTCATCACTAGCGTGAGGATGCTGATTGCTGTTGTTTGTATAATTAGGCACGCCTGGCCCCATCAGCTTTCGCTCCATTTGGGCAAGACGTTCTTCTAATAGCTGAACATAGCCTTTGCGAGGCCCTCTCTTTTTTGGCTCGGTATATTCACATAGCACATTGGCCTCTTGACACTGACCACAATCAGGTCTGCTCTCATCGCACTTGATCTTTATGAAATTGTGTGATTAAGATGCTTGATTCAATCAATTCAATTTTCCATAATTTATACCTTTTTCTTTCTACAATGAACACAAGCTTGACTGGCTCTTACTCGTTTCTTGCTATTGCTAGCTTTTGGTTCATAGTTTTGCTCATAAAACATTTTATCCAAGTTTATTGAAAAAAAAAGTGAGAAAAGAAGAGTAGAATAGAATTGAAAGTTTGGATCACAGTGATTTATGGTTGCATGTTTGAAAAAAAAAAAAAGAGAAAAAGTGGAGGAAAAACCAACCGTCCATTCAGAGGCAGAGAGGTAGAAATTTTACCCAGACACAGCCAATTGTCATGCCCAGCCGGATACAATTTATCCATAAATCGTCTTTTGACTGTGCACATCAGTCAAGGGTACATACTTTTTGTATGAATTTGCAACATGTCAAAAATATTATTCAATTGACGGCGGTTCAGTCTGTTTGTAACCTACCCTGACACTAAGCCATTTGGTTTCTGTGACATGACCATTTTCATCTTTGTCGTACAGCATAATCCATTGCTGTTCATCTTGTTTACCAACAGGAATAAACAATCTGGTACCATTCGATTACTATCATCAAAGTAATTCAACTGTATTTTATCAAGATTCTTACCTTCCGGGGCTTTTGAGTTGACTTATCAATGATTGAGGAGTTACTGGAGCAGCAGCGCCCACGTGTCTTGGATTGTTCTGGTGAGTTTAATCGAGATTGGATGCCGTGATCGAAACTTACATGCAGTCAAAAGGCGCTTCTTTTTCATATCCTAATCTCCCATCGGCTGCTACAAATTCCAATTGATGATAATCTGAATGATTTTTCTGTACGCTGCGTTTTGCAGAGTCGACCAATTCACTTATATGTTCCACTCCAACCACTTTTCCCGATGAGCCAACCTGTGTTCAAACAAAAAAGATTCCATCAGAATAAAATGACGTTTTAATGATCTTTGTTTCTCACTCATTCCACTCACCATGCTCGCCATACAGGCTGTTAAATAGCCGGATCCAGAACCTATATCCAAGGCTAACATGACAGAAATGAATAAAATGACATTTCACGGTGCTCCTGATCCCAATCTGTACCTTTCATTCCAGGTTTCAAAAAGGACTCCAAATTATCCAAAGCGTATCCGTGCATATGTCTATTGTATCAACCTTATACCATCAGTCGTCAACTCTAAAATGCAATTTCATGTACAATACGGACGGGGCTGAGATAGTCACTCCATAGCCAATGCCCTGTGGGCTATCCTCGTACGGATCTCTTGGACAAAAGTCCTTTCTATAATTGAACTTGGTCAGCATGGAAACTTTCAAAGAATAGAGCATCTTACCTGTCCACTGCCGTCATTGCTTGAACAACTCGTTCTTTTGTGATAATGCTGGCTTGAAATAGCTTTTGTACAAGCCCTTCATTGCTTGTTGCTAATATACGCACATGGGATCGTCTCAACAATACACAAATTTGCTCCAAGAGTATAACTTACCAGAACATGCCCATGCCATTTTGCAAGTTTATTTGAATTGAAGAAAGAGAGAGAAAAAAAAAAGCGCGGAGCCAGTTTTCATGTGAGAATTGTATATATGCTGAAACGAATCTAGACAGCATGTGCTAATCATTACAGTGCTTTATTGTAGCTCCATGGTAAATTGACAGCGAGAGATTTTATGCCGATGCAGAAATTGCCCACACGCAGAAAATTACAGCTACTATCTACTGCCACAGAACCATTCATATGCCGCATAAACAGATGGATAGCAATTATCATCCACGAGAAACTTCAATCAGTCGCCACTTTGAATGGGAATTCCCACCTCGCCATGGTTCTGGTAGGCGAGAAAAAAAAAAAAAAAGGAGACAAGCTGCACCTGCAATAAAATACATGAGGGGCATTTCATCACTAATAATTGCATAGTAGCCTTCCTTGTTTGTTTTGACTCGTTGAAAATGGGGCAAGCGAAAACCATCAGTAGATGCCAGGCTAGAGAATCCAATTAAGGCAATGTTCATCTTGACCAATTCCTTGACCATCCAAGTCGATGCTGGCGTAAAAGTATCCCGCACGACCTTCAAGATGTTGTTGATAAGCTTTGTTTTTGGCGAAGGCTAGTCGTTTTCGCCGGTATGATGCTGGTATATGCACAAGTTGACAACTGCGCAGACGTAAATGTTGCAAGTGCTATATGAAAGCTTCTTGCCTTCATCATTGATTGCCGATTCAAACTGAGGCATGTCAACAGTGTTTCGAGGTTCATTGTAAGAATCTATTGCTTTTTGAATACAATGCTCTACAATCTATGGGGGGGGGGGTGTAAGCATTTAGTTGGTGACAGAGATGCAAAGTATCTCTCGCAAAACAGAAAAAATTCGATTTGTCTGTAGCCATACATTGTACTATCAATTCTTGATGATCTCGCTGTAAGCTTGATTCTCCATTTCGCAATCATGTTGCTGTTGCAGTTTGGTGGAAAACCTGCAACAAAAAAGACTACATTGGCTAGAAAGTCGACTCTCTTGATACAGGGGTGCATAAAATGTATTTATTCAAGTGAATTAACTACCACCATCAGGTTTAACCACCTGCATTAATTTTATATGCGACGTTCTAACTGTGGATGTACCATCAGGTGTGACAATACTTGCTGATGTAGCTGTAGTCGATGGCTCAGATAGTCTTTCTTCAACAGTGGTCGAATGACGTTGCTGAACATGTTCATTTGGAGGGCTGACCTCTTGATAGTATTGCTTGTCGATCCTATCCCAATCAACATCCAGCATGGGGCTCTCATTTGGATCATCTTCTGCATGATTGTGCGATGAACGTGAATTCTTGCTTCGTTTTCTACAAAAGAAAACGAGTGCAATGATGGCCAGGATGCCCTATGTCATTTTTGTTTTGTCAGCAATCTCTTCAAACGATGAGTAATTGTTATTCATTACCACGACACTACAACCAACAGCAATACCAATGATGGCGCCAGTACTGAGACCTCCTCTTCCTTGACTTAATGTATTCGAGCCATTGTTACCATTTGAAGTCGTCCCATTCGTGTTGCTTGCGCTAGAATTGTTGATATTAGGGAAGGCACTGAGAAATGAAATGGTATTAACGTCTGCAACATCCAATATCATCAAGTCGTTTGTGGGGTTGCCGCTCAAGTCCAAGCCAAACATGATGAATAAATTTGTACCGTTCACCAAGACAGCTATTCATTAACAACTTGGTCAGTGAAAAAACAAGCCTTGCTCGACCTTTTTTTTTTGATTGCTCTTTTACCAGAATGATGTGATCGTGGTCCAGAAACACCCAAGGGTGCTGTCAAAGTATGCATACGCCATGTCATTTTTGGAACATTCAGTGTATAGCAATAGTCCTGCACAGCTATACATGTACGATATGAACAACAGTGCAAAAAGAGTATATTTGCTGAATACTTTACCAACTTTATCGTCATATGTTCCTCCGTAGATCAAGATGTTCTGTCCATCAGATACTGAAAACAATGGCTGTCAACATACATGTGAAGATGTGCAGGTTAGCTATTATAACTTACACAAAGTGGCTGTATGCATCTTTCGTTCTTTGGGATAATCAGGACCACTAAGGGGCTCGTATGACCATAGTCCATTCGTGGTATCAAAAGTCATGGCATAGGTAAAGTAACTGTTGAATAAGCTTTGGCTGGTAGAATTGTAGTAGGTGCCTCCAAGATAAAAAATCTTCTTTGTTGCTGGGTGATAAGTAGCAGTTGGCGATGTGTGATAGTCGGCTGGGCCTATAGATTGTTGAGGGATGGACCAAGTCTATCATTCTGCCATTAATAATGAAATAGAAGGATTATAATGCGAGCAAACTCACATTGGTATTTAGATTCAAGAAAGTAAAGTAATAAAATCCTGCATAGCTGTTGTATAAGCCATCTGTATTGTTAAAGGTCAAGTTGGGAACAGAGGTGCCGCCCAGGGCAACGAAATTGGATCCAGGCTGGACATGTCTATCATAACTTTGTGAGCAACATTCAATTTACCATTCGAAATGTTCATATTTACTCTTGATATCCACCATAAAATCCAATGCCATTCAACTCTGGAATATAAACACCTGTGCCATAATAACTTGAATGAAAAAACCAATGAGTGAACATTTCATACTTGAAGCAATTGCTGTATACTACATTTGACGATCACCTCCGTTGCTCGCATCATAGTAGTTTGGCAACTTATCCCAAGAATTCGTTTCTGCATTGTATACGATGGAGTGATCCAACAATGGTGTATTTCCGTAATTGTATCCACCTTGAAGCATGAGCCTTTTTCCATCTGGAAAAGGCACTGCTTGAGCAAAGGCTCTGAAGCCAAAATTATTAGAAGATTGAGGTGTAACAGATTCCCATTTGCTGATCAAATTTTGGAACGATGCACCGTTGTTGTTGTTGATATCAAGTACTGCCAATGTATCATTGTCTGTAGAGCCCTTGACATAACCGCCATAACAATAAATCTTGTTTGATAAGTAAGCGCAATCTATAGACAAGTGTGTTAGAGAGCAAAAGAAATAGAGACCTATAGTCAACCAATAAGACGTACTAGCCGCTCTACGAGGCGCAATGGCAATTGATTGAATACTTGATACAAGTGTCAAAGCTAAAAAGATAATTCCTTTCATTTTCTATGATCCAGGGAGTGATATACCCCCTTTTGACTAAATGAAATTACCGAGAAAAATAAAAAAAAAAGAGGAAAAGAGAGTGATATGCAGTTAGTGATCCCAAATGAAAATTAGATATCAAGTTAATGTGATACACATTGTTAGTTTTAGTAGTATAGCTGCCTGTCGTACCACCAGAAAACTATAGGCATTGCTGAGTGATTCAAATGGGTAATAATGAGGCTTGTTTATCACCAAATATATATGGGTTGTAGATGATAACAGTTTTACCAACAACATGACCTCAGTGAATGCGTGGTGAACAGAAGCTCGAAATTTGAAGCACTCGTTCCCTAAATAAGACAAGATCATCATCAAACAATAGCTGGAAGCAATAAAACGTGCACCGAGTTTATTTACAGTAAAGATCAGTGATCACAAGGGTACAGCAGAAAGTGATTAACGTATGTCGTGTAACTTTTGACAATAGTTAATTCAAGGTAACTGACTCTTATCTTCTCTTCCTCCATCTGGTTTCACTGCGCCTGTTTGCGATATGGGCCTCTCATGAAAGATTGATAGTATGTTATTGTTGCTGGTCTCTTGAGATTGAACAGCATGTGGCACTTGGGTAATAGTGGCTACCAATGTAGATGTAGGGCTTGTCATGAACTCTCTTTTCGTGGGAGGCATTTCATGAAACTGATGCTCGATCTGATCCCAGTCAACATCAAGCGTTTCATGCTGGTCTTTTGCTGCCTGCTTCTTTCTTTTGTAAAGCAGAATGGCGATAATTAAAGCAATAACCTAAAAGGATGTCAGTGAAAACAATAGTTTGGCTGATTCCAAGACTTTACCACAGCTATTGCGCCAACAGTAATGCCTGCTATTGCTCCTGAAGATAACCGTGCTGAATCGCCTTGTTTAACATCATTTTTTGTTGCCATTGCGGAAGATCCTTCTTCCAGCGGAAACTGATCTGAAAACTGTATAGCTGATACATTGCGAACATCCAGAACAGATACGTTATTTGTTGTATCGTTGGCTGCTGTTTTACCAAGCAAGATAAACAAGGCTGTATCATTGACAAGCACAGCTTTTTTTATCATGAAAGGAAATGAGTGAAAAACAAGCAAGTAGGCCAATGCAATCTCTCTTTTTTACCATTATGATAATACCTGGGTCCGATGTTTGGGCTGATTGCATTGAGTGAATGCGCTGTCCATACGCAATCGCCAATGTCAAGCGTATAGCAATAATCTTGAACAGCTGAAGATATAGGATTAGTATGTGGTTTCATGACGCTTTCTATCTACAACTATCCATTACGATCGTCATCTTCGCTGAGCGGTGATCCTCCGTACATCAAGATAGTATTAGCTGTGCCAGTTACTACATACAAAAAAAAGGTATCAGCTAGGACTCTCAAGGAAAAAAAAAAAAAAAAAAAAAAAAACTCTTTGCACGCATACATAAAGTAGCTGAATGTAAGACTCTGGGTGTAGGTATTTGCACACCCGTTAAAGTTATGTTATCCCAAGTTAGAGTTTTCATTTGAAATGTAAGACTCCATGTCAACGGTATGGCCACATCAGTGCGCACCACAGGATCGTATCTTTTGCCTCCCAAATAGTAGATAGTTTGGGTTGGTTCGTGATAAGTAGCTGTCATTTGCATTGGCAAAATATTGTACGGCTGCACTGGAGGCACTCTCCAAGCCTAGAAAAGAGCAAGTTAGGCTGTTTGTGGTTGTGTGTTTCAATATAGAACCTACATTAGAGTTGACACTGTAGATTGTTAAATAGTAGAACCCTACGTAACTCTCATAAGATGTGTTTTTGTAGGGCAATGTAGCATCGTATGTGTAGCCCTTTGGAAAAGTAGTATTGTCGAGCTTGACATAGGTGTAGTTTGCTGGTACCCGTCTATAACAGATAGTCAGTCGTCTTGGTCAGACTTTTGATTTTATTGGATTGAGGTACGCACGTTTCTCTTCCTCCATAAAATGCAATCTCGCTGGTCAAGGAGATGTACGCCGCTGTACCAGAAAAACTATACGATTGAATATGGTTAACATTCTGCATCCATACGTAGAGGAAAACATCAGCACATTTGTCTAACACCTCCATTTCTAGGTTCAGTATAATCTTCGAGCGAAGACCATTCATTATTAACTGTATCATAGAGTACCGTTTGCCTTTGAAGTTTATTAGGTAGCTCATTGGAACCGCCTTGAATTAGCATCTTAAAACCATCTGCCAATGCCGTATATTGACTGTCGTAGCGTGCTTCTCTTATGATGCTAGTCTCTCCAATTGGCAAGACTTGGATATCCCACTTATTTTCTAGATTAGTAACATTTGTGCTATCAGTTTGACTGATATCCAAATAGTTGACCGAAGTGTCGTAGCCTTTATTGTTAGGGCTCCCTCCAAAGCACATAATCCGTTTAGATAGATAAGCGCAATCTAGTGTGGTGACGGTGGTGTCAGCAAATATGAAAAAAGGTCGCTTGATTACAAACCTACATGCAGCATTTCGTCGCACAATTTGACCAGCATACACTGTGTTCATAGTAAGCAGCAATGCAAGCGATAAATGCTTGAGCATCATTTTTTGTATGTAATTAATAGACAGGGTATCGTTCCAAAACTTTTTCAAAAAGAAAAGCAGCAGTGTTTATATACAAACGTGTATTCTATGATTCAGGCTAATAAAGTTTCTTCTGATTTGTTTGATCAAGTGAGTGATACGAAGATCTTCTTTTAAATTTACACAGGTTGGATGCTGGGAGATCTTAGCAAACAAAGCGCGTTGTTGAAGTGCCCACTGATCTGTCAAGATTATGTTGTGATGAAATCATTGATTTCCGTTGTGAAAATCAAGAATTAGTAGGCATTCAGTTTCTGAATTCTACTAAATGCACCATGTCATGCTGTAAACAATGGCGAAGCAAGGTTATATTTTTTCTATAAATACAAACAAAGATACATCTTAGAATTGTATACTTATGTCGTGACCGAAAGTCGTAACACAGGGGGGGGGGGATCACCATTTAAATAAGCAGACGTAGATGTCCATGCAAGCGTTCTCGAAGCTGATGAATTTGTTTGCGTACATTGGTAGACCCTATTTTAGTTAAGCTATATGTGCTACAGTTCCCTGAATGGGTAGTGGCCGCGCTCAAATGCTAAAGTCATTGTCACTGAAATAGTGAATGCAATGTTTTTTCTAGCAGTAAAATCTACCAATCGAGACTGATCCCCATTTATGCTTTTTTGCATAATTCGTATACAAACAAAAGGTACTTGGTGCGATAATTTGAATGTTTAATTACAATTATGTTAAGGTGGTAGCGTTGATAGTGGTAATAATATATAGACAATGTATAATTCGATATGAACACAGATTTGATCAAAAAAGATCTACACTGTAAACGCGTTAGGCGAAATGATACGAGGTATATCCTTGTTGATATTGTTGATGACAAGCATATCTAAATCAAGACTTGGATATCAGCCTCTATCTTTTTGCAAACCACAGGCTACGAACTTACCTATGCGATCGTGCTGTTCAAATACAGCAGACTGTTGATCCTCACTATCCTCGTCCTCCTCGTCTTCCATTCCCATCTCCAAATTGGGCTGTAAAAAGTACTCCATGTGTTTATCACGCATGATATACATTTCTTTGCGTCTCTTGAGAGAATCAATCATTCTCTGTGCAAAGAATACAGCGAGTTCCACAGAATTATCGGGTCGTGTAGGACGATAATTGGGACACAAGAACCAGTATTTACGAATGAAATTTGGTGGCACGAACCAACAATCAGGATTGCCTAATTCACCACCAATAAACATGGCTGATTCCAAAAGAAAGTTAAAGAGTTCATTGGCGTCGTAATAGTCTTGGAAAATGATCATGAAATCTCTCATGGTAGGGCCTGGAATCAAATCAATGCGAGGATCGTGAGGAATCTTGCGCTGTAGTTCAGCTTTTTTTTTTCATATATTAGCTTCAACGAATGCTTTCAAATCATAATAAATACTTATACTTACTTGGTGTCAACAGGTATCGATTGTCATTCTGATCTCGCATGGTTCTCATCTGAGTAACTGCATCTAAGGGAGATATAGGACCGGCTACATATACTTTATTAGATACATTGGGTGGTAGTGCTGGGTTCTTGATGTCCATCCAAAAGTCATCTTCCACAGGAATCTCGGGCTTGAAAGTTGAATTGGGTGTGCCATCAGATGTATGAGAGGGAGGAGGAGGAGGGATGCCTGTGATAGAGGTAGAAACAGAAGCAGTAGGAACAGGAGCAGAGGTAGAAGCAGACAAAGGTGGAGGCGATGTAGTGTGATACATGGGATCAGAGGGATGAGGTGGTGATGCGATACCACTCAGACCGAATTCTGCCTTGAGTTTATCCAAGAGATCTGCTTCTGGATGATCCAGATAAGATTTGATTTCAGCTGGTATCAATGGTAGAAATTCGGGAGGTACTTGGCTTAACCATAGTTCCGGAGGCACATCTTTCATTTGGTTCATTATCTCGTTCATTGTCTCGGGTTGCATCAAGAATTGCATTAGCCCAGGGTCCATCTCTGTCGAAACGGATTGAATCATGTTACTGAAATTGTCAAGTCCAAGGGTAGCAGTAGGTGGTGCTTGGTGCTGCTGTGATTGATCAGGCGGTGATAGAGGGTCAATCATGCCTTGATCCATAAATGTGTTGCTGTTGCCCGTGCTGGTGTTGGTATAATTGTGGTGCTGTTGGTCCCCTTGGTGGTGCATTGGTATCTCGGATGACACAGATTGAGGAGGTGTCATATCGTATGCCGCCAAATTTTCGGTTGCCATGGTAACGATACACTTTTTGCTATCCAAGAAGAATTCCAATGATTGAGGTATATCTTTTGTTCTTGAGAATGTAGTGATATCGGAGCCCATTTTATCTCTCATGCCAGTATCCCAAAATTTAGGCACATCGACTCGATTGGCAATACAGGCAATCTTGAGCGTCAACACCTGTCCCTTGAGAAAGTTGTTCTCATAGCGTAATTCATCTACTTTTTTTCGCAGTTGTTTGGCATCTTTGATGGCCTGATCTCGCATGTATATACATTTTTTGATGTTGGTTTCTGCATCACGCATCTCTCGCCTTTTGCGTTCTCGAAATGCTCTTTGTGCTGCTCTGTTTTGCGCTTTCCTTTGAGCAGGAGAAGGCGGATTGGGCTTTCTTCCTGGTTTTTTACGGGGCTTAATTGGTTTTCCATTTTCATCCAAATTTTTTAATTCTAGTTCAGGGTCAAAATGCTCAAAGGATATATCTGACATTTTTAAGGTTGTGTGGTTATAATATGTGATAGCAAAAAAAAATAAAAAAATAAAAAGAAAAAGAGAAAGAAAAGAGGGTTTCCGAGATATTCTATCATGTCTATGTTACAACCCATTATACACACTCACACACAGAATTTCGTATTGTATCACATTGTAGTAAAAAGGACACTAACCACATGGACAGATGGGATTGCCTAGCCCTTATTTTTCACCCAGCTTTTGAGAAGGATGAATAGCTTGGCAGATAAACTGAATGACACCAAGCCCGTTGATCGAATGACTCAATTCATTTTATTGATTTTTGCCAGCATCCAAAGTTGAATGACCCAAAAAGTCAAAATTTTCAAAGGTCGCATGTATTTTTCACATGCTTGAACAACCCCCCTTTTTTTTTTAATGTAAAGAAAAAGTCAGTCAGCCAGTTGAACTCCCTGCATTTAGCTCCAAAGGGAAAAAAAAAAGTATATTACACATTTATATATAAAAGATGAAAATGACAATTTAACGTTTGTTTTGTGATTATAGCTTAATTCTCGAGGAATTTAACCTGTTAGTTTTTTAAAAGACTCAAGCTGACAAGTATAAAAATCATGCATTTTCTCTTCTTTTCCCAAATCAATATCCATCATATCCAACATTTTAAATGAAGCCCATCTCCATCATCAGCTTGCTCTTTTGCTTATACTACGTGGTAGGATGCTATGCTCGGTGTGATTGTGATGCTACAGACAATGCTTGTATTAGTGAATGTGGTAAAGTGTAACATGATTTCCTGTAGGCGAAAATAAATTAGAGCATATAATAACATTTTCAGTTTTTAGTGGTTGAAGCAAATAGCTGTGTAACTTCATGTGAAGGAGACGTCGAATGCTATGAGGGCTGCATCGATGATAAATGGTAGCGTATATGCATATGTGTGGGCATCATCTTGATTCATTACTCACCATCAAATGCCAGGCCCGATGCTGGTTTGGCTGGTGAGCAACCCGCATTCAATGATGTATTGGAACAAGCATCCAACAGTGGGGTTGTCGCTACCTCCGTGGTATCTACTGTCACTAGTGTAAATACAGCTAGTGCATCAGCCTCCATATCAGGTAAAGGAGTGAGCGAGATGGAACCATGTCGATCTCTTTGCCTAATGCAAACTTTATAGCCTCTATCTCTGTCAATCAAGCTCAGACTAGCCATATTTCAGCTGCACCTACATTAACATCGACAGGGCCTCTTTCACTCTTATTTGTTTGCTTGATGGGTTTGGTATATTCGCATTTCTAAATAAAACGAGAGTGTTGAGTTTCAGAGACATGTCTATCTCAGTGGTGAATATCAACGACTGCCGTCCAATGACAATGAAAACGCTGGTTAAATAAATAAAAAACCTATTTTGAAACAATTTAATCCGATTTTCTTTCTTCCTTCTTTTTTTATTCGTATATCTTAGACAGCTTAAGATGGATTCTTATTTAGCCAACATTGACACTTATATGCAGCAGCAGGAACAGCTGGAAAGACAAAGAGAGCATGAGCAAATGCTTCAACAGCAACAGCAAAAGCAACAAAATCCATCACAGCATCTACTCGACGGTAATGTGGGCGGTCATCCTCCTCCCCCTCCCCAACCCTTGGACGATATCTGGTTGAGTAACATTTCAGAGCTCCCATCGTCAGCCAATGCACAGTCTGCTTCTTCTAACAGCAGTGTCTATCCTGATCCCATTTATCTCACCAATCCCTCCGTCTTCAACATGCCACCACAGAACTATAACCCACCTTATCAGCAATCGATACAGCATCAACAACCTCCACCTCCTCCACCTCCTGGATTCGATATCAACGGACAGCCTGTTCGCATTCGTAAAAAGCCCGGCAGAAAACCTAATCCTGCATCCCCTGCCTTGCGAAAAGCACAAAACCGAGCTGCCCAGCGCGCCTTCAGAGAACGCAAAGAAAGACACCTGAAGGATCTGGAAACTACTATCCGCAATCTGCGTGAACAACGTAACACAGCTACACGTGAATTAAATGAAATGAAAGCTTACTTGGAGTCTTATAAAGCCGAAACTTGGTACCTCAAGGGGGTCGTTTTAACGTTGCAGTTCATTTGCATGCATCACAATATACAGATTCCGACTCACTCGCCTTATCTATCAGAAGAAGCACTGGCAAAGATGGCCCAAACTGCTCCACATGCAATCGAAGCTTATGTCAATTCTTACACTCGCAATAACACCAACTTGAAATCAACCATGTCGTATCATTTTGTGGATAAGCAGATGCACAACAATCACAGCGATACACCTCCTATGGATCACTCATCGTCTCCCATGTCTTCCTCACAGTTTGAAAGTAACCAGACACAAGAAGAGGAACCAGAGGATCACCATGCCGAAAGTGAGGATGATGAGCATATGGATTTCATGCACGAGAACTCGGAGGAACCCACCAGTGTAAAACATGAATATGCTCACCCATCCCATGTATCGAATCAACAGGATCAACATACGGCAGAGGATCAGCAACAAGCAAAACAAACTGCCCTATCAAACCCACCCATCTCCAGCGTGGAAGCCATCCAACACATTCGATTAAAGCTGGGTGTACAATCAACAATTACAAACAACAGTGCCATCAATGATCAAGCTACTGCTCGTCTTAAACCCACCATTTTACAGTTAGCCATTCCTCACGACTCTCGCATTGATCTCGTACCTACACCACACATGCGCGATCGAATGATTATTTTCAGAGATCAAATGGATTATGACCGATGCTTTGCCATGTTGCTGAACGAAGCTGTGTATCATGGCGGCGATCCTACCATGAGCGAGAGTTGGGAATTGCCTGCTGATTTCTTTAGCGAGTTCTGGTATTTGACTATTGACTATGATATCAAAAAGACCAACAAATGGAGACGTGAAAAGGGGCTGGAAGACGTAGCGCCAGGACCTCAGCTACATCAACAACATCAGATCATGAGCCTGCTGGAAAACGGTCAAAGTGCAAACTGGAATAGTGAAGTGTTGAATCAGATCGTTAAAGAGATGCCGGCTCTGCAGCCTATGGATGACAATACGGGATATCCATTATCCCCGCCCAAGCAATATCAAAACGAGAATGATTCTACAGATCAGCAGCAGAAGATGTATAAAAAATTGATGGGTGGACCACCCGAATCAAGGCGACAAGTAGCATCTCCAACCTTGGGTAAGCCTTTTTTTTTTATCTCTCATTTGGATTTATTTGCTCTAACAATTTATTGTTTATTTAGAAAACATTATTGATTTAATGAACTCATCCTTATAGTAATTCCCGTCTCCCTCAAATTCATGTTCATCATTCCGTGTAAATAAAACTTTTCTTGATCAAGTCGAGACACTCGCTGATCCCTTGGCGGCTAAGTTGCCCAAATGGTTTTCAATCCATAGTTCGTATCCGTTTGCTGATTTCTTGCCCATCAATGTCATGGGCTGATTCACGTAAAGAGGTGTCAAACACTTGTATTCAAACGAAGTGATAGAAGCTTGGGGCACTTGTTTTCGTAACAAATCGATCAACAATGTGCCACTGAGAGGTCCATGGACTAGACACGCTGGATGCTTCTCTATTTTCGTTGCATACTCATAGTCAAAGTGAATCTTGTGTGAATTGAATGTAAGTGCTGAATATCGAAATAATAATATAGAGCTAGGTGTGATTTGTCGTTGAAAATCCGGGTCTTTTTTAACTATACATGTTCAAAAATGAGCCGCGGTAAAGAATGGCCTAGGTATCAGTTCAACTTACTTTTAATGCCTCTGGGTGGACTTGTGGTCGCTTGCTTTGGATGGTACACTAGACATCTTTGCTCCCGCATGGACCATCCCATTTGATTTGAAATATCTTTGTTTATCCACACCATAGCAGACTCTCCCATGCGTCCCTCTCTAAGCTCAGCATGATCTAAAGCGGTGGTCATGTGAGCTTCATCTCCCACTCTAAGAGGATTCGCGGGATTCCAGTCCATCTTTGCTCCTACCCACATACGTTGAGAGAACGGTTCTGGTGGGAAGAATTCGCTTTCATAACCATCAAGTGCCAAATCGCTTTCCAATGTACGAGGTGGGAAATAGACATGATGCCAACACGGCGGCACAAGGGCACTATTTCTTGGTATAGTATTATTGTTGATCTCATCGTCTCCAAGTGTATTTCCAAGCAAGTTCATGGGCGACCATGTTATATCATCGTATGTCTGTTGTATACACGAGGTTTTGGTTTTTGACTCCCAATCACGCAGGATTTGATGCGATGATGAATACCACCGAGCCTATCATCATGTTTAGCATAAAAGGCATTCGAATTTTGATGTACAGTTCAAACTGAATTACTTTTGTTGTCTTGACAAAATGGTTCCTTAAAGTAAACATAGTGTATAAAAAACTGATGGGAGGGTTGCATGGTCAAGTATATTTATTTCCTGATGGCAAACGGGTCACGTGAGGGTTACACTCCACATAAAAGTTGATGCAGAAGCCAATGATGTGTTGGGCAGAAGTATATGAAGCAGATGGCCATTGCTGGGTAGCTCAAATTAGCATATGGATTATAAGGTAATGGAGAGCAAAGCTAGCATTGCATGTTGAATAGTGAACATTAGACATTAGTCATCAAAGAATAAAGAAAGAAAAGATATGGTCTTTTATTCATCTATAATACAAGCATTTATATTATCATGCAAAAAAAAGTCCTACATAATAATAACTGCAAGTCTGACTATTTTACAATGCTCTACGTATAAATTGATGGAATCAACTCAAATACGAGCAGACGGTATACTAGCAATACGCCCCACTACTTCAAAGTATGCAAATCGCACAGGAATTTGTGTGCAGTTGAGCCGTGTTTTCTTGTGTTAAAAGCCGCTTTAAACCATCAAAAGAGTACCAGTCAATCACTCTCACTCAGCGCTTGCTTACGGATTCCATCGCTGACCTTTTTTTGAGACCAGAAAAACATCTCTAGAAATCGACTCCAAACCATGAGGGGTACCTCATGATTTTCATCAAAAGACTTTCACTACAGCAGCATGTATTAAATCAACATATTTGCCTCGATCCAAAGCAACCCTTGAAACTTTGTTAGACCTTCATATGTGAAACCTCAACATTTTGGCTAAAAACGTTATTTTGTATTTTCTAATATTGCTCAATATATTTACTCAAAATATCTCTCTTCATTAGCACCGTTGAGTGCGTCTTGAAACGCACTCCAGGAAAGCAATAGAAAGCATGGGATGATCATCACAATTTATACAGTCGATTCTGCCAAGAAAGATCGATTAAGTCGATTTTGTACAGAATCTGGTTAATTTGGGAGCGGAAGTATATCTGAATCTTAAACCGCTCATCCTCCTTAGGCTAATGACAAGAATGGCGCCTTTCTTCACAACATCATTAAATGCAATCAACAGTGCTCTTGAAAGCTCATAGAAAAAAAAAAGGAATTGCGAATTGAGAAAGATACTCTAGTTCAGCCTAGCTACTCCACTTTGTTTTTGTGGCACTTTTATATATATATATATATATATATATATATATATTTCATAGATTTAATTGCTGCAAATGGCTCATCTAAATGCAAACACCAAATGTGAGAAGCAAAAGTAGAGTCTATGCCAATCTTGGTTTATTAAATGATAATATGTACAGTTTTTCCTCTTTTTTAGTTTCTTGATCTTCTACTATTACGCTTGAATCTAGTTTCACGACGTAAGCGTCTAATATTTCTCTCTTGAGCAATCAATAGTTTCTCCAATTCATCGTTCGACAGCACTTCAAGCTTGGGTGCCCATTTTGTGGCATCTGTGATCTTTCTATATCCACTGTCAAGCGCGTCTTCACTGGGCAGGTGTCGTCTATCCAATCCTTCAAACTATTTCCAATTCGTCAAAAACAACAGTTGGCCAAGAGCATATATTATGCTATTTACCTCTTCAACAAGTCTCTTTCTATGCCTAAATAACTGATCTCGGATACCATGAGCGATGATATTTACATATTCTCCTCCAAGGCCTAGCTCTGAGGCCAGTTGTTTGCTAAAGATTTCAGGAGCATTTGTTTTGATGTTGTTTAGATCCCATTCGAATTTATCTCGCAAGTTGACTTTTCCAATTTGAAGATCCAACTACAGTAACATTTCAATACATCAGATCTTTTTTTTTTTTTTTTTTTTTACTTTTCTTTTCCTAAGAGGGGACACACTCACATTGATCTCGACTATTTGATTGTTACCTCCATTAGGCAATTCAGACTCTTGAATCGATTCGAAATCCAAGATTTGGGCGCGGATCGATTCAGCAATAGGCTTTGTGAATTTGTGATATTCCAGCTGTAAATCCTCACATAATAATTCTGCAAACATTTCAGGTGTCAAGTGTTGTTCTGTTGAGAAAAAAAAAAAAGAAGCGTGTTAATGTGTGCTATGAAGCATTGATTCCTGCGCCAAGTTACCATTCATGTTCCACAGAAATACATCTCTTAATTTCACTTCATCCATATCAATGTCTAAACGCACAGGCACCAGCATTTCAGACACTTCCGACATGTGTAAAAAGTCTGTCGTTTGAGGATATAGCATGTTTTTTTTGTGTGGTATTTTTGGTAACTTTTTTTGTTGTTCCTGCATTGCTGCCAACACTTTGGCATCGGATTCTACTGCTGCTGCATTGGCTCTCGTTTGTCTCGTATTTTCTTCATTGTTGTCTGAATCGTCATCATTGTCCGAGTCTTCCAACATGTCTTCAAAATCATCGTCCGAGTCTCCTCCCAGACGATGCTTCTTTCCGGTAACGTAACTCACGGGCAACAAGAGTGCATTCTCTTGTGATTGCTTGATACGTGCTGAATAAGATGAAAAGTAGCCCTGAATGTTGGGTGAAGGGCCAGCGTTGTACATGAGGTGATGCTGAGGCATAGCAGCAAGTGGTTGCGATGGTTGCTGTTGCTGTTGTGGTTGAGGAGCAATCGCAGCAGATGGCATGTGAGGCACAATGGGCCGAGGCATGATCTGTTGTTGTGGCATTGGTTGAATCTGTATAGGTTGTCGATTCAAATCAATGGGATAAGGGTAGCCGCTCATGTTAAAAAGTAAAAAAAAAAAAAAAAAAAAAAAGTAAAATGCCTGATGGGAAACACCAACTATAAAGTTTTTATGAACATTTGTAGTCTCGTGACGTCAGATTGAAAAGCCTTTTTGTCCCTCCAAATGTTTCAATGTAAATTTTATGCTCTTTTGTCAGTTACCTGTCTAAATTCGCATACACATATCATGAAGAGAGCATTGGAGCAAGGCAGTCTGCATTCAACTGATCAAAAGAACAGCAAATCAAGGTAAATACGATCCTAGATCCATGCGAACGAACATCCTTACTGACCATGGTGCGTGTCTTTCTAGTATCGCATCCAGTGCCCCTATCGAAAACCATGCTGCGGATGGAGTCAATTGGACGAATGTAATCACCGTAGTATTGTAATGATGAAAGTAATTACTGATAAACTGTGTCTAGTTACGACTGAACGACCTGGAATCAAATCATGTCAATCAGCGCATACAGGTACACGAGACGACAATGAACAACTAAGCATAATGGAATTAAACGCATATTTAAACTGGCAGTGCTTGTTAGCCATCGCTAGACAGATACCCTTATTTACAGTACAACAACAAAAAGAAATTATAGAAATCATCATACATCGACTAGAAAAAGAGCAAGATGGCGATGCCAAAGCAATGATGATTTTGCTTGTCGAAAAATGCTCTCGATACCCGAATGTCAATACGTTGGCTGTTCTGACTCGTTTGCTGGCAGAGGCAAGTGAAGACAGTGAATTCTGCAACCATGCACATTGACTGATGATGGGAAATAGCTCAATACCGAATCCACCAAGGTGAAATGGCATGTGTATAATTGTATCTATCATGTTTCAAAGGTAAATGCCATGGCAGATCAAGCACAACTTGGCATAGCCGCATAGATCAGCCTGTTGATATATCTTGACTATAGAATCGACAAATCACGCAAGAGGCCAATAGCGCGACATTGGTATCCACATTATACGATCATCTCACACACGACTTGACCAATTCGCATCACAAAGTACGAGCGATTAGCATCTCGCTCTTGTCACTATTGCCCTTTGTCTTTTCCCACCATGCCACCATGGCAGAAATGCAGGTACAGAAGATTGTCAGCAATTATGCTCGAGACAGTGACCCGCGCGTACGGAAAAGTGCACTGGATGCACTTGTCCAAATGCACCTAAGAGGATGTCCACTGGATCTAGCCATTTACAACCTGTCCGTTGCTTCATTGCGAGACGATTATGAAGAAGTGCGTATGGGTGGATTGAATTTGATGGGTGTGTTGAGCTCACTGTATCCCGAACATCGCATGAAATTAGCGCACGAAGAAGTGAACGAAACAACACGTTTGATCGATGATGCGTTCAACAAGGTGTGTGATCTTGTCAATGATTCAGCAATCACAGTGAGGACAAAGGCGTGTGTCATGATGGCATCGTATCAACATGTGGGCCCTGATATGTTGAGCCAAACGTTCAGTAAACAGATCATGTCGCATTTGAAAAGAAGATTACCGCGATATAAGCAGCAGCAAAAGAAGTATGCCAATGGACAGATACCAGTGGCGGAGGGAGATATTGATGTGGAATCAGATGAATTTCATATCTTGGATTCAGGGGCGTGTGGTTCGTTTATTCATGGTTTAGAAGACGAGTTTCAGGAAGTGAGAAACGCAGCCATTGGTAAAGAGAGAGCCATTTGACACTTGGCACTATTTTTTGATGCCATGGCAGTACTGACACAAAATAATAGATTCTATTTGTGAGTTGTGCATGTATAATGAGCAGTTGACCAAGAAAGCGGTAGAGTTTCTCGTTGGTAAGCTGGAATAGATGGTAGAATGAAACCTAGGTGATTAACATATGACAGATATGTTTAACGATGATATCGATAAGATCCGACTCAATGCGATTCAGAGTTTGCGTAAGATTGGAACCAAATCAACACTTGAATTTGATGAGGAGCAGTTGGAGATTGCAGTGGGCGCGTTAGAAGACAGTGATCCATTAGCAAGACAAGCGACACACGAACTCTTCACGTAAGACTTATCACATGTTTCGCCCGGTTTGTTGGATTTTTTGACTAAAACATCAGGCGTTGATTTATCAAGTGTTGTGCGATTGACGGTGCCCATATCGCTGACAACACTTTTAGATGCACTTGAAGCCAACACCAAACGCTATCCAATGGATGTCTTGTCGATTTACCGATGTTTGAGAGATGTCGGGAAACGGCATGATGATTATGTGGAAACACTGGTACCTGATCTACTGAGATTGGATAAACGATACCTGCCAAAAGAAGCCAATGTGGAGGATACCATGTATACAGCCTATGTCATCTTGATTGTCAATGCGTGCTCGTCCAATGTCAAGATGCTTCACCATCTACCGAAATACATCTTTCGGCACTTTGCTTATTTCAAGAGCAAATACCCAGATTGCATACCCGATTTACGAGTAAGTTTGTTGTCAAACAAAGCACATTTATTTTTAGTGACAAGTGGAGTGGCATGATGCTAAATATACACTTTAGAAACTATACAAGATTACCGGTATTAAGCTAGAAGGTGATGTGGATTGTTTACCCATGACATTTAGTGGTAAGTTGAACGAGAGCAGGTTTATTGTTTGTCATACTAAATAGGCTTTGCTTTTTTTTTTTTTTTTTTTTTTTATATATTTTTTTTTTTTACTAGCCTCAGCAAAGAAATTAGTAGCAGATGATGCAGAAGGTTACATGACGGCCACCATCGACATGTTGCAAGTGATTAAAACTCAAGTTGAACGCAATGAATTATCAACAGCACTGCTCACCATCGATGTAGCCATTCGAAATTTCAAATACATTACCAGTTTAAAGCCACTGCTCGTCGGCAAATCTGAATTGGCACAACTTTATTTGCAATGCTACCAAATTGTGATTAAAGTGAAACAGAGCCATTCTTCACCAACCTATGCTTCCACTGCTCAACTCGCTGCCGCATCACTCCTGAAGCATTCGTACACCATACAGCATACGTACTTGGGCCTGTCCAAGGACACACTGCATGCTGCCATGTATTTCCGTATCCTGGCAAACATGATTTGGATATTTGGGATACTGAAGCAACTGCCAATGTAAGTTGATAGGATGACTTTTTTTTTTCTAAGTGGCACCCTGGCCGACTGACGTGATGTTACTTTAGTTCAAACAACAATTCATTTAGTGTCAAAAACATGCTTTTAGCATTTCGCCAGCGAGCCAAACTTATTCAGCAGGAATTCAACTTTGAAGATGATGCAATTCTGAGTCAACTGCAGCAAGATTTATCGTCAGCAATAGAATCGCCCACGACCACCAAAATGACGCTATTACATTCATTCATCACAGTGAGTACACGCATTACCCTGCTATGTCTTGCTTGCTTGATTTTGACTCACCAGAAACCTAGTCATTTGTACCTTTAGATATATGCCTCAATAACCCTGTCAAACGGACAACCGCAGAAATCATTTTACCGCAATCAAATCCAGATAAGCCATTCAAGTTTGCATCGAAATACCCTGTTAAACTGCATTTGGAAGTAGATGTCTTTAATTGTAGCGACACGAGTCAGTTGGCCATTGAATTCATCTTGCCTGATCAATCGACATTCATGTTCTGGCCCGCTCCGGGCCATTTCAAACAAACGACGCCCTACTGCTTCAAATTGGCAACAAACGTAGAGCTGAATCTATCACCATGGACAGGTAATGTGCCTTTGATGTATCACATGAGCGAATTATACACTCAAACATTTACATGTAGAGCCTGGTGTAGTCATTGTTCGCATTGTGCAATCGTTTGAACCTGATTTGGCTGGATTGGACGACTATATCATCACGTATCCCAACCATGCTGCACCTACGAGCAACAACAACAACAATGCAGACACCAAGAAAACCACATCGTGTGTCATTAGTGAACATCTGAAATATCGCTTATGCCCAACAGCAACATCCAACATGATCAATAAAAGATCTTTTTAAATAGCCGCATGTGAGCTATAAAAATTTGCCCCCCCCCCTCTTTTTCATTTGTAATCTATCCAAAGAAATATGAGCAATGATGATCAGCAACCACACCAGCATAAGAAGAGAAGAGTAGATGCTTATCCGAGCTTTCGATTGAACCACACAGAGTCATACCAAGGCAGTTTTCCAGTGTACAAGCAACCACAAGAAATTACGTCCTATAGCATCGACCACGAGAGACGCGTATGGTTTGACAACCGAGAAATGGTACCAAGTCTCCCAACATCTAGATAAAGTGCATACACTCATACGTTAACTCGGACCTTGTAGAAATACTACTACCCTCCAACCTCAGATAAAAAGGACCTGAACGTGGGATACGATAAAATGATCCAACGAGATGAGAGCATTCCCGAGCATATCGACACATTACTGGACGCATTAACCAACGCTAATGCGAAACAACCTGACGACAACCAAATCACTGCTGATATTGTAACATGGCGCGGTATTATGACCAAGATATTGTGCACTCCCTATTCGAGAAAAGAACCCTGGGAATTACGAGCAACAAAGTACAATGTAATTTATCTCACAAAGTATGATGCAGGGCAATGCCACTGAGATACGAATTCTGTAGGGAACCATCTACATGGAAGAGCAAGTAACCGACAAAAAGAAGAATTCAGAGAATCAAGCATCTGATCGCCAAAAGTTGATGAGCTATTGGGGATACCGATTTGAAACTTTGTGTACTGTGACCAAACCACCACATGAAATGACCAAGAAAGACCCCGAGCTGCAAGAAAGACTAACAGCAAGCGCCAATACAAACATACAGTATTGCATACTAGCAAAGACGAAACTGGGAAGCAACTCTATAATTATGGGAGCGGAAGTGGATTGCTGCAGAGGTAATACAGACATGTCAAAAAAAAAAAACGTATGCGAGGCGTTGAATGGAATGTTCTGTCATGTAGATGTAAAACCAAAAGATCCGTTACAGCAGCCTAGTAATTACATAGAGTTAAAGACATCTAGGGTGATTGAATCAGAAAGGAATCAATATTCTTTTGATAGGTGAGTGAGTGAGTGAGTGAGTGAGTGAGTGTGTGTGTGTGTACACAGATAGCCGCTTATCAGCTAAAAAAAAATTTTTTTTTTTTAATACTAAACTAATATCTTTTGCATACCAGGTATAAGCTATTGAAGTTTTGGGCCCAATCCTTCTTGATAGGAGTCCCCAGAGTCATTTGTGGGTTTAGAGATGATCAAGGCATTGTATTGGATGTGGTGCAATTCAAGACATTGGAGATACCTCGACAAGTGAGAGAGAAACGAAATACTTGGGTATGTACATGTTACCAATCCCATGCGGCCATTCTAACTGTCCTATTTAGAATCCATCTGTTTGTTTGAATTTTGCTAATCAAGTCTTGGACTGGATCCGATCTGTCATCACACAAGACGACCCTACTGTGACCTATGCCATACGATTTGATTACCCGTTCCAAGAGATCACTGTCGAGTGCACTGGCCATTCGCATGTTTTTCTAACTCAACGCTTTCTAGACGGCACTATCCAGCATGACATTGGAGGACCACGGGCATCTGGTGTTTCGGAATCATAATGAGGAGGGGTCAAAAGACGAGGGCAAAACACAAGTTTGCCAAGTGTTTTCCTTCTTTTCATCAATGGCCATGTTTCAGCCATAAAAAAATTTTTAAGGGTACCCTCCCACACACTTTTGTTGCTCATCTAATCATCCACTCTAGTGGCTTTGAAACGACTCCATTTGTCAGAAAAGTAAAAAAAAAAAAAAGTAAAAAAGAAAAAATTACAGGCACCAAAATGCATCGAAAGAAAGAGGGTGGGGGGGGGGGAGATTCAAGTTTAGCATTGATGTGCTATGCTTAATATTAAATTAAAACAATAGAAATTTATGCCATGTTATAAATAAACTGCTTGTTGTGCTCTCTTGTGCTGCAAATGTATACAAAACACATGGTTTGATTACTCAAAAAAGTGAAGGAGGGATTTGCTATCCTTACGCGTTGTGAATTTTAATTGAAACGGAGTGGCTCTTTTGTGATTTGCGAGATCTATTAATAACAGCACTATGAAATTCAACATCCAAGGCTATTATCTGGAAAATTTTTCAGGTTCCTTCACTATAAATGGTGCCCCTCTTTTATCAAGTCATTTCACGGCTTTGATTTTCTTCTTCTTTCTCTCACTCTTTTTATTTCCCCTAAACACGTAGCCGTTGTATTTGACATTATGGGACGTAAAAAAATCCAAATTCAACCCATCAAAGACGATCGTAACAGACAAGTTACATTTCTTAAGCGAAAGCACGGCCTGATGAAGAAGGCTTACGAATTGAGTGTGTTGTGTAATTGTGAGGTAGCATTAGTGATCATTCCCTCCAACAACAAGATGATCCAGTACTCTAGTTCAGACATGACAACATTGATGAATCAGTTCAATGAGGTAAAAAAAAAAAATAAAAAAAAATAAGCGTGTCAAAACACACTAGAGATAAGCCATACTAACATCATGCTAGAACGATGCACCTAAAGAAATCAAAACAAACCAAGATGTAATGTTGTCGAGTGGACAAAGTGTCTTGATTGTGTGAATTAACCTCACTCTTATCCTAGTTTATCGAAAATGCGGACAATAGCAAGAATGAAGACGATGTTGAATCACAAATTTACTCTGAGCATGATCCCAATGATCAGCAAGCAACAAAGCACGAGAAATTCGGTCATCACATCATGATGGCACAACCTGTTCAACAACAGCATTACATTTATCAACCACAGCAACATCATCCCATTGCGCAGATGGTCCCGACTCAATCTGGCATGTCATTTTCGTATACGCCTCATGGTAATGGTTACACTATGCACCAGCAGCCACCTGTTGTATTACAACAACAACAACAACAACAACAACAACAACAACAACAACAACAGCAACAACAAGTGATGCCTCCGCCCGTCAATGCTCAACCACAAACATATGATCACATGTACCATCATCACCAACAACAGTTTCAACAACTTCATCAGCATCATCAAATCCAGCAGCAACAAATGTACTTGTTTCAGCAACATCCCACTACATTACAAAGATCGTTTACAGCTCCTGCTGCCAACACCACCACCACCGTCGCCACCACTGCTTCTAGCACAGGTTTGATGTATCCATTGGGCACACCTGGCTTGTATCATTCTCCCAATAGTTCACCTGCAACGACTCAGCAAGAGTTTTCACCAGATCAATCTCCTAGATCAGAGCCTGGAACACCCGAGAAAAGACCGAAACTGAGAGTGACCATACCGGCAGAGACCACGCAACAAGATGGTAACACCAAGGAAGATGCCAACGTAAGATGATGTGCGTCAATTTTTCCAGTTCAAAAAAGAAAACTAACCTCTTATTCTGCTACAGTATAACAATAGTCTACCTCCACCTTCCGCTTTACCAAGTCAATTTGTACAAAACTTGCCTTCACCATCCACATTTTATCCCGAATTTTATCAATCCAACTTCATGATGAGCCCGATCCATAGTAACAGCAGCAACTCAGCCGGTACTTTCATGATGCCGACCTCTCCATTTGGCGGCAATAGAACAAATGAAACTATAAGGTAACCATTACACTGGATTCTGGATGATTGTTACTAAATTGTATGTACTAATTTAGAAAGAGGTCGATTATTCAATCTGCCCACAATAATCGCAATGCCCCTTTGGATGACCATTCTAGCAAGAAAATCAAAGTAGAAAACTAAATATCTCTCTCATGTCCAATGTGTAATTCCCTTTTTTTTTTTTCCATACTGTAATTTCTGTAGCATTACCAATATATTAAGCTGTAAATTCCCTTCTTTTCACACACACACACACACACACACACACACACACACACACACACACATCACACTTCATGTATCATATTCACTCTACTACTACTACTACTACTACTACACACTAAAAAAAAAAAAAATAAAACTTTATTGATTTTCCGAAAAAAAAAAAAAACTTTACACTGACATTTACATTAGTTGTCTCTTTTTTTTTTTTTTTTTTTCTACAGCAATTACTTTATAAACATGAACGAGGAACAAGCATCTGAAAACAGGCAGCTTCAAGATGAAGAAATGATGGCATTGGAAGCTATTTTTCCCGAGGCATTTGAGCGAGACACAACATCCACCAACGCGTTCAAGTACACATTGAATCTGGATGAAGATGAGCCCGATTTGCGATCACCACGCAAAGTAGTATTACGTTTCTTCCTGCCACCCACCTACCCGAACCAAGACATGCCCGTGTATGAACTATCTTCCATTTACTGTGGTACCAAAAAGATTGACGATGCGATGCTGGATGAGATTGATGCCGGTTTTCAGTCACTATTTCATCCTACCGAGGTTGTTTTGTTTGAATGGATTAGTTGGCTCCGAGACTATCTGGAAGATCAAGTAGAGAAACAAACCAATGAAGATCACAACGAGAGTGCCGATCCATTAGCACAATCAATGGAGCAACTCAATGGAGCAGAAACTGGACACAGCAAGGACAGTGAGGAAACAGTGTTTGATTACAATCCAGAGGATTATGTGTACAAGAAACCTGTGCATGACCTGCCAGAAGACCAAGATGAAGATGAAGCCCATGATAGACCTACTGTTAGATCCTTAATGCAGCCCAACAAATACCATACTGAAGCAGCCCCGCCTATTTTCACAAGTGAAGCTCTGGTGGATCGAAAATCATCCTTTGTTGCCCATGTAGCAACAGTGCATACAGTACATGAAGTCAAAGTGGTGGTTTCACACCTGTTACAGAACAAGAAGATTGCCAAGGCGACACACAATATACTGGCATATCGGATCACCATGCCTGATGGAAAAGTGCTACAGGACAATGACGATGATGGTGAATCGGCTGCAGGCGGTAATGGCACACACCACTTATCAAATGACATGCGCTCTTACTGATATCGATATATACAATAGGCCGCCTTTCGCATTTAATGCAGATACTAGAAGTAGAGAATGTAGTGGTGGTGGTCACTCGATGGTTTGGTGGTATCCATCTGGGGCCAGATCGATTCAAGGACATCAATAATGTAGCACGGACAGCGTTGGATGCATGTGGCTATATCAAAGATAAACATGTCAGGGGAAACGGGAGCAGTAATAATAATAAGCACAAGAAGAGCAATAAAAAATAAGAGTAGACGCTACACTGTGTATTGGGAGTAGGAGCAGTAACGGCATCAAGAAATAAGAGCTTGTGCAAAGTCGTTGATATAAGCTGTTCATAATCTATGATGATCTAACGGCTAGTAACTAGACGTATGCTGTACACTACTACTTTAACAAGCTCTCAAGTTGAGACTTCCGGAGTTAGAACCACACTCAGGAGGGATGAGCACCATCAGCCAACTACGAAAACGCAAGAACTTTCATCTTTTCCCTCCCCTCCCCTCCCCTCCCCTTTTACGCTTGAATTTTTCAACACTCTAATGTCAACAAACACAGAACAGCCTCCAGCACCAGCATACGAAATAGAGGCAGATGGCCTTGCAGGCGACATTATTAAATCCATCATGACACCCGGATACACAGCGAGTGGAGTGATTCGAATCATGTTTTACGCATTTTACGCACTGTTTGCAACGCTCTTATTTATGATTTTTATCACAAGAGGCAATCCTCATGTCATTGCATTGTTCCTACTAGCACTTTGCCTATTTGTGACTATAAAATGGTGAGTGTGTCGTCTAAACAAGAAAGACATGGCAGCTTGCTAATTCAGAGAGAGAGAAATTAGGTTTATAGCAGAATTGGATCACGTCAAAAAACAAGAAGCAGCAGCCAAAGCAAAACGAGACAAAAAGACAGGATAAAAAAAAAAAAAAATAAAGCAAGAAGCCGAGGCTTATTTATTTTTTCTATTGTCTTTATGGCGAATGCTCGGTAACAAATAAGTATACAATGCACCAAACGTACGCAAATTGTAATCAGCTATCAGAATCAGCTTTTGACCCAATTTCGAAATTTCGTGCTCCAATCCCATGGTGGCATGTTGCGTGGCAGCAATGCTGTCAAATGTGCCCTGTGCCATGGCGTCTAAAATAATCGATCTCACGCGGTGATACATGATTTGATAGACGGGCGATGTGTTTCTCAAGTTTTGATTCATCCAATTTGACCAGTATTTTGCTTGTTCAATCACATCTTGGCTGACGTTGGCAGGATCTAGCTGTTTAGCCATGTTGCATGCATGGAGCGCAAGATGGAAGCAAGAGACTCGGCCGCTGGCGATGGAGGCATCCTTGAGCAACTTGGAGTAGGTGGTTTTGAGATGATCCAGATCAGACTGCCTTGCCCTTTTACCTGCCATCAGACGATAGGGCATCAAGAGTAGACCGATCACAATGATGTTTTGGAATTCATGTCGCATTTGATGCTTTAGTCGCTTTTCGTCATAGCAAAACGTGATGGGAAATGAGCATGGCGTCAATTGTAATGCTGCCATTGTGTCATGGTCATCTGTCACCAAATTGAGTAAGCCTGGAAAAAAGAAAAAAAAAAAAAACCGACGTTTTTTTTTTTTTTTTTTTTTTTTTTTTTTTTTTTTTTTTAGCATGGACATGGACTTTCATGGTTCAGCAAGGCTTGCTTACCTGTGCGAAATACATGGATGAACTTGGCATCTGGACCCAGTCTGTCCCATGTGCAAGACATCCATTCAGACACAGAGGAAATGGTGATCTCTTGATTGTCTAGTTGCCTCAGGAAGATTTTCCACTCGAGGCTTGTGCCAGTTTCAATCAGGTATGGACGATAGTAATGCAATGCCTTGTTGGCACAATCCTATCATAAGATGCACATGAGTCCTGTGGATCCATGTCGATCGCTCGCAACATACGACTTACTAGTTTGATGGTTTCCAGTGTCAAAAAACACAGTTCCAACGCTCTTGCATACTCTTGGTCGTCCACCAATCGCTGTATACGCTCGGCCTGATCAGGACACAGTGGACTGAGGATCGAATGCAAAAAGTTAAACTTGAAATCCACATTGAGACACCCTTGTATCAGCTGTTGATGCACCAAATCTGGATCCAAGACAGCCAAGATGGCACTTTCTGAAATGTGCTGAGGCCAATTCCACACAAAGGACGTAATGGGGTGGCTGGGAAATGGCGAGATCAATGAAGTTAAAATAAGCGATAGCTCGGTCAATAAATTTCGAACGAGGAAGATGAGTTGATAGTGATCGTCAGACTCCTCTGCTGGCGTTGTGGTGGCGCAATATTTGATCAGGTAGTCTAAACGACGCCAGTAGATTTCAGATTCTTGGCTCTTTTCCAGAGTCATGTTGGGCCGAAACGTTAAATGAGGGTCGATCAAGAGATCATGTCGAATTTGAAGGCTCTTGAATAATTGTGAAACTGACAATTCGGTCAATGCCTCAGCGGTGATTGGAGGGAAATCCAGCTTATTCTTTACAATGCTGATATCGCTACTATTCATGGAGGTGGGTGTTGGCGGTGGTGGATGCTGATGATGCTGGTGTTGATATTGATGTTGGCGTGATTTCTTGGTAGTATGCTTCTGGATAATGTTACATGACCTTTTTCGTTTCTTGATCTGGAGAGACCAGGCCATTCTCACAGCATTGATAAAGGCCAGTCTATTTTGAGGAGGAGGACAAGACAAGGAAGAAACTGACGCTTGTACTCTTCTTGTGGTACGTCTCTTGGTGGGGTGTGTGATGGTAGCATGGTATGATGAATTATGATTTATTTGAGATGTTGATGGCTGTGGCGAGTTTGGGTAGTTGAATTTATTGTTGTCCAGATTTGTAGTTTTGTTATTGCTGCTCTTTGTATTCTGCTCTGCATGCTGCTGCATTCGAACTGGATCAGGCGAAGACTCTTGACTGTTGTTCTTTTGAGTTTGCACGAAATCTTCATTCAACATGATGTAGGGTAATGAGTCTGCCACACTGTATTGCTGATGATGAATTGATATAGAGAGAAAAGGAAAGAGAGAGAGAAAGAGAGAGAAAGAGAGAGAAGAGAAAGAAAGAAAAAAAAAAAAAAAAAAAAAAAAAGGAAAAAGATAAACAAAAGGAAAAGAACAAAGCACCATTAAATATTTATACAATATGGATTACTGCTGAGCGATAAATTGGGCGAAACATGGAATTGTTTAAAGTCTGAAAGCCGCATGCAGTCTATTTTTCCTTTGGTAAATCAATTTGAAAAGCATATTTGTTATTTCATTAATTGTTTAATTTCGTATAATTTCGCTCTGCTTGTTGATGCAGCAAAAAGCATTGGTTTCATTGTGATGCCCGCAGTGGGTTGTTGGCTCATTATCATGTCCATTTCATATATAAATCCAAGAGGAGAGAAGCAAGCAAGCATCCAGCATTATTTGCGCACAAACTCTCTCTTCTCCTCCTCCTCCTCCTCCCCCCCCAAATCATCCCACTGATCCAATCACCAATTAAAACCATTCAAAATTGACCGAGTTTATATAACCTTCTGTACATGTTGAGGACATTGAACGAGCAGTATGCACTTGCCTGGCTTCAAATCAGCACCATCACCCTATTTACCTTGATTGGTAGTCTCATCTACTTGCTAAACTACACCTCAACCCATCTCAATGCTTCAAGATCCCGACTTGAAACTGTTTGTGATTCTATTAATACATCGTCCGAGCAGATATACAATGCGCCGTCTATCCTGCTGCAAGCCTCTATTCACTCAGTCTATACAGCCAAGGACAATATCCATCGGAATCTGTCGACAGCTGTCAATGTGATTGAAAATGTGGTTGTGTGGCTGATAAGCCTATACAAATCAACTTACCGCTGCTTATTGGGTTTAGCCGTTCGCTCCATCCTCTCAGTTGTTACACAGATTGCTAGACCCATTCAGAAAGTGGCCCAAGGTGTCACCTCATTTCTACATCTCGATGAATCTACTTTGCACACGGCAGGCTGGACTGAATCTCTCAACACGACACAGCACAAGATTGAAGCATGGTTCAAGGATGACAATGCCGTGATTAGATCGTGGGTTGACACACCGTTCAATGCCTTGCAAGGTCAATTAAATGCTACATTTGATGCTTGGCAACCGCCCTTGATGACAAATATCACTACTGCTGTTACCACAGCCAAGTTTCAACAGCAGCCATGTCAATCGGATCAGCTTTTGTCAGCAATCAATCATGTAGAACACGAGCTTACCTATTTCATCTACATCACCTTGGGCGCGCTGGTAGGCCTTGTTGTGGTATTCACCATAGTTAACCTGGTGGCCATCCGTTGTCGCCATCATCAAGTGGCACAAGCGCGCTCCCTGTTTTTGAGTCTTTACCAAACGGATAAGAATGCTGCTATACAAGACTTACTGGACAGATACATCTGGACCACCTTCACCATCGTGCTCCCCTGGCAGAAGCGAAAGCAACGGTTACACCAACTGTTTCATTTCATGAGTCATCCCATCGTAGTCTACTGTCTTGTGGTTGGTGTCGCTGGCGTGTGCATGACCTATGGGTTGGCCTGGCTTATTGAATCCAAATCGCAACAGGTATATGCTGAATTCGTCACCAAGCTGCAAGCATGGACAGTCAATGCTACAGCAGAATGGACCAGCACAGCCTCGCACCAGTTTGCAAGCATCAATGGGTGGCTAAACGAGACGGAATCAGACCTGAATAGCCATGCCTTTGGTATCATCAAGAGCTCCGCACTGACGATCAACGACACGCTTTCCAATGTGGTGGAGCAGATACACACACTAATTCAAACTGTGTTGGGTGGCACACTCTTGGAAACGCCAGCAAAGGAGTTGACGCAATGTTTGCTATTGACTAAAATAGAGAACATAGAACAAGGCTTGACTTGGATAGTAAGTTGCTGCCATAGTGGGCTTGTTTGCATGTACACTAACACGGATACACAGGCTGGACATAGCTATGTGCGCTTGACCCGCATTGATGTGCCTCAATTTGACGCTCTGTTGATGGGACCAGCGATGCAAAACTCGATTCAGCAGCACATCAATATGGACGACAGCTTATTTATAACAGAACAGCTGAACAGCTTAACGAGCTTTTTTGGCATGTTGCTTTATTTGTGGTGCATTAGTTTGTGCATTGGCATAGGATTTCAAATCAAATATTACTTTTTCGTTGATAGACAGCATGTGCTTGTTTAATGTAAATCAATCATTCAAATAAACCTCTCTTACTTTAACTTTTGCTCTCTCAAAAAGATCCACTCCAGTTCAAGCACTTCTCGCCATAATTTGCCATGTTTACCAAAGGCCACAGCGACGGTCTCTTTGGAGGACATGATCCATCGTCGAACACCTCTTTCATAGACTTTTTCTAATTTCACATTGTCTCCAATCAGCTCAGACTGGATGATCGAGTTCCAGCATGCCTTTGCAAGGACCAGGAAATGTTGCGCCAGCATGGGATGGTAAGGGGGATAGATCAAGCAGTACTGGATCAAGACGTACATGCCCAATTTGACAGCATTCTGCCAGTGTCCTTCAGCCATTTCGTCGTAGAATAAACGGCTGCAAACGGATAATGTATCGAGACGATAAGGGATGATGGTGCCGCTCTGGGTGGGATACGACAACATTTTGTCAATGGCCGTCTTCATGATCTCGTCGTAGGTGGACTGAACGGGAGGTCTTGCAAACGCAGGCAGTGGATCATCAAAGTCTGTCAACGATGTCTTGAGTGTGAGTCCCACTTGTTGCTGGTGCAATTCAGGCTGGTTCCAAGTCAACAAATACGGTGCAAAGAATTGAATAAAGTAGTGTGTGTAATTGGCCATGGTCAAAGGCTTTGTTGGATCAGGACAGCCATCGCTCTTTCTGTCGTACTCTTTGCACATCTCCAACAGGTCCCATTCTTCCACTTCTTGTAAAATGCGAGCACTCTTGTCCATGGCTGTTGCCGTATCGTTACTGTTTATCTTTTGGTGTTGCGCTAATAGCTGTTGTGCACGATCCCAATCTGATTCCTCATCGCCCAGCAATGTATCAATCAAGCTCAAATAAGGTCGTGCCTCGCCTGCACAGCATCGTTCACATGTACATTGAAAAAAGTATTTGTCTTGCAACGACTTTTGGCGATACTTTCTCGAGTGAGCAGCATCAACGTAGGCTATCGTAATCTCGGCACCGGGTTCGATATCCTCAATGGCATGGATGGAAGCAAGAGCACCCTCGAACATGACCACAGCATTGGGTCTACATGAATGATTGAACAGGGCGGCGATTGGATAGGTGCCTTCTCCAATAGCAAACATGTCGGTGTCGTTGATGGCAAAGTTGTTTGATTTGAATACGTTGAGGTAGTGCACAAGTTGATCCAACGTCAGCCCTGTTTGCTGGATAAACGGTTTTTTGAGTGCTTCCGAGGCCAACAATGTATATTTCTCCTTCACATGGCGTTGCTGCAAGTGGTCATGGCCCACAAGACTGAAAAAGGCCTGCATTGTGATCTCCACCGTTTCTTCTGATCCGTCGCCCGTCGCTGATGACTGATACGCTGCCGCCTGCTCTTGTCTCTTTCTATATCTTGCAATATTCAATGCCACTCGTTCCAACATTTCTAGGTCCATGTCATCTTCAGCGTCGCGACTGGTGACGTTTGCTTTGCACACATATTGATGGTAACTGAGCCAAGCATTTTTGAAGCAAGCCATGTCGCAAAAGTAGGCCTTTTTGCACTGTGAGCATCGTTGCAGTGGAGGCGATGTTTGCTTTCGAAAGCAATAATTACAAAACTCATTCAAGGCTTGCGGCAAAGCAACGGTTCCCAGGGGCTGCGAAGTGATGATTTCTGTGCCCTTTGGCAAATGTGCATTGGATGTGATGTATCGACCTCGAATTGAGTCGGTCGAGTCTTGCAATACCAAGTGATGATGTTCCAAGTAAGCTTCCATGAAATAAAGAAAATGTAATCAAGAGAAAAAAAAAAAGTGTGAGAGAGATATGTTTTACAAGATCAGTTACCCACATTGCTGAGTCGCAACGATTGGAGGAAACTGGCCGAGTTGGTTACAGTACTCTGGTTCTGAATGGTGCAAGTAAGCTATATCTCTTTGAATAGGCCCATTGTGACCAAGTTAAAATATCTACATTTCTCTCTGGTAGAATGGCATTTTCTGGACATTTTATGATGCTCATCCAACATGCTCTCCCTTAGTGTACTTTACTTTTCAATTGCCCTGGAATATTTCTTAAATAGCTATCAACAGCCTTAGTGCTCGCAATAATTGCCACAGCTCCTTCAGTCGTGCTCAGGCTATCGTTGTCCTTGTCATCATTACTCTCCACTTTATCAACATCATGGAGTTTTGCTTTTAGTATGACATCTGCTTGCGTATTCAACCGCTTCTTGCTGTCAAGTCACAGATGAAGCAATGTGATTGATTCTGAATGCTGGTGGATGCGCGATCATTCATGGCTGGATCACTGTCATTGTAAATAGGGCCAATATAAATAGTGAACCCACAAACAGGTTCCACGAACCTGATAATACTCCTCTACTGATGGATTAACGCATGATTTTAGGAGATAAAAGCTATTCCTAGTGCATTTCGTAAATACGCATTGAACATATCTGTTTATCATCCCTTGAATTACAATTGTAAAATGAACGAAAACTTGGACAGCCCTGGATTTATCAATCCATTGCTTTTTGTGAAACGTTTTAAGAATCTTTACTGCCAATTTCCTTTTTAGGAAAATATTTTTTGAGAATTTTGATTGGATGGCTACATAAATGTACAGAACCCCTCCCCCCCATCACCAAGCCCACCCGTCTCTCCTCTTCTTACATTTCACTTTGAATATTTTCTTCCTCTTTTCCTCTCTTTGTACTTTTTTTTTTTTTTTTTTTTTCTTCTTTTTTATTCTGTTTTATATTTATTACCCATAGATGTTTTTTCAATTAATATACTCTTGTACATGTTTTTTATTGTTAATAAATACAACCGTTGCCTTTGATTTATCGAAAAGACAAGGTACGCAATTCTTCACTACTAGTCAAAATTTATGTGAGAAAGCTTATTTCAAATGTTATTTTTATAGCTGTGGCTTCTAGATCATGTGGAAACGAAAATAATACAATATCAATTTGTTCACCAACATTCGATTCGATATGGATGAACGATACAGATCAAGAAATCACCTGGAAGTGGAAGTAAATGTTCATGTTGAAATTGTATCGTGTGTGTTTATACAGAACAACTCATTTTCTTTGTTTATTATTCTTTTTTGTTGACTGAAACAACCACTCTTTCAGTAATCCGACTCTAAATCAATACGTACGTATGTCCAACGACATGGCCTGAAACAGCAAAATGCCTAACGTTTTCCTCAATAGAATACGCTCGATTTATATCTACTCCATCAACCCACTGAAGGCACTTATGAAGTCATTAAAACCTGGCCCGGCCAAGAAAGAACCAAAGGTGTCCTTGTACAACATATTGACAATTCTTGGTACCCATCTCCAATCAGCGATAACTCTCCCAATGTCTCTTGGATCATGTATTTCTATATAGTTGGCGCTGATTACGATATTCAAACAGATCTTGCATTAATACCCACTCAGCATAACTTTTTTCCTGTACCTCAGATCTTTACATTGATACGTAAGTACTACTATAACGTGTATTTATATATATATATATTCCATTTATTTATTTTAATCGATTATACAATCTCCTACTTAAAGAAATTTCTCGTAACACAACTGCAACAACACCATCAACGACCACGATGAGTTCCAGTCCAACATCGGCACCATCTTCCATTGCAGCTGCACCATCTGGGAGTAACAATAACAACAAAAAACTACCAGGATGGGCCATTGCTGTCATTGTCATTGCATCATTGCTGTTCATTGCTGCCGTAGCTGCATTAATTTGGGCATACAAGAGGTACAAGAAACGAAGCAACACAAACCGAAGAAGTATGATGGCACTTGGTCCCAATAACGCTGGCGGGGACGATGAGAAAGTCTTGATTCTGACACCTACTAAAAATGAATCCCATGTAGCCATATCTCAAAACATTGCTTCTACAGGTACGAGTGGTGGAGCAGCAACTGCTGCTGCCATGGCTGCTGGTACCGCCGCTGCAACTAATAGTAAATCTCGATCAGGCGATATTTCCTCCATTCATTCGTCAACACAACAATTATGGTCGCCCAGATCACTGTCTCCACGTCAAGACGAAGCCTCTTTCACATCAGAAAAGCCGCAATTGGGCCTCAACAGTGACGCTCATCAATCAAGTAGCATCCTGTCATCCACAGATGCGCTCATGATTGCAGATACATTTAGGCAGTTTATGAGAAAACCTGAATGGAATGAGGAATTGGAGCTACAAAGACAACAACAAAAAGAAGGAGCAGGAGGAAATGGCACTGAAGCAGGAGGAGACGCTACTACTGCCACAAAATCTGAGGAAGAACGCAAAAGATTAGGGGATCAATTGCTTGAACGTCAATTAAAAAAGGAAGGCACACAGGTGCAATCCATTGATAAAATCAATCACTGAAAAACAACATCATATAGAAAATAAAAAATCGCGATCCCAGCTTAAAAGAATTTGCCGGTGATGGTGCTATAGATGGCAATATCAAGTTTTTTTTTTTTTTTTTTTTTTTTTTTTTTTCTCTCTTATAGCTTTCTCCTCCAAATAACGCTTTCGACGGATAAGGTCTAGCTTGTTAAAGCAATGAGGGATGAGGCAGTTACATAATGAAAAAGAAGGGAGGGAACATATTCAAGTCGGTTCAATGACTTTTTATCAAGAATTTTCGTGTGTTTGTTTATGTCTTGAATCTATCTTTTCTGTTTGACAAGGTTTGTAATATATTTTGATCCAATCATTTGATCTGAGCATTGGTGTGTGCCTGCCTGTTTCATGTACCTGGATTTAACACAACTCCGCCTTGCTTGCAGAATAACCCCCTTTATAAAAGTATGGCATTTACCTCGACCTGCGAGTAACTTGGGCTATCAAAAAAAAAAAAAACAAGCCTCCTCTCAAAACAGGCGATATACGAGCAGTGCATCAATTTGGCTGCCATCGACGGCCTCGTTACGTAGATATTTTTGCGCTCATGAGGAAAAAAAAAATGATGATACTAAAATTTAGACAATGATACCGTAGCTATTCATCTTGATACCAGAAGCGATAATAATGCATGTAACACTCGTTAGATGGAACCAAAAATAACACTGTTTAGTTTATATGCAAAAGCGTTTCAACGGCTTGTACCATCATACTCGTCAATTCCTGGCTCCATGCGTTCTCTTGGACGTTTTCTGTCGAAAGGTACCTGACATCCCCCCCCATTCACCTTTTTCAAATTTTGCTGCACCAAGCTTCAAGCCCCAGGTTTTACTTATATCCTTGACTTGTAGCACACGCGCCAACCTAAAGTCTTTAAGGAGCAGCAGTTTTTCTTGGTAGTACCAGTGCTTTGTGTTTTATTGCAGTTTGCACTTGGAACATTCAAAATAGTCAAAGCAACTACATTGATATCCCTTTGGATCAGCTTGGTACAGCGCTCAAGCAAATGGATCGACAATCGTTTCCCCAATGGCAAGAACCCATTTGTAAGAGATCTCATTGAAAACGGTGTGCATACGGCTCTTCCTTGCGTACAGCAAGTGCATGAAAACGAGAATCTGTATAACATTCAAAAAAAGTAGACAAACAAATCATACCCTTTCAAAAATGTAAAGAATTGAGTACCTTTCAAGGTGAATAAACTACCGGCGAAGCCGCCATTGGGGAAAGGGTTTGGAGGAGGTGCTTAGTCTATCCTCTAAGAATATAACGTATCTAATTCAACATTTGGTAACATTGACCTCTAAGGCAGTTTACCGTAACAAAGTGAAGGTGAAAAACCATGGCAGCTAAGCATCTAACCCAATATTTGGTAATGTTAATCTAAACGAGGATTTTACCGTAGCGAAACGAAGGTGCAAAACCATAGTATTTAAGCAGCAAATTCGGCTTCTCATTTCCATTATTAATAAACTTATTACCAACAACATAACGTATCAAAATTAGCATGAATTGGTTTTACCAAAATCAATATGCCTCCTATTCGTATTAAAAATTGCACACGCTACCAAAGAGCGTTTTTTTTACAACCCAATGTACGGCAAAATACAGTAGGCGCAACGCCAATGAGCGATTTTTTATATCTTCAAAGGGATTTCATTTTTCCAAAAGGTGGAGGGGGGGTTTTTTTTTATATATATCTGAAGGAGGGGAGGGACGTGGTACTATGGATTGCGAAGAAGTGGACCCTCATCACCTACAAATGTTAACTCGTATTAGGCTCTACCTCAAAAAGCAAGGTTCAGAGTAAAAGTCAAACGATGATAGCTTAGATGAAGAAATTGTACTTGAAATCAAGCAACAAAGTAATTCATATAATCAAATTGTTTTCGCTATACAAGAAGGCTGATGAATATTGTCAGCCTTAAAGTATTCATCGTTTTAAATAGTCGACAATAATAATTGCCGATCTAGTTTGATGTAGAGCAAACAAACTAGGAAAAATATAATTCACTTTTAACACTAAATGATCTTTCTGGACAAATAAAACTTTTTATTATATTTTTACAATGTATAACATATATTTAGAAAATAGCACTGAATATATCAAACTACTAGTATTTTGCCCACATTTATAGAAATGGTGATTGCCCGGACGCGACCACGAGGAGGTAATTAGCAATCCACACCCAAACTGCTTACCGCGAAAGTAAACCAAATGCCATTCACGAGAGATGACCAAAAGATAAAAAAAAAAAAAAAAAAAAAAAGAAAATGCTTATCAATAGGGAATAAACTTTTTTGAATAATAGTTTTGTATCAAAAGAACTGACGTATACTATTTCCGTAAAGCACTTTTTGTTTTTGTATTTTTTGTATTAAAGTGTATCTTTATTAGCTTTAAAATTAATGTCTATAGAGTAATTACAGGCAAGGCCAAGGTGCCAGCTTGAACATTTGCCAAAGAAAGAGAAAAAAAGAGTGTACCATGGTCTTGACGGACCATGTTAATAGCAGCAGAAGATAGCCAAGGTTCCTCGTCTATGACGCATCGCCAATGATACTTCCAAAGTGTTCTGTAAGCAGCAATCAAGAGCAATCAGAACATCCTCATCGATCACCACCAAATCTGAATCACTACAAAAGGTAGTCAGCGCCAACCAAATAGAAGAAGCAGAGGGGAGTAGCTCTTGCATTGATAACAAAGAGATTACATCCTGACAGAAAAAAAAAGGCTTGACATGACAACCCACCACGAAACGGTAAAGGTCCTTTGTAAAGAAACCACAAAGAGTACAAGCAGGAGACAGAACTTTAAGCGAGTTAGATGCTGCTACGTTTTATTATATTTATTGTATAGAAAGTAAAACTGTATGCAAACGTATTAAAGACATAACAGTAAATCCAAAGCTTAACTAACAATAAGCATGTCATCTATGTAAGTATGTTATAGCACCACAAAATAATAATGAGATATACATTACAACCTTGTTTTATAGTCTATGTTCCAAGTATAACTAAGAATCATAGCAAATTCCAATACCGGTACTATGATTACTACTACCAATCCTAGCGGCACAGCAAATATATCTGACGATGGATTGGGTATCAACACTACTACCAATGCTAATACCAACATCAATACTACTATCAATGCTAGTGCCACCAATGATGACTTGGATATTGATATTGCGAATGCAAAACTCAAATTAACAAGAACGCTAAAAAGAAAACTACAGGAAATGGAAGAATTATCAAAGGAAATCTCAAAATTACAAAAAAAAAAAGGTAAGATACCTGGAAGAGTTTCAAAATTTGTATTCATATTAGCTTCTACCACACCTAAAAGATTTGTATCTGGTAATTTTTAATAAAAATTAAACCACTCCAATTGAAATTTTCTTTAATACAAAAAAAAAAAAAAAAGGGCATTGTGCCTACTGTATTTTGCCGCACATTGGGTTGTAAAAAACGCTCTTCATGTACAGAATTGCCCTTCCAGAGAATGAAAGAAGCAGTGTTTTGATAATATACGCAAGGGCAATCGGTAGAGCGAGCTGCCCCGCTGCGCAGGTTGGCTCTCACCGAAGCAAAGTAAAGGCAGAGAACCACCCGAAGCATAAGCACTCGTATGTCATAGTAAAAGTCTTTACTCTTGGGGTCAAAAATACGATCGTTTGATTTTCGATCAAAATCACAAGGCACCCCTTATGGTTTGGGAGTCGGTTTTTGACAATCCCCCCCAAAAAAAAAAGTCGAGCAAATATGTCAATAGGTAAATACTGATAAAAACAATTGTTGGGTGCTATCCTGGCAGTCTATAACAGCTTCTGACACGAGAAATCGCTGCTAAAATGCGCTCTGTTTGCATACGTTTGAGTGATAAGGGGATATGCTGTCTACCCATATTATGATGATACAGGTGTGTAACATGATGGAAAAATTAGATCCAGAGCCACAGTTTGTCTATGAAAGAGTTTGACTAGATGACAAAAATGTGAAAAGAGACCTTGGTAAACATTCATATGTAACTAGTCATTTCGTCAACTTAATTATGTGTATCACTGACAGCACACCTTGGTTGATGCTTTCTTCTTTTCGGACCTTCAACGACCTATGAAAGGTGCATCCAGGAAAATTTTTTGTGGGTTAGTAGCCTTTCTTTCAAACATCAATATTGCATTATGAACGAAGCAAAGGTTCAGCTTTTAGGTGTTCTTCGAGAAGCAACATCTCAAGACTATACTCGAATGAGACAAGCCGAGGAACTGCTGAAAGAGTGGGAAAACTCGCCCAGCTTCTTTGCAACCTTACAGGTACATTTGTGCTTTGTATACAGATTGGTGTTTAACGAGATGGGTGAGCTGTACTAACGCTGCCCTTAACTACAGGATATTTTTTACGACCGCAGCATGGACCAAGATATCCGAACACTCAGTGGTATTTATCTCAAGAATGGTATTGATAGATTCTGGAGAAGAACAGCCAAAAAGTAAGCTTGTCCCATCACGAGACAACACGATCCATGACACTCATGTGTAAATCTGTTGCTATAGCCCCATTCTTCCAGAGGAAAAGAAAGCCATTCGAGAGCGATTACTCCAATTCATTGATGAGCCCAGTAAAAAAGTAACGTACTGCAAAAAAACTAACCACACAACTGCTAATCTCATTTTGTGTCTATAGCTTACAGCACAAAATGCAGTGATTGTATCTCGCATCGCTCGACTCGATTACCCTAGAGACTGGCCAGATTTATTGACGAATCTTGTTCAGTCGATGGAGGTAGCTAGCACGCATAATCCAGAAAACGCACACTTGATTCATTCCCGAGTTTTGGAAACGTTGAGCGAGGTTTTACAGGAATTGAGCACACGCCTGTTATCTTCGGGACGTCGACAATTTGCAGAGATCGCACCCACCATCTTCCAGGCTGTTGCTCAGATTTATGTCGTATACGTGGACCGTACTATCAAAAAGTTGCAGCAGATCAACAACAACTTGGATCAGGAAGCGTTGCTGGAGGAACTGAACATTGTAGGTACATGTGTCAAATGCATGCGGATCCTCATGGTCAGCGGCATTCGGGATGTTCACAAATACGACGAAACTCGAGTAAGATGGACAACTTGATTTACCGTTTCGTGGCATACTAACAGACCGGGTAGACATTTCTTGATGTCAGTCGTAAACACTTGGAACGCTACATGGATTGTCGTAAGTGAGACAAGTGGTACAGGGCAAAGGAAACGACGGATGCTGATGACTATGTAGGCTACGGACTCGTTCAAATCAATTACACTGGAAATATAAAACAAGTTGTGGAAGCCACTATTGAGGAATACGGATCACTCTACGTCTCATTACAAAAGAAGCACCCCGTCTCAGCTGTATTGTGTCCAGCATGGCTCGACATCATCCAATATTACTGGCAGAACATCATGGTGGAAGGAACTCATATTGTGGAGCAATGCAAATCAGGCACGCAAGATCAGAATACACTTGTGTTTGAGCCGTTTTTATTACAGGGCATGTTGTTGGTCAAGGACACTATCAAAAATGTATCTTATAATGCGGGTCAATTGGGTGCAGATCTTTTATCAGTGACAGACGAAGAAAAGGAATTAGCTATAGAGGCAGGTCGACTCATCAATGAGCAATTCCTGACACCGGAATTCGTCAATGTCTGCGCTGAAACGCTCGTCAGTCAGTACATGCTCCTGTCACCAAGCGATTTCGCACGATGGGAAGACGATCCTGAGGGATGGTTGAACAATTTGGATACCGAGAATTGGGAATTTGAGCTTCGGCCTTGCGCAGAGTTGGCATTCATGAATCTGCTGAGTCAATACCGAGATCAATTGGTGCCCATTATGGTGACTTTGGTGGAAAGAGTAGCAAGTAAGTTGTGTGCATTTGCGCGCAATGAAGAGTATACTCATACTGTCTTATAAGCTGTTACAGACAAACAAAGCTTATTATTCAAAGACGCTGTGTATGGCGCTATTGGTCTAGGCGTCAATTCGCTGTTTGGCAGACTTGATTTCGAACCATTTGTCATGAATAGACTAGTCGCAGAGCTCAACAACAAGGATCCCAATTTCAAGATTCTGAGACGCCGTATTGGCTGGATGTTGGGAAGATGGGTCACGGAGAGCATCAGTGCTGATTGCCGCAAAGTCATTTATGAGATCTTTTTACAGTTGATGTCTGAAGACGAGGATTTAGTGGTTCGACTAACCGCCGCCAATGGACTGAAGCAAGCAGTGGATGATTGGGATTTCGATATTAGCACTGTTGTGCCTTACCTCGGTTCTGCCATGTCCTTGCTGTTGAATTTACTCAAAGAAGTCGAGGAATCTGACACAACCATGAAGGTCATTTCCTATATCAATGCTATTCTTGATAGAACAGGCGCTGATGTAAGTTTTGTGCACAGGCGATTATGGCGGTATCCAACTCATATGTATACAGATGATCCCTTTTGCAGCACAAATCGTGCAATTATTGATATCCTTGTGGGGTCCCAACACAGAGCCTTTGCTTCAATCCTCTCTTGTTGTCACATTTACAAAAATTACTAGTGTAAGCTCATTTGGGATTACTTTCAAGATGTTGAAATGCTTACATCTTGTGTATAGATACTCAATGAGCAATCAGTACAATTACAAAGCATCTTGGTTCCCATTATCAAATACTGCACTGATCGCAATAATGTACGTAGTGTCCGGAATGACTTTGCTGAACGAGCATGTACTTACTGGCTGCCATTTTACACAGGAAGCACACATTTATTTATTAGAGGACTCGTTGGATCTTTGGTGGACCATTTTACAAAGCACACCTGCCAGTTCGCCAGACTTGATTTCGCTCTTACCAGCCGCATTGGATTTGTTAGATTATGATACTGAGAACCTGCGCAAGATTTTGCTGATCATTGACAGCTACATCATGCTGGACCCTCAAGCTACGCTGTCACCTACCAACACAGTTGTCCTGTTTACCAAATTAGCAGCCAAAATTGGACATTCACGCGAGCAAGCAATTACTTACATTGTGCACACACTTGACTTGGCGCTTCAAAGTGTACCTCTCCAACTGTTTGGCGAGCCACTTGTTCAATCAGGCTTGATGGCCAACGTCTTGAGAGTGCTGGTGGAAAACGAAATATTTGGATTTGCTATTATGAATTGCATGAATCTGTTTGCTCGCATCTCCATCTATGACGCTAATTCTGTGATTCAGGTAATTCAATTGACAGCTCAACAGGAACACATTCAAGGGGATTTTCTCAGTAACATCCTCGATAAATGGCTAGAGAAGGCAAGTACCCATGCTTATACAGTTAATAGGCAGCGGTATTTACCATGTTGATTAGTTTGAGAATGCCAGTCAAGCAAGAGCAAGAAAACTAGCATGCATTGGCTTTACAAATCTCGTGTTGACTGGTAATCCCACGGTGCTATCCAAATTACCAAGCATTATGGATGTCTGGACAAGCGTTGGGCCCGACGTCAAGGGCAGCGATGGGTCAGAGTAAGTGTATTCTCTTTGAGCAGCCGAGCAACTTTCGCTAACGTGTATGATAGTGTTCTTTACAGCGAGATTGATCTGGAAGGCGACGTATACGAGATTGAAAACAGTGCTGAAAAGTCAAGGAAGCATGAGCTATCCCATCGAGACCCAGTATATACCATTGACCTTATTCAACTTATTCGTCAAACTGTAAATGAACCCGCTATCAGCTCACTGGTCAACCAAGTTGATGCCTCCATCTTGGAAAAAGTAAAGGAGCTGCTAAACTAATAGAATCTAATAAAATATCATGCATTCACCAATGAGCTTCCCACCAAATGCCTCACAAAAGAGGGTGTCTGCATGGAACGCGCTCACGGTAAGCGTTGATTGCTTGTGACGCCCATACCTTTATTTTTCGCCTTTGACAATCTTTCAACCTTTTGACATTTATATATAAATATATATATATATATAAAAACAGCCAAACATGGTTTTAGAAAGAGATCATGGCCTCAAAGAGGTTACCGTGTACATTGATTCACAAACAAACACCAACCAATATGATCCCCATCAAAACGAAGACGAGCGACGTGATATCAGAAACAAGTACAGAATCTTGAGCGAAAAGACACAAGGTAGATGGAATCTTTTTTCGTCCATGATACAAATGCCCTCCATGCTCATCAGATGGACTTGCACAGAGACTCGAAAGGAACTGATAGCGCAGGATGACGGCACCAAGCTATACAATACCATTGCCAAAACAAATGTGCTCTTTGAATCAGGCAAGTATTCTATATGTGTATGGGACAATGACCCTTTTTTTTTTTTTTTTTTTTTGCTGATCCTTCCAACTAGTCAAAAACCCGGTCGAAGCTGTACTGGATTCAAGGTTTGTTCGTACCATTGCAGACATCCACAAAGACAAGGCCAAGAGCGTCAGCTTTGGAGCAGAGAATGAAGTGAATTTAGATGAAGTCGTCGCCAAAGTAGTGTCCTTTGCAAATCAAGCTCGAGAGAACAGCAGATATCTGGATTGGGAGTATGTGGGTCAAAGTGCCTGTACATTTGGTAAAAGAGTCCGCACCATGGATTTCATGCTGGGCGCGATTGGTGTTCAACGCAAGCAGATCAAGAGAACGCAAAACGTTAGAGTTGTAAAGAACAAGGATGATTTTGTGCAAGTAGCAACACTTCAACAAGAGGACATTGAGAAGCAAGAGAACGAAACAGCCAAATGTGTCAACAACATCTTTAACATCTTGAAGGAAAAGGGCCCTATGAACTATTTTAAATTTGTGACAAACCCCACCTCCTTCTCTCAAACAGTAGAAAATATCTTTTATGTGTCGTTCCTTGCAAGACGAGGCATTGCTGGTATCGACGTGAGTTCTGGACAGCCCATCATCAGTGTACATCAAGCGGTCAATGTGCAGAGGTTAGAGGATGTGGTTGCCAAGAAGCAAATCATTATGGGCATCACCATACAAGAGTTCAACGCCATTATCGACACATACAACATTACATCTTCCACGATACCAACAAGACAAAAACAATCAACAGTGGCTTCTGGTTCTGGATGGTATTAGACTCAAATAAACCCGCTTTTTATTGTTATGGTGATTACATTTTGAATTTATCTTGCACTTCCTCTTTCCACACTGCCTTTGTGTCGAATCGGCTGCCGAGCTTTGTACACAGTAAGAAGGCGCCTGATAGTTTCTTGTGGAGACCGTAGGTTTCATCGGGTGGAGGTGTAAGGCGATGTCTCAGCATGACAGGGATGGTCTCTCGCACCCTTTGTGTGATGGTTTGACTCAAGAAATCGTAGTTGTCGGGTGCTGTCTCTCTGAATGGCTCTCCCAACACCATGACACTGTCAATGTGTGCGTTGCGCATCACTTCTGTCTCGTAGCCCGTGACAAAGCCCAGCTGTTTCGAGTAGTTCCAAACACCTTCACGATCATTGTTAGCTGCTGAAATAAGAATGCGGCCATAGATTTGCAGAAACTCCTTGGGGAATTCACGGCAAGCTCCAAAGTCAAGCAGTTCAATTTGACTCTTGTTGTAGAAAAAGTTGGACCAATTGGGATCTGTTTGCATGAATCTGAATGAAAAGACCTCTCGCAAACAGAGACGCAGCAAGTGCTCGCCTAGCTCATTACGAATCTCCTGTGATTCCTCCACTGCTTTACTCAGAACACGTCCTTGCAACCTCTCACTAACCAGCACACGTGTTGTGCAAAGATCCTTGACCACACTAGGCACCTTGTATCGATCATCGCCAGCCAACAGCTCTTTGAACTTGATGGCATTGTTGGCCTCACGCACATAATCGCATTCCCAAGCAAGCTCCTCTTTTGTCACCTTGATGGTGTTGTCCAAATAAAGTCCGCGAGGCAGCAGATTGCTGAATGTCACCAGTGCCTTTAAATTGCTCAAGTCACTATCGATGGATTCTGCAACACCAGGGTATTGGATTTTGATGACTACAGGCTCATTTGTAGATGCCAATGTAGCTGCGTGCACCTGTCCAATGGAGGCAGCAGCAATAGGAATGGGATCAAAGTCTCTAAAGTTGGATTGCCAATCCCCACCGAGTTCCTTGGCCATCACCTTTTCCATTTGCTTTCGAGGCATGTAATTGGCACTGTCATGCACTCGCAGTAGAATTTGCTCTAATTGAGGCGGTAATCCAGTCTTGTCGCCTGCTGCTTGAATGCCTTGGATACTCAGCATTTGCCCCATCTTTAATGCGGCACCTCTCATACGAGACAGTTTGTCAACTAGTCGATTGACGTTGCTCTCACTCAACATGACTGAGCCTACATTTTACACACAAAGTTGCCTTAATAAAAAGTTATCCTGAAATCCAACACATGAGACATCATTACCAGAACTCTCTTGCGATATTCCAGTTGCTCGTTTAAATGATTCATTGATCGCACCCATTCCCATGCCAGTAGCCAGTGTACCGTAGTTCCAAAGTCTGCCAAACCGAGATGTAGGAATTCGTGATTCCTTTAGTTCTCTGCGCTTCGTCTCTTCCACAATTTGCTGCACTTCCTTCACAACGTCTTCAGCAACGGGTGTCGATATCTTTGGCGTTTCCATCGTTACCGGCTCTTGCTTGGGTACTATAGGTTCGGATCCAGGCACAGCAGTTTCATTCATGCTAGGGGTCATTGACGAGGTAGGTGCTATGGTATCTATTTCTTTGTTTTGTTGAGCAAGAGGTGGATTCTCTTCAAATCCAGGGAATGGTACTTCGATGGCAGTTGTGTGATTAGCTGGTGGCGCTTTGATGGGTGATGGAGACTCCCCTTGGGGTTGCTCTTGTGCTGTGAAGGCAGAAGCAGAAGCAGGAGCAGGAGGTTGTGATGTTTCGTCAATGATGGTGGTAGGATTCAAAATACTGGATGTCTTTACATGAAGGCATATTGCGGCTGATTGATTGGCAATCACACACGATCCAACCTTGGTAACGGCGCTGGCCAGTACATAAAGGTCGACCAAATTGCGTGAAAGTGACATGTGAATGCAGATAGGGAAAAGGCACAGGACAGAGGCTTGTTTGACAGGCTTATATGGACAAGCTGAGCGATATGCTCCCCTTCAATTACAAAACGACGTCATGTTAAAGATTAAAGTAAAATGCGCATTTCGCAGTTCAATCGGCTTTCAATGCAATCACTTTGCTAGAGTTCTTGGGTTGATGATGGCTGATTTAACATCTTTGTTGCATTCAATCTCTGAGCATCAAAAGATTTGCAAGGCGCGTTTATTGATTAGCAATACTCATGGGAGAGACAGCCTCGATCTAGCAATCATGCATTCAACGCAGAATTACATGTCACAATGACCTGAGCATATGAAGTCCAAGCCCCTCTAGTGGTCAATAAGAAATTCAGCATGCGGGGCATTTTCATTTTGCTTTCCTCTCTCACACTCTTTTTATTTTTTTTTTTTTTGCAAGTCTACTCGACAAAATGGCTGAATCCATCTCAATTGAAGAGACAAAGTAAGTGCTTGCACCATGTTGGAAACTAGTGATGAGCTAATATGTATCATCAAGTGCACTTCGTGAAAAATTAGGGCTCCCTCCATTGGCTATTGAGGGCGACGCTGAAGATCAAGTAGTAGACCCGGATAAGGACGCTTATGACAACTATCAAAAGATCAAACAAGAAAAGGAAAGACTTGCCAAAGAAGAAGAAATCAGAAAGAATATTGAAAAGTAAAAAAACTAGTTGCGTATCATCTTTACCTGTAGCGATTACTTACTCTATCTCATTAGGTCTAAGAATCGCAAGAGAAACTATGCCAAGTTGCAAGGCAAAGGTCTCGGTGAAGCCAGCGATGAAGAGGATGACAGTGCATTGAACTGGATTAAAAAGAGCAGAAAACGAGAGAAAGATTTGGCGGCACGTAGAGCTCGAGAATTGGAAGAAATGGACGACTCGTATCAATCCTACGACGCAGCACATCTGGCAGGTCTCAAAGTAAGCCATGCTATATCTGAATTCGAGGAAGGTGGCGAGACCATCTTGACATTGAAGGATCGCAATATCCTCGGTGAAGATGATGACGATGCCGACGAGCTCAGTAATGTCAATTTGGAGGATCGTGAACGCTTAAAGAAGAACTTAGAGGCTAAAAAACAAAAGCCTGGCTACAATCCTTACGACGATGATCAGTTCAACGGCAAGAAGTCCAGCATTCTACCTCAATACGAAGAAGACGATGAAGAGGGTGGTTTTGTTATTGGTAAATCCGGCACTGTTAAGCGAGCTGTGGAGGAGGCAGATGAGAAAACAGTGGCCCAAAAGTTGAAGGAACAGACGTTATCCTACGAAAAGATGCAGGAAATCAAAGATTACTATACCCAAGAAGAAGCAGATGCAACATTCAAGAAACCCAAGTCAAAGAAGAAGAAGAAGATGAGAAGAAAGAACAAGGACGAAGACGATCTCAACGTATCAACCACTGCCGCGACTGCTGCTGCTACTGCTGCTGCTGTTGCCACAGAAGTGCCAGTTTCGCAACCTAGATCTCGCACAATAGACCCTGATGCCAATTTTGTGGATGACGACGATCTTCAAGAATCTCTTGCTAGAGCCAGAAGAATCGCTAATAAGCAAAAGAACAAGTTGTTCAAGAAGATGACTCCCGAAGAGATCGCAAAGCAGATTCGAGAGGAGCAGAATGACCAAATGAAGGAGGAATACAATGATGAGGGTGGATTGGTGTTATCCGAAGCGACTGAATTTGTCAATGCGCTGGGCAACAATATGCCAACATTCGAAACAAAGGAGCCAGCACCCAAACCACAACAACAGCAACATCATCATGAAGTGCAAGTCAAAGTGGAGCCTGATACCGAGTACGAGGTCCATACTGTCGACGATACGCCTAGCAGAGATGTCAAGATGGAAGAAGTAGAAGATCAAGATACTGCCATGGCAGAACCCGAGAAAGAGGAGGAACACGTCAAAGAAGAGGGACACGTCAAAGAGGAGGTCAAGGCAGAAGTCATTGTGGAGGAGCCCTTGGTGAGTCGTGGTCTTGCTGCTACACTGAATTTGCTGAATCAAAAGGGTAAGTTTATTGACAGCTTGACAGGCAAATGACAAGCATACTCATGCCAGTGTTTGTAGGTATTATTGCTAAGCCCACAGAAGAACAAATCAGACGTGATAAAATTGCTGCAGAACAAATCAGATGGCAGAACGAGCAGAGAAAGAAGGAACGACTTCGCGAATTGGAAGAGAAGCGTGAAAAAGAGCGTCGCAGAGGCTATGACAGAAGAAGCGGCAGAGACAACAACAGCGACCGTCAGCGTGAAATGGAGCGTGAGAGAGAAAGAGAGCGTGAAAGAGAAGAGGCCCAAAGAATGCGTGAATACGAATTGGCCATGCAAAACTACAAGCCTGAAGTCAACTTGGAGTACACGGATGATACCGGTCGCGTCATGAAGACAGCTGAAGCCTTTAGATACATGTCTCACAAGTTCCATGGCAAGACATCTGGCAAGACCAAGACGGAAAAGAGAATGCAAAAGATCGAAGAAGAACGTAAACTCAACATGATGAGTAGCACCGATACACCTCACAATTTGGCAGGCGCTTTATTGGAAAGACAACAACGCACAGGTAATGCACATGTTGTTTTGAGTGTAGGTAACAGAGGCGTTGTGCCTTCATCAACACCATTAGCAAAATCATCCAAATCAAATAAAAAATAGGCTTGTTTTTTATATATATATCATTTTATTCCTGAGCATTGGCAATAGCAATCGCCTTTCGAATCGTTTCAAACCATGTCTTTTGTTCAAGCTGTGATTTAGTTCTCAACACATGTCGCCTGCGAATAGGAGCACCTGCACCTGCCATGGCAGATTGATAGTTTTGATGTAACGGAGACATGGCGTCGAGATTGCTTTCTGACGTTACCAGTTCAAAGCCAAATGCTTCGACTCCGGGTAATGAGCTCGTGTCAGAGGAGGAAGAAGACTTTTTGCCTATACGAAACAAGGGTTTCTTTACTTCACACATTTTAGCGCAAAAGGAAGGCGCCAATTGTCGAATATCAGCGCCTTGGAGATTGAGCGTGCCCTTGTAGGTGAGTTTCTTGGCTGCGGCCGTGGAGCCCTTTTTGTTTTCTTTTAGCTTTTTGCAGTAAATAAGCGAGTCATTGTATAAAAAGTACATGCGGGTGTCTGATGTCAGTGTAATATCATCCAGGTCTACTTTGATCAAATTTGCAAATAACAGCAATCTTCGTTTATGCGTTACTAGGATAGGACAAGAGTCTATCGCTCTGGATGCCTCCAAGACCATCAGGTGCGATTGGCAATCCTGAGCTCTAAAAAAAATGAAATAAAACAGGGTGGTCATTTTAGTCATTGACTGCCATGGGATAGCTTTACTGATCACCCACCTGTCTGCCCATTGGCTTTCCAGCTGCTTGAACTTTCTCGATACGCTATGCAGAGCTGTGTAATCTGGATAGGCTGGATCACTGTACCGCTTCAACTGGCTCAATGCTTTATTGTAGACAGAGAGTCTATGCAACGGCACATGGAGGCAGTACACAATGTCTTGCACCTTGACGACGGCATGCTTCTCTGTGATGGACTGTAAATGCATCAATACTTGAATTCCAATGCACATGTGAGCAATCTCCCTCACCTGAACCAGCTTTGCAAAGCAAGGTATATGATATAGGGTATCTAGAGCCATGACATAATCCGGATGATGTAGCATGAATGGTTCGTAAGCATCCAACTGAGAATACTGAAAGAAGAGGAAGAGGTCAAATATGGTCAGTTTCAGAAGACATGTGCTACATTATGCTTAGATAAACAACGTACAAGATGACTGAAAATATCAGACACAAGCTGTGTTGGTCCCCAAAGTTGTATCCTATATTAAGGATAAATACAGGGTTTTGGATTGTACTACTTTCTTGATTACCTCTCTTTCAGCTCGACAAGAAATGCTTTGTGTGTCACTGCTATTGTATGAATATTCTGGAACATGCTGTTGAGTTGGTCTTTATGCGGTGTGGACAGAAATTTACTAGTGAGGTCCTTGTCTGTGGTATTGAGAAGCCATGGTTGTATTTTCAGTGTGTATATCTCGTGGAATGTGAATAAATCGTCCAGGTAATCATTTTCTGACTGCAGTAATTGGTTCAATACTTGGTGTTTCAATGATACTTGTCGTGCAATGTCGAGCACTTGTTTGTCTAAAGCGTGTGTGTATGTATGTGTATGTATGTGTGTGTGTGTATGTGTGTGTTTACAGTCAATACTTGATCTCAGCATATTAAAGCTACTCGTATTTTTTTTTTTTTTTTATTACCAAATGAAGCCGATGATTCCATGTCATTATCAAAGACATCGCACATGTTATCCACAATAGACAAATCCTCCATCAGTTGGTTATAATACGTCTGATCTTCTGTGATAAACTTGAGATTGAGCGGTTCTAATTCACTAGAGCTTTGAGAGAATGAACTGGCTCGACTGATACTGCTGACATGCATCAATGAGTTTGACATCGCACTGCTGGTGGTAGAGATCAGCGACTGACTTGCTTCCTTTGTAAAATCGATCATTGTATGGTATACTGAAAAGAGAAGAAAACAAAGGGAATACAAGAGCACTTTATATATAAATACTAGAGAAAAATGGCTCCATGGCTGCTGCTTGTCATACAGTTGCACAGCGAGTTAAGCTTTTTGTTTTCACGTTTGGGCGTTTGGTTGAGCATGGGAATCCTCATTGAGACTCAACTGCGCGCGCCCGTGTGAACTGGCCCTTGCTGTAGATCACCCAATCAATAAAAACAAGGACCCTTTTACTGAACCCTCTATCTTTGCCTAGTCAGAAGGTTGCACCGTTCGCTTGGTTTGTTCTTTGCTTATCAATTTGGTGTCTATTTCAGATGGTGCATCAGCGTCGTAATTTAGGTGGTATCTACTGTACTATCATTGGAGATTTAGGGAACCGCCCCGGTTTGATCTACTCAACTTTTGCTGTCCATGATTTCACCCTATCAAGCGCAATGAGCATTGATTTGGTAATCATTCGGTCCAGTGATAGCACAAAATCAGATAATCAGCCTGACCACACTGACGAAATGCAGGATCATTTGCTAATAAGTGTGAGATTTGATGCTCTTTTGGACACTGAGTTGGCAGGAGTCCACCACCATGGATACCAGATACAGAGCAAGTTGCAATTATCTTTATACATTGACTGATGCCAAAATTCATCAGAAATCAAAAGAGAAGGTCGCTTATGATGTGCATTTTAGACAGTTATATCTAGCAGATCACTGATTCCACATTACTTTATGTACATCTGGGAATAAACAGTTGCATTAGCTGATTTCGGAGATCACCCTTGTACCAAGATGTATGCCATGGAGCAAAGCTACTGCGGACATACCCTATAAAAGTCCTTACCCACTGGACTTTTTCCGTGGATCACATATATAGTGGAAACCACGAGCATTTGTTTTACAATTAGCCCAGTAAACACATCTACTACGTTGATATAGCTCCACCTAATAGTGAGGGTCTATCCAGCAAATGGGGGCATTGGATACTGTATCGTAGCGACACGCGAGGGCTAGATTCTTTTACTGGACAACTCTTCATGCAACATTTATTAAATAAAAATGATATTTCGTGGGGTAAGTAAAGAGGACATTCAACTGGGTGTCACCAATTTGATTATCCATGGAAGCACTTTGATTTGACTGAAGTAAAAAGGGGCACAAAAATTTATGTTTTTGAAAACCAATAAATTCATTAAAATGCTCAGAGCATTTGATTAAATGATCAAAGACTAAAATCTGATTTTGCAACTCTCACTGTCATGTTGATTCTCTGCAATAGATGATTTAGCTCTACTACGTTGTTTCACGTCTAGGCAATGGGAACAATGCCTTTTATTGCTCATTTTTATGAAAAATACAGCGACATCTGGGTGTATTTGTGCAGTGTTTTCTCACGTTATACGCTGTTTTAGACTGCAAGAATAGCACCAAACATTGCTTCTCGTCTAGCATGTACTTCTTGGCATCTTTGCTCAACTTTTTTGGGACCCAAAAAAACATGGCCAAAAATCGACTCATAAGCATGAGGAATACCTCATGATTTTCATTGGAAATCAAACAGTCGTACTTTTGACCCCAAAAATGAAGACTTTTACTATGATATCTATTAAATCAAAATGTTTCTATCGATCCAGCGCAACCCCTAAAAACTTGTTTGTGTGGCCCTGATATGCAAAATCTCGACATTTTTGCCAAAACACTCATTTCATATTTTCAGGAATTGCTCAATAAGTTAATTAAAAACATCTCTTATAAATACCACCGTTGGATGCGTCTTGGAGAATTACTCTAGGAAAGCTTAAGAACGCATGGGATGATCATCACTATTGATATAGTCGAATCTTGCAAAATAAATCAAATCAAGTCGTAACTCTCTAAAAGTTAACGAATCGACATAGAATGTAAAGCGGAAACTGAATTCATTCTGGCGGTTGCTGCTGGCAAAATACGTCTTTCACAAGTACAATTGACCTTTTCAAAGCTAACAAGAAGGAATTACGGATGGAAACGTACTGTAGCTTAGTCTGGTTATGCTATTTTGCTTTTTCAGTGAATCTTGACATTTAGTAGATTTAATCGCAGTCAATAGCTAGTCCAGGTGCTAAATTGCCACCTGCTTAACAAGGCAAATGCAACCTTGAGCCTGAGGCCGGTAATGTCAAGGCATAGTATCTGATATTGCATGTCAGATGCAAAAGTACTCTAAACTCACTTAAATGAATGCGAAAACAAAAACAAAAAAAGAGAGGAGATCAATCATAAATGAAAGAAAGAAAAAGAAGCAATCAACGAGTATTGATAGTCAAATGCAAACAAACAAACATATCAGATCAAAGGGGTTTGATAGGAAGGAAACGAGGCATCTTATTCATAGTAATAACGCTGCCTCTTACCATGTCGAAAATAATGTATACAGCGTTTTGCTTTGAGCCTCTCCTTAAACAGTACTATTATAGAAGATCTTCTTCCAGCGGCCAAAATAGAAATGCTCGACATTGGAGTTCTTTTTTTTTTTTTTTTTTTTTTTTTTTTTTTTTTTTTTTTATGGAGCTGATGCTGTTGCTGTGGATGAGCATGATAGAATGAATGCTTTTATAGTTATGCTAAAAGGCGTACTTTTACCGGCTGTAGACTTATTTGATTCATGTATTCATGTGCATTTTATTTGCAAAATTGCATACTTTTGTATATATACACACTGCTGTGGTCCTGGATAAAGGGGAGGGGGATATCTTGAACAAACAGAGTATCTACATGTACGTTTAAAAAAAGTACAGAGGGGTATTTAACCTTTCGATAGGAGGGCAATCACAACAACAACAACAACAACAGCAATCTTTGTTTTTCTCTTGATTCTCTCTTTTGTCTTTCTTATCCCAACTCTTTTGTACAGTACATGACATTTCACTAATGACCACACAACAACAACAGCAACCACTTTACATATCCGACCTCACACAGCTCACTCGAGATTTATCATCTGACGAGCTTGCTGAATTGCTGCGTCAACGGTACCTGAACGATGTGATTTATACCAACATTAGCCCCTCCATCTTGATTGTGCTGAATCCGTACCACCACAACAACACTGTCCAGGCAGACTACATTGCCGAATACAAAGATACTTCTAGTGCAAAGGCAAACCAATGGAAAGAACCACACATTTATCAGCTCGTGAATCATGCATATCTACACATGCGAAGAACTAGTATAAATCAATCCATTTTATTCAGGTAAGCACTTGCCCTTCTCTCCCCCTCCCCCCTTTTTTTTTCTTTCTTGTTTCCCCCCCACCAACCCCCTTGAAGTATATTTAACACACAGTCTTTTTTTTTTTTTTTTTTTTTTTAAGCGGTGAAAGTGGCAGTGGTAAATCAGAGCAGTTTAGACAATCCATCAACCATCTCATTGCTCTCAGCACACATCGAAAGACGACTCGTACGCAAGCCAATGTGATTCATGCTCAAATTATCCTTCGCGCGTTCAGCCATGCAAAAACTACACAGCATGATGATGCATCCAGAAGCGCCCTGTTTACAGAGATTCACTTTTCAGAAAGAGGCAGACTGGCCGGTGCAGTGTTCTTGCCCTATGCACTAGAAAAGTCAAGAGTGTCAGCAGCGGGCCAGGACGAACGCAACTTTCATGTATTTTATAACCTGTTGGCAGGTGCTACGGCAGAGGAAAAGATCCGCCTTGGTTTGTCAGATTGGTCCACATTTCAATACCTCTCCAAGACATCGACGTCGAGAGCTTCCTCTTTGGACGATGCCAGTGCAGATGCTGAACTGCGCATTGCTCTGAAGACAGTGCTATTTCAAAAGCATCGAGTAGCGCAAGTGTATCAGATTCTGGCAGCTATTTTACACTTGGGCAACATACACTTTATCGAAGACGCCAACAACGCCCAAGATGCTGCCACCGTCAAGAACCTAGACACACTGACAACAGCAGCTGATTTGCTGGGCGTGGACCCCGACTCGCTGATGAGTGCATTGACGTTCAAGAGCAAGCTGATTAAACGAGACATCACTACGCTCTTTTTGGATCCTGAGCAGGCGAGTAAACAAAGAGACGATCTCGCTCAATCACTGTATTGTTTGTTGTTTACCTGGCTTGTGGAGCAAATAAACGATCGTTTGACGCCAAAGAGTTCATATAGCTTTATCAGCTTGCTCGATCTCCCTGGCTGGGTGTATTCAAGACCATCTGGTACTGGCTTTGATCAGCTGGCGTTCCACTTTATCCAAGAGACAGTGCACCAGCTCATGTATGTCAATATCTTTGACCGCGATAGACAGGAATATGCAGAGCAAGGCTTGGCCATGAGCAGCGACCATTGGCCAACCAGCCCGGCTATTGTCGATCTCTTTGTGCATCCCTCCAAGGGCTTGTGGTCCATCATGAACGCACAAGCATCTCGTCAGCAGAACCAGCAGAGATACAATGACGATGACACACTCATGGACAACTATGCCAGTGCCAATAAAAGCGCCATCATTGAACAATTGCTTGCCTTCAAGAAGAGCGACACTGGTTCAAAGCTATTCAGCATCCAGCACTTTTGGGGATCAACTACTTACGAACCACGCAGCTTCACAGAGCGAAACCAAGACTACTTGTGCAACGACTTTATTGCGCTGTTCAGTGGCAATGCCTACAACCCGCCTACTTCCAACGGCCTTGTCGCTTGCTTATTCGACGACGCTATTCTAGGCCATGATGATGGCACAAGAAATCGTGTCTATTCTCAGCAACAAGGCATTCGACCGCTGAGATCACCCACCACTTCCACGCCAGCCACTACCAACACAGCTACTTCATCATCTGTCAACGACCACAAGGCAGATGTCAAGTCCACCGTGTCGACATCGTTGCAGTCTGATGTGCTTACTATCGCTGATCTCCTGGTGACAGGTGTCTCTGATTTAACGCAAGCTCTCTCCAACACGCTGTCGTGGTCAGTTTTGTGTATACGGCCCAATGATCTGTCTCTTGCCAATTCATGCGATGTCAAGAAAGTAGCAGTGCAGCAATCCCATTTCAAGTTACTAGACATGATCAAGCGAGTAAAAGGCGGTTATTACACAACGGCATTCACACTGGACGAGTTTTGGGATAGATACCATGTGTCGCTGCCATTGACCATGAACACCATGTTGGACATGAACCTCCCACTGAGAGAAAGATACATCTACATGGCACAGTCTCTGGGCTGGAACGACACTTGTATTGCTATTGGGAGATCAAAGGTAAGAGAGAGAAAAAAAAATGCTCAGCCCAGTAAATGGCAAGTTTATCAACACACACATACGGTAGATATTCCTTTCCAACAATGCATTTCGAATTCTGGAAGATGATCTTCGCAGCCTAGAAAAGACAGAGTCCAAAAAGGCCAAATTGTCGATGATGGGCGGCTCTTTGCCTGGCCAAAAGCCATTTGACATGTACTCTTTCAATGACGATGTCATGTCTTCTGCTGTGTCCGAAGACGATTACATGGACGAAGCTGGTTTACACGAATTCAACGGTTCTGACGTCTTCTCACAAGCTACCTTTGACAACAGGAGATCCAATACGTTGCTCATGTCTGGCAGCACACGACAAGACTGTGCTGCTGGTATGAATGAAAAGGAAGAGCTAAAGGCAACGGATGCATCAGCGGCCAAAGAAGAAAAGGAAGAGGAAGCTGCCACTGGTATTCGTCGCAAATGGCTCATGTTTGTATGGTTTCTCACGTGGTGGGTCCCTTCGCCTGCGTTGAACCACTGTGGTGGCATGAAACGTCGTGATGTGCGTCTGGCATGGAGAGAAAAGGTTGCTCTCTGCTTGCTCATCTTTTTTCTGTCAGCAGCCATGGTCATTTTTATCGTATTCTTTGGTCCCCTTATCTGTCCGCATCAAGATGTCTACTCTCTTTCTGAACTGCAAGGCAAGACGGACAAGAAGAGCGCCTATGTTGCTATTCGCGGTGAGGTGTTTGATTTGACCAAGTTTGCTCCTCATCATTGGGCTTCAGAAGTGATTCCTGACCATGTGATTTTTGACTATGCTGGTAAAGATGCCACCAGTCTGTTCCCTGTGCAAGTCTCTGCTCTGTGTGATGGCACAACAGGCAGAATCCCTGAAGAGCTGGTGCTTGATTTCCAAGTCAATTTGACGGACCGTAATGCTGCGTATCATGATTTCAGGTTCTTTACCAATGATTACCGGCCTGATTGGTACTTTGAGCAGATGGTATACATGCGCAAGAACTATCGCCTGGGCTTCATGGGTTATGAGCCAGCAGACATCCTTCGTCAAGCAACCAATGTAGTAAATGTAGGAGACATCAGTACGCATCGAAGTTGGGCTACTCTGCACGGCGATGTGTACGACTTGACCTACTATTTGATGGGTGGCAGAGCTCCTAGAGCCCCTGAAGGCATGACACCTCCCGCGAATCTGGACCTCAACTTTATGGATAACAGCATCGTTCAGTTGTTCCGTCAATTAGCTGGCACTGACATCTCCAAGCACTTTGACGCCTTGCCCATCTCAGACGACCTCAGAATGCGTCAATTGGTGTGTCTTCGAAACCTGTTCTTTGTTGGCAAACTGGATACGCGCAGATCGCTTCAATGTCAATTTTCAGAGTACTTCTTACTGATTGTTACTGGCTTCTTGTGTGCTGTGATTCTGTTCAAGTTTTTGGCTGCATTGCAGTTGAGCTCGTTCCGTGAGCCTGAAGATTACGACAAGTTTATCGTGTGTCAAGTGCCTTGTTATACCGAAAGTGAGGAGTCTCTTCGCAAAACCATCGATTCTATTGCCGTCTTGCGCTATGACGATAAACGCAAGTTGCTCTTTTTGGTCTGCGATGGCATGATTATTGGCAGTGGCAATGATCGTCCTACGCCTCGCATTGTGCTTGATATCCTTGGTGTGGATCCCAACGTAGACCCTGAGCCCTTATCATTCCTGTCCTTGGGTGATGGCATCAAACAGCACAACACAGCCAAGATCTACTCGGGGCTGTATGAGTGCTCCGGCCACGTTGTCCCCTATGTGGTGGTGGTTAAAGTAGGTGCTCCCAATGAGCGACAAAAGCCAGGCAATAGAGGAAAGCGTGATTCCCAGATGGTCTTGATGCGATTCCTGAACAAGGTGCACTTTGAATCCTTAATGACGCCCATGGAGCTCGAGATCTACCATCAAATCAAGAATGTCATTGGCGTGAATCCCAGTTTTTATGAGTTTGTGCTCATGGTAGATGCAGATACTGAGGTGCTGCCAGACTCGCTCAATCGCATGGTCTCCTGCTTTGTTCACGATTCCAAGGTGGTGGGTCTGTGTGGCGAAACCAAGCTGGCCAACGAAAAAGACAGTTGGGTCACCATGATTCAGGTGTACGAATACTACATTTCGCACTTCTTGTCCAAGGCATTTGAGTCTCTGTTTGGCTCTGTCACCTGTCTACCTGGCTGTTTCTGCATGTACCGCATCCGTTCGCCTGGAAAGAACCAGCCTTTGCTCGTCAGCAATCAAGTCATTGTGGACTACGCCGAGAACAAGGTCAATACACTGCACCAAAAAAATCTGCTCCACCTGGGGGAGGATCGTTATTTGACCACGCTGATTCTAAAGCATTTCCCTACTTACAAGACCAAATTCACTGCTGATGCCGGCTGCCTCACCAACGCCCCTGATAGGTGGAGTGTGCTGCTGTCTCAAAGACGTAGATGGATCAACTCGACCATTCACAATCTCGGTGAGCTTGTCTTTTTGCCTCAACTATGTGGTTTCTGCTGTTTCTCTATGCGTTTCGTCGTCATTCTAGACCTTCTCAGTACGTTGGTCATGCCTGCCGTGGTTTGCTATCTCGGTTTCTTGATTTACCGCTTGGCCACGAACGCTGGTCAGGTGCCGTTTATCTCGATCATTACATTATGCGGTGTTTACGGTCTTCAAGCCATCATTTTCATCGTTCGCAGAAAGGTAAGATGCATGTCAACATGGCAAAGCAGCAGTAAACTAATTGATGATATCATAGTGGGAGCACATTGGATGGATGATTGTGTACATTCTCGCTATTCCTCTCTTCTCTTTCTTTATACCCATGTACTCTTTCTGGCATTTTGATGATTTCTCTTGGGGCAACACGCGTTTAGTGCTAGGCGATGATGGTCAAAAGAAAGTGCTGCCAGCAGACGAAGGCAAATTTGATCCCAAGTCAATCCCCCTCAAGAAGTGGAGTGACCACGAGAACGAGCTCTGGGAGACAGGTTCTGCTGAAACAAGAGGCACCACAATCACCTCGTCTACCACTCGTCGCACTGCATCTGGCTTACCTCCCGTAGTAGGCTATTCTCCAATAAACAACGGCTTCACGACGCCGGTGGTGAATTATGCAGCCAGTATGAACCAGATGCCAATGGCGGCCACTGCTGCTGGTAGTGTCATCAATGGCGGTCAAGTCTACAACGACAATGCTAGTTTTAGATACTCGCACCAGAATTTAGCAGGCCGTGCATCTTCGGTTATCATGGGTCCTCCCTCTGTCATGAATATGGCACCAATGCAACAGCAACAACACGCACCACAGCAAATGAACATGATGTCTGCTCCTTCTGTTTACAGTGAAGCAAGTGCTACCCATGGTGGTGGTGTCATGTATCCCTCCCTCATGAACAACAGCGGCATGCTGGACAACTCGAGTGTATACCATCCCACAGACGAAGAGATTCGTAGAGAGGTCCAGCATATCACTGCAACTGCCGATCTCATGACAATGACCAAGAAACAAGTCAGAGAACAGCTCAGTCGACATTTTGGCATCAATATGTCTTATAGAAAAGATTTCATCAACTTTTGTATTGAAGAAGCACTCAACTACTAAAAATATATATATATATATATATATATATATATATAAACATAATAAACTTCAACTGTATCCATAAATGTAGAAAGCAGTGCGCTGTTTAGGTGCTGATCTCCATAATTGTCATGATACAACATTTGAATACTTGCAAAATTAAGGATGAAATGACTTTATTTGATATATATATATATATATATATATATATATACTACGCCGCACTATCAAAGATGTTTTAAACCTTGACTTTTTTGTTGCCAACAGAGACATTGGATCGGGATCGCTGTGAGCAATACAAAACGATGAGATTATATTCAAGCCACTAGTACATGGCAACTCACCTTTTCTCCAGACTTGTGCTTGCGCTCCTCTTCAAACTTGGTCAAGAATTCCTTTGGTAAATAATTCTTCTTGATAGTCTACAAAAGCATGTTAGTATTGTAGTAGATGAGCGATGGGCAATGTGCACTTACTTCTGCTTGAACTACACCTGCAGGCAGAGTATGATATAATCTGGATTGAAGGGAAACACGACCTCCGAAAGCATTCAAGGGCCATGATGCGTCGTTACATTTGGTTTTGATTAATAAACAAGCTAAATCACTGAGTACATACGAGTTCTATAAGAAATGGAGATGAATAATGTGCTCACATGTCGCTATGGCAACTGGCTCACCTTGCTCAATGACTCATCTACCATGTCCTTGGAGATCTTGATTTGTTGCACAATATGATACAAGTATGACACGTTATCAGGAGTAGCAACGCAAGAGATAAAGAATCTGAAATAGAGGCCAAAGTCATTCAAATCGTCGACTGCTTCAGTAAAGTCAGGGTGATGTGCCAAGAGATGAATCAAACGCACAAGAGAAGAGTCCACCACAGAAGATTCGCCTTGCTTGACTTCCATCACAGACAATCGCTTCTGTACAAAACTCTTGACTTGCCTCAACAAGGATAGTTCTGGTTCGTGTGCACAGATGAAAAGTAACGTGTAGTAACGGGAATGGATTTGTCCGCTTTGTAGTCCCTTCATCAATGTCTCTGCAAATTCTTGACGCACATAATAACATGAATCTTGCAATGCGACGCTGAGTTTCTCAAACTTGGGAACTGTCAATTCGCTAGTGTATCGGGTGAACTCTGTAAGCTTAACAATAGATTGAGTGGCGCCTAGTCTGAGATGAGAAGCTTCGGCAGCACTGTAGAGTTCTGGGTAAGTCATCACGCACACGCTGTGAATAGGTGCTACTTACTTTGTTTTGTCTGTGATGGCGCTTTCGCAAGTGATATCCATTAATTTCCAAAGAATAGCAAAGATTTTACCAACAACAAATTCCTCAGGCTCAGTCAGATCCTTGCATGCAGTCAGGTAATTGACTAACAGGCGAACAGCTGTAAGTTTTTGTCGGGATTGCTCAGGGAGTTCTTCATAGGATGACCACTCATCGTTAGGATTATTGATCTATGTATCCGATTAGCATTGCACAGTCGACATGCACACCAGATATACTGACCTCTTTGGTTTTGGCATTCAAAAGGTCTTCTTCTACAAATTGAATCAATGAGGCGATATGAGGATGGATCAAACTAGGTGTATACAAGGCAATTTGAGCAAAACTAGCAAGTCTGTTGAGCAATGCGGGAGAGTTTAGGTAAAAATCATCACTCCAATCGGCGACTGCTTCAGCAAGGACCAATTCAGCGTTATCCATGGCTGCAAGTGCTGTAGCAGCGTGCGTTGCTTGTTCGACACTGCCATCAGAGACATATGCAGTAAGACGTTCAACCAAATTGCTATATGAATTGTCAGTCAAAAGCCTGGCACAAGAGATTTATGTCTTTACTCACTTTTGGAATTTCATTTCGCCTACTGAGGCCTTGCTGATTTCAGCCAAAAGTTGGAGACCCTCATCAGCTACATGCACATGTCAGAATCCTCATCGCGACAAGACACAACACCAATACATACCAGTGCTATCATTATCACTCATAATCTCGCTGATGATGTCCTTCAAATTGTTGGCATACATGGATGGATACACAGTTGACATGTCTGACAAGATCTTTTGTGCGACAATGGATCTCTGTGTTGTTGCATTGGCTCTTCTTCCTTTACCGGTTTTTGTCATTTTGAGCAAGTGGGCAATGTTGCTTTTGTTGAGAATAAGTGGACAGGCTCTGTACAAAATAGATTGGAAGATGTCAACAATAGCAGATTGATCGTCATTCAAATTCGCGAGTAGCTTGTTCTGTCCTCGAAATGAGTAAAGACGTCTATTAGGTGAGCAAGTTTAATCTTACCATAGCTGCATACACTTGTTTGTATGTGCGGTTGAGGTCAATGGCATTTCTCAACAGTTTGATGTCCTTGTCGTTTTCTCTGGAAAGGAATGAGCGCAAAGCATTGAAGGTTCTGGCCTTGTCGGCAAAGCGGGCTATACAGTAATACCATGTCGTTAGTACGGCTCTGAGTAAGGTATGCACGCATCTCAGTACCTGCTAAATATTTCATGAATTCATCAGCCTTGGTGGCATCATGTTCCGAGACATCGTTGTTGTCCATCTACACATGGTGTGCTGCATTAGCCTTCATACTACCGAATCTCGAACTATATACATACATGGTTTTCGCACATCTCTACATAGGTCAGCATGTTTTCGTTGAACAACTTTTGTTTCTGCAAAAGTGCAAGGAAGGCAATTCTCTGCTTTTCCTTTAATGAATCCACTACGACAACGAGTCTTTCGGTTCTCTCAGCATCATTATCGTTTTCAGGAAAGATATATTTCTGCAAAATGGACTCAATGTTGGCTCTATAAAATGCAATCATCAGTTGGCTGTTGCACGCTAGTGAGATGGCCACTTACTGAACAGATAAATCACCCAAATAAAGACAGCTGAGCACAAGATCAGGAATCCAGCCAACCTTCTCAATTACTACTCTATCATTGGCCATGATGCGTTGATAGCAGTTGTTATAGATGGTTCCGATAGTAGCCATTGCTTCAACCCTCACAACATTCTATCGAGGTTTCATCAAAACTTCTGTTATTATATAACGCATTGGAAGCTGTACCTTTTTATCCTTGGCTCTGGCACCAACGAGCTCCACCAAATCTTTATCCATGCTTGCAGAATCATTCTCGATGCCAATATCTCTCATAATCTTGCAAGCGGTGGCACGAACCTTGTCATCAGGATCTGTGAATTTCTCCTTGAAACACTCTATATACAGTATAGTTGAGTATCATTCTGTAATGGCAGATGAAAAGGTGGCCATTTGAGTTACCGATCAATTCAGGGACGGATTCAGGATGGTGTTTGTAAATGTCGACGCAGGCTTCCAGCCACTTGACGCGCAAAGACTGAGCTTTATCGTTACGTCTAGAGGAACATTGGATTAAGCTACATTCTCTCTCTCTCTCTCTCTCAACGCCTTTGTTAGATACGCATACCTTCCAAGCCAAGTCTTCCAGATGTTGGGGTACTTTTCAGCTACATTGGATGATTCCTCTGCAAACATCTCGCCCAAGGTTTCTGTTGCAAGTTGACGAATGCTCATATGATCCACTTTCATCTCTTCTTGCAAGAGTGGCATGGCATTGAGTAGTAAATCAGGTGTGACAGTGTTGACTTTGCGCATAAGATGATGTGCTTTTTTGACTTCATCCAAATCATCGCTTTGATCAGAACTGGTGCTACTCACTGAAAGCAAGATATCAGAAAAGTACTATGGCATAAACTGTCAATAAGCTGGCTCGTGGTCATTGAAAGTAACACCTACCTGGCAAACTCTTCTCTGAAGGGAGCCTGCACAAGCATAACAGATGTCCAAAGTCATCAGATAGGCTGGGTTCTTTGAACCCTATAAAAACATACTATCAGCAAGACATTCGCCATGTATCAGGCAACCTGCCTTACTTTGTCAAATCGGTCAAATTGCTCCAGAATAAGCTCAGTCATCTCCTGGCCCAGAATGTTGACATCCTCAATGATCTGAATCAATACATCGGTCATGCACAATTCCACGTTTCTGGGCAACGTAGCTCTACATACAACGTACACTCTGCTGAGTCCATGTATCTAGTGAATCATTTCCACCCAACAACTTACTTTGCAGTGACATCAAAAAACTCTGCTACCATGGGAAACACAACATCTTCAGCATTGTCAATTTCGCTGAGCAAAAGGAAAGTTTTGACAGACTGCAAGTTTTCCAAAAGATAGAAATGATAGGGAAAATCAGGCGTATTTTTTCCAAAGTATGAGAGCTGATCAACAAAGAACTTGAAGATATTCTAATCACTGCATGTTAGCCATGGGCTCAGGCCAGTTGCATTTAACAACTTTTTACCTTGAGTTCATTGAGAGTATAAGGGCAGTTGGGAGCATGCAAACGGATGATATCAGCAATACAACAGGCTGCCAAAGCCTTGACGGTTTTGTTTGGACTCTTCATGATCTGCTTGTGGATGAGCTCTTGGGTCACTGTCTTGAGAGAATCCTTGTCTACATTTTGGTCCAAATCTTTCAATTGCTCATGAAGAGCCTAATCGACCTCAACTTAGTATCTCAAAACTGGTGCTGGATACACGCCAGTTGTCTTACCTTGAGGAGAGTTTGAAGTTCGCCAGCCTTGATGGCCTTGGGAGTGCCAATGAGAGATTGTGAGAACTCCAATACAGAAGGCTCCTCTGTCTCCATCTGTGAGTCAATGAGCTCAGATGATTGAGTATTCATAGTCTCGTCGATATCCATGTTGAATATTTAAATTGATGAACAATGTTTAATAAAGGGACACTTTCAACGCGTATGCACTTTGAATGGATAAGAAAGCGCGTTAAGGTGCTTAAAAGACAGGTCACTTTTGTATTCGGATATTCAACGGGCCTGCCAAACACGCACGAGGTGGACGTTGTCCTACAACATCCCTTTCTCCACTTTTTTTTTTCCCGGGGTTCCAACACAAATGTCAGCTTCAAGATTATCAACATTGCTTGGGAAGAGCATCTTGAGACCAGCACCCATCAATGCCAGTCGACGTATGGCATCCACATTGAGATTGCCAAGAACATCTCTGCTTCAGAGAGCCGATGTATCACCGCCATACCCTAAGAAGCCCAGCTTCACTACAAGTCCATACAACGAAGCCATGGGCAACATCAAATCGCAAGCCAAGATGGTGGCCAAGATAACAGGTTATACAGTCGTTTCAGTAACTACAGCTGTTGCATTTGTGTGGCAATTAACGCATTGGTATATTGAATGCATGATGTCTCCTACACCACCAGAACTTGGCTATCAAGCTCGAAACTTGCTCCATGGTGCCTACATCCGCGAAACACTTGCTCCCAACTTCGAGGTGGCCTCATTCTACGTCAGAGAAGCGCTTCGCATCGCACTCGAGGAAAAGCAGCTGGAGGAAAGCTCGAATACAGTGATTCAATTGCGATTGCGACTTGCACACGATGAAGCACATGCTGGCAACTTGTTGGATGCCATTACAGAATACACACGATCATGGAAGCTGTTGATTGGAAAGGGAGACCACACAAGAGAAGCCGTCGAAGCAGCAAAACACATTGGCGATCTCTACCTGCGCATTTCAGACTATGAGCATGCGGAAGAGTTTTTAGCCTGGGCTCTGCACAACGCTCAAGACGATAATACATTGAAATCCAAAATCACATTGACATTAGCCAGCTTATATGCATTACAGCGCAACTACCAGTTAGCATTGCCATTACTCAGCGAGACATTAAAGACTGTGCCAGAGACGGATGCTTGTTTGAGAGCCATTGTGCAGAACCAGTTGTCAGAGGTCATGTTTGGGCTAGGCAAGGTGGATGAAGCTATGGGTTGGGCTCAAGCTGCTATCAATGCTAGTGCATCTGATCTGAAAAATCAAGATTGCTTGGAATGTGGCGGTGTTGCTTCCAACAACTTGGGCAAGATGTTGGAATTGAAGGGAGAGTTTGATGAAGCATTAGAATATTACAACCAGGCTGTTAACTATTCTCTCTCAGTGCATGACTCAGAGAGTAGGGATAGATATATTTTGAATCACGAAAGAGTTAAAGAAATGCTAAAGAATAAAACCGAATAGCTGTATTACTACCTCAATGGAATGATGGATTGATGTACAAGGGCACTAGTGCTTGGCTGTAGAATATTATATTGCGAGTATGACATGAAGAATAAGGACAATTGATGATGTACTCTACTGTCGAGAACATATCATAGCCAAATCAGTTACTAAGTCCGGGTTAAAATACAGAGCCTACCATGCTTTAAATTGGTTCTCTCGCATACTACTATGCGCCTATGTTATTATGATCCCAATTTCATTCTACTTTACGCCTCTCAAAGGGTCGCTCTAAAATTACCACATATGGAAATTTTTGAATCACGTGACTTAAAAGCCATGTAGATTATTTTAAGAAGAGTTTGAAGGCTTATGGAAAATTAGGGCTAGGGCTACCATGTATAGCAAATTGAAGAAACCTCTACAGCAGCATCTATACGGCCATGCCATTTTGCTAAGGACAAAATGCAACCTCTTTGTGAGCCATTGGTAAAAAAAAAAAAAAAAAAAAAAAAAAAAAAAAAAAGCGATTGACCTATACCATATTGTTTAGGAGCAAGCACTAGCCCAACGCTGAATCCAGCCCTAGTCCTCATTTGCTTAAATGCCTTTAAAGCGCTTTACAATAATTTTCTGCGGCTTATTGAACAAGGAACTAAAAACGTATTGCCAATGACTTTGCTATCATGCGCTCAATTTCTGCTTGCACCTCCCCGAGGATCTTTCTTGCTACACTTTCTTCTCTTACAATAAAAATTTTAGTGCAGATCAAGCAAACTTAACTGTGAGGGTGACGCTGTAGTATATCAAACAGGTAACAGGGTTTTCTGATAGGCTCAAAAAAATAATCAGGACATCTTAGAGGTTCTATCGCTATGGTCAACGGTAGTTGGCTGATTAGCTTCTAATACCACAAACCACATTATTGCCCGCAATTAAGTATCAATATTTTTGTAACATAAAAAAAAAGGGGTGCAGACTACTAGTAAGGCCTCCGTTCTGCATTTGATTAAGAACTCTTGATTTTTTTTTTCAAATACACCCATAAGACAATCAGATGAACGGAATCAACCCCTTAAAGTCTTAACGCGAATTTTCTCACGGTTAAAACAGTTGAAATCACCTCAAGAGCGACATCCAGCAGACTCACCTCCTGCATACATGAAACGTTTTAAGCCTACTTTCATCGTGTATATAACGGTTGTTTGCTGTCAAATAGTAGTCTTTCATTCTTTCTTTCTTCAAGTTTGCTACCAACATGACTGGGGGGCCAACTCCATCTGTTAAGAAGTTGAACTCTTCTGCAAAATCACATACAATCGTTGACTCTGGCTACGATGCCAATGTATTTGCTGGTAAAAAGGAACAAATGGTGCAAGTAGGTAAATATTTGGAGAGCTCTGGTTTTCTGCCAAAGGAACTCGTACAGAATGAAGTGTCGTGGTTTTATGGGTATGTATCTGAGAGTTGTACCTGAAGCACGGATGGTCTAATTGAATAATATGATGCAGCAATCTGGGTATTGATGACTATTACTTTGCTCTGGAATCTGTCGAAACGATAGCAAACCACATCATGGCTCTCTATGGTGCTAAAATACTGGCATTTACCAAGAACGAGAACGTCTTGGACATCAATCTAGAAAAGGAATCTGAGGACTCGTCTGTTTACATTCATTCTTCTCAACCTGGCGTGTCTCAGCTTCAAGGCCCTCAATGCGAAAGAAAGTAAGACCAAGGTGTCTATTCACCATCAGAATAGTAGTTGCTTACGATATGCCTGATTAGGATTGACGAACAGTACCTTGATACGTCTGCGACAACAGATGCTTATCGTGTCGAGTCTTATCGCTCCAGTACTACCGTGCCAACTGGCATGGCAGCATCTCAGCTCCGTTGTTATTTTGTTACCAAGTGTCAGTTCAACAGCCCCAATCCTACACCAGAGCAAGAAACAGACCTCAATCAAGTAGCAGATCAGAACTTTTTGATTAAAGCAACAGAACACACACGATCCATCTATCAGGATGTCATGCGCAATGTCCTTCGGAGAACTGGACCTGTGATTGAGATGTATGATGTACAGGGAACTCGCGAGCGTCGCCTCATTATTGGTTATCGCCAAAGAAGTACACAAGGTTTCTTTTCTGCAATGTCTGATCTCTATCACTATTATGATTTGTATTCGAGTCGCAAATACGTTGGTAAGTGTACTGCTATGGACTTTCATGTGCCAGGCTAATGATACCGTGTTCTTTCTAGAGCAATTCTCCAATGGTGTCACCATCATGGGCCTCTATCTAAACCCTCTCCCCAACGCCAAAACAATCCCCATCGAGCACTCAATCTATCAAGTCATGAAGGAGACCTCACTTTTGTATTGTCTGCCCAAGAACCCCTTGCAGCAATTTTTCATGACCAATAAACTCTCGGTCCAAGAAACTGTCTATGGCTACGTGGGATGGATCTTCTCGCAGCATTTCTTGAACCGTCTTGGTAAGGAGTATCTCAGCCTCTCTGATATCCTGGATACTTCCAACCCCTTACACGAGGAGGTGTTGGCCAAGATGAAGAAGCGTTTGAGACAAGATACCTTTACTCGCGAATACATTCTTGACATTGTGAAGCAATATCCGGATTTGATCAAGCTGCTGTACGCTCACTTTGCCAAGGTACACTATGTCAACCAGCGTGAAGCATCTCTCGAGCCTACCATCTCCTATCAGCGTTTGACTATCATGGAGAATCTGACAGAAGAGCAACTGCTCAAAAAGATAAAGACAGTGACATCCAACAGCCACGAGCAGCTTGTGTTTGAGGCTTTCATGACATTCAACAAGCATGTTCTCAAGACCAACTTTTACCAAACCACCAAAGTGGCTCTCTCTTTCCGCATGAATCCTAGCTTTCTGCCTGAAATTGAGTACCCCAATACGCCTTACGGTCTGTTCTTGGTTGTTGGCTCTGAATTCCGTGGTTTCCACATCCGTTTCAGCGATGTGGCCCGTGGCGGTATCCGTATGATTCGCTCCAGAAACAGAGAGGCCTATTCTATCAATTTGCGTACCTTGTTTGACGAGAATTACAACTTGGCAGGAACGCAGCACCGCAAGAACAAGGACATTCCTGAGGGTGGATCAAAGGGTACTATTCTTTTGGATGTGGATCAACAGGACAAGCCCTTGGTCGCTTTTGAAAAGTATGTGGACTCTATCCTCGACTTGCTTATTGATGGAGAAACTATTGGCATCAAGGATAGACTGGTTGATTTGACTGACAAGCCCGAAATTCTCTTCTTTGGCCCTGATGAGGGAACTGCTGATTACATGGATTGGGCTTCATTACACGCAAAGAAACGAGGCGCTAGTTTTTGGAAGGCCTTCACGACGGGTAAGAGCCAATCTATGGGCGGTATTCCACACGACAAGTACGCCATGACAACGCGATCTGTGCATCAGTATGTCTTGGGTATCTATCGCAAGTTGAGTCTCAAGGAGGAAGAGGTTACCAAGTTCCAAACGGGCGGCCCTGATGGAGATTTGGGCTCCAATGAAATCAAGATTTCAAGCGACAAAACAGTTGCAGTCGTAGACGGCTCTGGCGTCTTATACGATGCTGCTGGTATCAACCGTACTGAACTCGTTCGCTTGGCCAACTCCCGCTTGATGATCAGTAATTTTGACGCAGGCAAATTGTCGTCAGAGGGATTCCGTGTGCTGGTGGATGAAATCAATGTCAAGCTACCCGATGGATCCGTGGTGGAAAACGGGCTTAACTTTAGAAACACATTTCACACCAATGTGCTTGCTCAAGCTACGTTGTTTGTGCCAAACGGTGGTCGCCCTGAATCTGTTGGTCTGGATAACGTGCAAGCATTGATTGATTGTGGCAATGGACCTTTATTCAAATACATTGTTGAAGGCGCCAATCTATTCTTTACACAAGAGGCTCGTCTTCGATTGGAAAAGGCTGGCATCGTGGTTATCAAGGATGCTTCGGCCAACAAGGGCGGCGTCACATCATCTTCATTGGAAGTATTGGCTGCCTTAGCCTTCAATGATGCTGAATTTGAAGAGCACATGTGTATCAGAAATGGCGTTGTACCCGAGTTTTATGAAGCCTATGTCAAGGAAGTTCAAAGCATTATTGAACGAAACGCTAATCTTGAATTTGAAGCTCTCTGGAAGGAACACAAAAAGAGTGGAGAACCCATCTCGATCCTTTCGGATGAACTGTCGACTGACATTGTCCAGCTCAATGAGCAGCTACAGAGCACAGGTCTGTGGGATAACATTGCCTTGCGCGAAGCAGTTTTGAAGCGAGCTTTTCCTAGATTGCTCTTGGAGAAATTGGGGTTGGAAACCTTGCTGAAGCGAGTGCCTGAGAACTATGTTAAAGCTATCTTTGGTGCTACACTGGCTTCTCAATTTGTCTACAAGTACGGTCCTCATCCTGACAATTTTGCCTTCTTTGATTTCATGAGATTGAATTACTAAGCATCTAAAGCGTACAATAAAGGACTCATTCCTCTTTTTACTTGAGCCTCTCTAAAACCATTGACTGACAAGGGCCTAGGCGGTGGCAAATGCATACCTTGAAGGTGTGCCGGCTTTCCAAGCGTTCTGCTCCTTTATATTCTTCTTCAGTACTTTCACTGATCAATGCATGGCCATGATAGTAAAGCCAGAGCATATGCATTTTGAAAAGAATGCGCGTACATGCACAATGTGATGTCTTCATCATCTCGCAATGAATGACATTATGCGTAGCGAAATGCACTGCGACACTTGTCCGCCTCTCTGATAAATGAAAGATGGATAATTTATTAACAGGTTATAAAAATACATGATATAAATGTAGATATTGGTACAAGGAGAATAAGTTGTGTATATTAGAACATTAGTAGTGCTGTTGTTGCCATCCTTGCTTTGATAATGTCCTCGTTGATCTTACTTTTGGTCTGTGCCCCTTTAATCTAATGCAAGCTCGATCACAGTACCCACCTGGCATACAGCATGGAAACCATGACCACCAAAATTTGTAACCCCACCAACAATGCCATACTCCAGGATCCAATTCGATGCTTTTAAATGACTGTGCAGAGGAGGACCATCGGTTATTTGGATCTCTTTCATAGACCAGGCTTTGATGCCCGGGATAATTTCTGGTATACGATAGACTTGCGACATCGTCATCTTCCTCCTCCTCATTCTCCCGTTCAGGATGAAAGCCAGGAGTTGATTTTGAGGTGTTGCTATTAATACATACTTCGTTGGGATCTACCATCATTTGTAGCGCTTCAGGTCCACCGCCTAATGACTTTAGTAGGTTCTTCAAATGGTGATTTACAAGCAATCCAGACAGTATGATTAGAGTTATGTGGGGATCGATCTGCGTCAATTGCCGAAAGGGGTTGTATTCGCTATTTTGATTGTACAGACATAGTTGATCTTCCTTCAATTCAGCAACAAAAAGTTTTGTTTCGGTTTGAAAGCATTTGAGAGTGTAGGTAGAGCCCTGCGGTTGAACTTGCCAGTGATACTTCTGCTCATTTACAGTGAATCTAAATTGCGGCGGAGTAGTGGATAGTATCACCTCTAAACCTTCATGTAGTAGAGTCATGCCATGCCAATCTCGACTTTTTAGTTTCCAAATGGGATTTTTGTGTATGTCATAAAGTAGTAATAGTAAATCTTTGGAATCTTGTTGGTTTTCTTGATCATCTTTATACGGAGGTGGTTCTTGATAGTAATATAATACATCGTTATGGTTTGATATTGTGGTACATTGCACTGTGATTGTTGACGAAAGTTCCACTGTAATATCCTCTCGAAGCGTTAATTGTAGGGAAGGCGTAAATATATTTGAGGAGGGTAAAATGGTTGGTGCAGTTGGGTAATTGTTGGCCATCAATGTAGGCGGTGGTTGGCTTATTATGCTGCTGGCATTGTCATGTATCGACGCCGAAGAAGAGGCCATTTTGTATAAGAAAGAGGGAAAAGAGAAAAGAGAGACAAGATGAAAAAAAAAAAGAAAAAGTCTAATAATATATATATATATCTTAAAAAAGCAGGTTGTACATGATTATCATGAGCTTTTCTTACTTCCAGCGTTTGTTGTATTGATATGTATATCAATTAGAACATGGAAATCACCACTATTTAATTAATCTCGAACTGCCAGTGTATTTATGGACAAAATATGTAAAAAAGATAATATATTTTCAATTTCTTTCTTATGTTTTTTTTTATAATAATAATAAAGGGCAATAGTATAATATTTAAACGGAATCTATCATCATTGAGAATGTTACTATCCAAGCCAAACTACACGACAACTCATATCAACTTACCAGTGATCAACTTGTTCAACTTGGCGAGCTTAGCTGAGACAGTCAAATCAATACTCTTATCTCCAATCTCAACCATGATACCACCGAGAATATCGGGCTTAACCTTGTTGGAGACGAGGAGCTTCTTACCCTCAGCGAGGTTGGATTTTTGAAGGGAATCAACAATCTTGTTCAAAGCAGACTTATCCAAAGCCTAATATGCGCCATGTTAACAATGAAAGATCATTACACTCAAAATCAAAAAAAAAAAAAAACTTACCTTGGCAGAGGTGACAACAAGAGGCAATTCGTTACGGTGAGCACTCATCAATTCAGCGAAAGCTTCAGAGACCTTGGTAGTTTGGTTCAAACGACCGTTCTCGGCGAGGGTTTCGAAGAAGTTTTGAGTGATTTGGTTGGGCTTACCGTTGACCTTCAAGGCGGAGAGAATACCTTCCATCTTGGTACCACGGTTAACAGTGGGGTTTTCCAAGAAGCTCTTGAGGGCAGCATCCTTCTCAACGGCTTGAGAGAGGGTCTTGAGGTCCTTCTCAACAGCCTCAAGGGCGTTTTGGCGAGCAGCAGCGGTGTAAAGGGCAGTAGCATAACGACCATCAAGACCGAAGAGGGTGATGGGGGCCTAACATAAATCATCCAAAATTAATGTCCAATCTATATTGCTATCGTGTGTCGTTTTCAATAGTGTACCTTGACAGAGACAGGGGCAGCAGCGTAACCACGAGCAAACTATAAAGATTGAATGAATTTTAGCGCCTTGTCATTGAATTGAATGTTTTTCATCTTGTAAATTTGCGATGGTTGTTTGTTTCGAGTATGTATTATCCAATGTTTCAACAATAACATCCAAAGCGAATTCCAAACTGATATGAGGTTCTTATTTTTACCTTGGGAACAGAGGTAGTCAAACGGGTGAAACGAGAAGCCATTTTTACCGATGTTTATAGTATACAGAAAAAGAGTTGGTGATTGATATAATTTTGCTTTCCTTTTTTTTGGGTTCTCTTTTTCAGCAACCCCTCCCCACAGTATAACTCAGGGCCAGTCCCCCAGCTCTATATGATGACGTACGCTGAAGAACGTCCTAAATCAAAGGCTACTGATGTTCAAATACATTGGCTTCATGTTTGATTGGACAAAACATGAGTATGGGGTTCACTAGAAGCTGTAAATGTATCAAAGAGTTGGTTGTCATGGAAACAGCATGTCAAAGTTCAGGTACGGAATAATAATAATAAAAAAAAAAGACACCCATACATGCATAGCAAGATACATTGAATACGAAATGACATGAGATTTTATTAGATGGTTTAAATTACTTGAAACAAAATAATGGGCTTTTTAAAATGAGGGAATTAAATTATTTGGTACGCTTGTAAATCTTATCCATGAATTCAGTAAAGATCATCTTCTTGACACCAACGGATTCATCTAATTTTTCAATCAATGCATTCAAATCATTGAAAGACTTTTCTTCATAAGCCTTGTAGACAGACTCAATATTGAGATCAAGGTAGAGTTGCTTGACCTTGGCCTCGGATTCAGCGTTCTTTTGGCCATAGTTTTCATCAAGGATCTTGCGTTGTTCGGGGTTAGCCAAAGCCAAAGCTTGGTTGATCAACCAAGAGCACTTGTTGTCCATGATATCAGTACCGATCTTACCAATGACTTCAGGGGCACCGTAGCAATCAAGATAGTCATCTTGGACTTGGAAATATTCACCCAAGGGAATCAAAATATCGTGAGATTGCTTGAAGGCTTCCTCGTTCTTGATACCAACCTATCCCCAAACATACATCAGCCTCTGGGCTGCACTCATAGAGGATATACAACTTACCATATGCATGGCTAATGCGACAGGAAGATAGAAGGAGTAGTAGGCAGTCTTGTAGATGACAATGAATTGATGCCTACAGCAAACCAATAAGGACACATTCATCCCCCCTCCCCCAGAAACCATATCCAACACTTACTTCTTGATAGAGAACTTGCTCAAATCGACATCATCCTCAGGAGCAGTGATAAGATCACAGAGTTGGCCGAGTTCAGTTTGGAAAGTAACTTCATGGAACAACTCAACGAGCTCGATATAATAGTCGGTCTTCTTGAAGTATTTCTTCAAAAAGATGTAGATACAAGATTCAAGGATGAACGCGTCATTGATGGCAACCATGCCAACACCCTCGCTCTTGTACCAACAAGGTTGACCACGACGAGTGATGGAAGCATCCATAATATCATCGGAAACCAAAAAGAAAGCTTGAAGCTATCAGGTCCATGATATTAGTTTTTCGTCAGTGTGTGCCCACTGAAAAGACCAACTTACAAATTCAATCAACCAGCCCAAAACAGTGGCCTTGAAGATATCATCCTCGGTAACAGCATCACCCTTCAAGATACGAACAGTATCAACAACAGAGATGCCACGGTTCAACTTGCCTAATAGATAACATTTGCTTAGATTGAGTGCTATTAAATGCCACATCAAATAATCGGTACATACCACCGGGCACATTGTAATACAACATCTAAAGTACAAAGTACACAGAAAAACAAGTAGATGCAAGATGAGTACATACACTCTATCATCTCTCGCCTCCCTTCCCTCCTTTTGATTGACCTCCTTACCTTCTTTGTCCATTCATAAGCATCTTCAGGCATGTTGTACTTGCGAAGCTCCAAAAGCACCTCGTCAGCGAGGGTAGGGAAAACCTTGAGGAAAGCTTGTCTGTTTTCCTCCTTTTGTAATTTGACAGCAACCATCTTTGATGAATATAAAAAAAAAAAAAACCTGTTTTGAATCTAAACACGCGAAACAAAGAAGAAGAATGAAACGAGAAGTATATATTTTTTGAGTTTTGTAATTGTTTGGATTCAAATCCAGATCCAAACAGGTTTGCAAGGTCAGTGTCCCGTTATGGACATCTCATGTTGGACAATGAAATGAAAACTTGATCCACATTAAAATCTTGAAGCGATTCTTGATACACACGCACGTATACAAAGGCAGGGAGAAAGGCCTCCAGGCGCTGGACAAACACAAGTTCATCTGTATTAGGGCTCACACTCCAAGTACCATACGCAGTCCTGAATAGAATGATAATTTTGTATATCGCATCAAGACTCATATTTGAGTTTGCAAATCGCAAAGAATAAAGATGCTAGATATATCAGTCCTCAATAAAAGAAGAATAAAATAGTTAAGTAAAGCTATAGTAATGTGCAACCCCCAATTTCCTTCTGATTCGCATCACAAACATCAATTGCCTTCATGGCAGATGTATTTTGGCCAGCCAGAATTAATTTAAACTCAGGAAATCGTCTGCTTGAAAAGGCAAAATTGTGATTCAAAATCGACCTGTTTGATCTATTTTACTAGATTTGATTATACAAGTAGTGATGATCATCCGATACGCTTCTATACTTTCTGAGTACTTTTAAAGGCACATTTAATGGTGCTAATTATAAGTTATGTTTTGAACAAGCTTATTGAGCAATTTTCGAAATATGAAATAAGGCTTATGGCCAAAACGTCGAAATTTTACATTTATAAAATTCACAAATTAGTTTTCAAGAGCTGCCTTGAGGCGGTAGAATCATTTTGGTTTAATATATGCCATAGTCAAAGTCTCCATTTTTACGGTCAAAAACACGATCGTTTGATCTTTGTTGAAAACCATGAGGTGTACCCCTCATGGTCTGGAGTCGATTTTTCGAGATGATTTTTTTTTTAGTCCTAACATAGTTGAGCAAAAATATCAATAAGAAACTGTTAGAGGGGAGCAATCGTTCGGTGCTACTCTGGCAGCCTGAGACAACTTATAACACGAGAAAACGAGACTTCAATGTGTCCACATTTCGCTATGTTTTGCATTCTATTGAGAAGTGAAAGGTACTTTTAACGTGCTCACTGCCCGCATATGAGTCGTTTCCATTTGTTCAGACGTAAAGCATTGTTGCAAAGTCAGACCTAGAGTTACGAGTTGTTAACAGAGGGTTTCTAGGTAATAATGGAATGCGAAAAAGATAAAATGTGAGTATATTTTTAATAGGTAATGTTATTCCAGGTAGCATTCTCACTTTTGCCTGATGCTAATGAGCCTTATCTACAACACATAGCTTTAGCAGACATATAATTTTCTCCCTATAACAAGATTATTGGCGTAAATTTGTATTGAATCAGCTTTCGCAGCATCACGATGGAGCGCTACGTAACGCCTAATGATACAAAGTGCTATTTATGTGAGCATACAAGCTAGGTTTTTATAACAACGAGTACAATGTTGCATGCTCAATGTCATTATGAATGTGCTTTTTCATTGGCATTTGAATAAATCAACATGTACATACAAAGTCAAGATTTGTTACTCACGTCATTATCGCAAATACGAATGTCGCTTTCTCGCAGCACCGTCATTGATTCCAAGTGCAAGTTAATTGATTGAGTTTGCTGAATGCTGACATTTCTGTAGTTGATCTACCTTACATTTGATTTAAATGACGTGTATATATATTGTTCACCAGCATGCAAGAGATCACTGAAGGCTGGGGTGTTTGTATAGGTTAGATAGAGACACCACGACCGCACGCAGAAACCCAATATACAATTTTTTCCACCTTGACCAATCGCTACAAAAAGAAGATTGAACCTCTACGTTGTATATATTATAACACAACTAATTATATATGACAATAACACATCGACAAAAGCCTTCTGGAAGCACACTGAGTGCCGTTACAAATGCAGATGGAGGAGGATCCAGTATTGACGACAAAGAACCGCCTAAATATCACTGCGATGCTTGTTCAAACGACGTGACCAACACTGTTCGTATACGTTGTGCTGATAAAGATTGTCCAGACTTTGACCTCTGTGTGTCCTGCTTTTGCGGTGGTGCAGAGCCCGTAAAGCACAAGACATGGCATGACTATCGCATCGTCAAACCACACAATTTCCCGATATTCAGTGAAGACTGGGACGCAGATGAAGAACTCTTGTTGATTGAAGCTGCGGAAAAGATGGGTATAGGTAATTGGCAAGCGATAGCCGACTATGTGGGTACCAAAGGCAAGGGTGAATGCGAGCAACACTATCTGGATGTGTATGTGTCTAGTCCCAATTGGCCTCTTCCAAGGATGAACCTCAAGTTTGAAACAAGCGAAGTGGAGTGTCGTGAACGCAAACGTCAAAGGCTGCAGCAATCCCGTGGTATGACACCTCGCAAGCCAATGTCCTCTCAACCCAACAATGCAAAGCCCATCACCAGCGGTCCATCTTTCCATGAAATTCAAGGTTACATGCCGCGTCGTTTTGAATTCGAGACAGAATACGAAAATGATGCGGAACAGTTTGTCAAGGACATGGTCTTTAATGACGACGACACAGAGGAGGAAATAGACCTCAAGGTGATGGTGCTGGATATCTACAATTCCCGACTGGATCGTCGAATGGAGCGCAAAAACCTCATATTCGAGAGAAGATGGTTGGACTTTAAGCGTATGCAAGCTATTGAACGAAAGAGACAAAAGGAAGAGCGCGACATATACAACAAAACTCGGGTGTTTTGCAGGCTGCAAACCGAAGCAGACTACGACATGTTTGTGAAGGGATTGGTGAAAGAGCAGCAATTAAGGGATAGAATTGCGACATTGCAAGAGTGGAGACAGGCGGGCCTCACCACCATTAGACAGGGAGAGCAGTACGAGCGTGAAAAGCAGAACCGATTAGCCCAACTAAAGACATTTGTATCATTATCGAGCGAAAGAACTGGACCCAGTGGATCAATACAGAGAAACACATACCGTCAGCAAATGGCATCTCTTGCAACATCCAACGGCGCTAATTACTATAGAGATAGACCCACACATTCTGCGTCGACACCAACACCAACTATTACATCTGCTGCTCCTTCGGGAGGTCGAAAGCCGGCTAATCCATTAAATATCAGGGATGCTGATGGTGTGCATTTGCTAACAGAAGAGGAGCAAGTGCTGTGTTCAACTCTGCGTATCATGCCCAGACCCTACTTGGTCATCAAAGACACTATATTGAAAGAATATGCCAAACTTGGATATATGAAACGAAGACAGTGCCGCTCATTGATTAAGATTGATGTGAACAAGACCAGTAGAATCTACGATTTCTTTGTGGAAAGTGGGTGGATCAAGGCCTTCAAAGATCCTGCTACAGCATCAGCAGCTGCGATTGCAACAGCACCTACAGCAACACCACCACCACCACCACCACCAGCACTACCAAATTCTGTGTCAATACAGTCGCCAACAGCAGCACCCACAGCATCCTCATCACCTATCCCTCCTCCCGCTACTGCCACGGAGCCCTCTGCGGACACAGCCATATCTGAAGCTCCACCAACCACAGACTCCATCCCTACACCACTAATGACAACAGAAGCGAACTGAATCTAGTTTCGATATAATATATACACCGAGGACTAATTTCTTCATGTCTTGAATTGCCTCATAATTTCCTGTTCTATCCTATTTTTTCCTTTCTCCTTTGCGTAAAAAGACTGGAATAAAGAAGCAAACAATATAGAAAAAGTCATGACCATCTTTGACGATCCACGCAGAAACCACATTATAGTGAGATCCATCATTCAAGATGGACATTCTTATCAAATGGAATACAAAGATCAGATAAACGTCTTGTTTTACTTGATCTTGAACTTGCACAAAATCAAGAGCAAGTAATCCACAACGTGCTTTCTCTATGAAAAGGCTTACTAACGCATTCTGTGTAATAGTCCCTGATGAACAGCTGAACAAGGTGTACCAGCATGTTGTCCACACTATGGATTCACTGCTGATCCCCAAGATATTAAAGTTGCAGAATCCCATCCACGAGAGCGCTTGGCAAGTCCACCTTGGCGATACAGACATGTATGCCGAGTACATGCGCTTCTTTGACCGTCAGATTCTGTGTCATGGTGTTGATAATGCAATGAAGCAATACTATTATAACAGCCCTCTTGCTCATTCTGTAGGGTCACATCGTTTGCCAGTCGCTCACCTGGCGCTTGGCGTCAAATACAACTTGAATGAGCTCATTGCACAGGCCTTGGCTTATTTGGTTACCACATTTCAAGACAGCAGCTTCTTGAAGAGTCAGCCAGCTTCACTGTGCAATAGTGGTTACCTGACTGCCTATCAAATCCTAACAGATCAAGTCAGAGTGGATCCACGCTTTGGAGCAACCCATGATGCAATTGCTACAAACCAAGTTGATCATCAGCAAGTGCAATTGCCACAATGCAAAAAGGTTTTTAAACATACAAAGGAACTGCTGCAGACCTATACATACCTATGGAAGGTACCTGATAATGTACACGATGCACTCAATGAACTACGGTTGGTAGCAGCGCACATGATGATCTCGCCTGTCAAGAGTGGCTTCAGACGGCAGAACATGGATATGGGCACTGGAGGGACATTGCTCAACACGATAAATGCTATTGATATTCTCTATCCCAATAATAGCTGCCCTAGAGACATTTTGCTTGTACAGTTTCTCAATGTCATATGCTACTACATTGCACTTGGACGCCCCAACATCCTGGGTCTCTGCAGCAACAATGGCAAACACAAGCAAATCAATGAATATGCTACCATTCAAAAGATGATTGATAGTAACAAGATCGACACTGTCACCGTCTCTGCTTTATTGGCACTAAAGGAAGCACAAACCTATCATCTCCACCCAGTTTATAGCAAGGTTTCCAACTATTTACAGTAACGATCCGCTTTCATCTTTTCTCTTCTGTCTAATAAAGCCTCTGCAAGACGGCCATCTGTCCTTGCTTTCTTCAGTTCACGTTTATCTGCGCTTGTTTGATGCACTTTGCCTCCTCCCCAAGACTGATATTTTTTACTGCATGATGTCTCTGTTAGATCCATGTAGACAGACACTTGCCCTGCTAAACACTTACACATTATCCACCTCTGAGCCAGTTCCATCCGATTTTTGCTTTTTCGACTTTGGTTTGTACTTGAATCTTGACTGACAGTACACTCTGAATGATTCGCAGAATCCAACGTCTTCAGCATCTGCACGAATACGAACACCTCCACCTGCAATTTCGTCGACCATCAAAAATTTGCCATGTACGCTTTCAAATGCAATGCCTGACTCTGTCACTGTAGGCTTCCATTCTTCCTGACCACCAATAGCTTCACTGTCGCATGCTACTACGCCAATTTTATCGCTGCTCAGATATTTGCCGTTGGCAGATTTGAATGTAAATGCATTCGTCGATCCTGTAATACGCGACCCCACAAACACTTGCTGCATGATGGTGGGCTCAGGTGCTGTCTCTGACAGATCCGGCAGGGGATATGCCATGAAACGGTCATCTTCATCTACAGTGAGACACACAGGTGGGTCGCTTGGATGAGTGATGAACAATGGCCCCATCAAGTCTTCCAAATTGTCTGCTCTGACCCAAACTAACCGCACAATATCAGGTCAATGGTGGCGTTGTACTATGTTCTTCCAAGCGCATACCTTGGTCTGTTGTTTCGCTATGTTCTCTTTCTTCCTTTTCATCCGCACGATGCTTTCTCTTCTTCTTTCTACAGCTAAAGGCATCAGTATAAAGGCTTTCACCGTGGAATTATTTGCCTTACTTTTGCTCTTTGTCACCCTTGAAGATGAGCTTGTTCTTCTTTTGTGGTTTATCAGACATTTAGTTTGGTATTTGTACAAGAAAGAGAAGTGTAAGCAAAAGAACTGACAATGCTCAAATAAGGTCACTCACAACAGTCCATACAAATTACCCCATTTGATTGGGCAGCTTACTGTCAGATTCAAGCAAATGTTTATTACAAGTTTGAGGTGACGATGATTTCTTCAGCATCAACAGCATTGATGAAATGCTCAACAGATACATCACTTCTGACTGCCTTGATGGAATTCACAATGCTATCCAGTGTTGTGCTATCCTCATCTAGCATGTACTTGAATTTGTATTTAGGCACCTTCTTGATGGTCTTCAGTATCGTAAAGATGGCTTCGTTAAACTGAGGATAATACCACCGACCATCAATCTCGACAGTCTCAACATTTGGGTAAATGCAAATCAAATATTCCACGACTGAAGCAGGTGCATATCTTCCGATCTTCAGCGTTCTCAAACTGGCCATTCTCTTTAGATCCGCGTAATCTGAAGAGAAGCGATTAAAGTGAAAGAAATCAAGGTCCTTTGCTTCCAAGTACAATTCCTTCAAATGAGAGCATGCTTGCAAGATATCGCCTAGCTCTTTGATTGTGAAGCTTCCCATCAATGATAGTTTTTTAAGTTTTGTAAATTGATTCATGTGTCTTGCTATTCTTCCTTTGTCTGGAGGAGAATCTCGGTCATAATTGTAAAAGTTGAGTGTGATAGTTTCAAGTGAATCCTTGAGTAATAGCAAAGTTTTGAAATATAAGTAACTGAAATGCTGATTCTCTAGAATTACTTTGAGATTCCAGGTCTTGTTTGGCGAAGCTTTGATGATGTTGCCAATTTTATAGTAAAAGTAATCCTCGTTGTTAATCAACATGCCTTTAAAAATCTCGAGATGTGGAGTGAAGACAAGATCCATCAAATTCAGAAAGGTACGATTCCAGTCAAAGACATCTCCCAGTATAATCTGTCTGACAAATCGTCCTTTGGTAGGGTGTTTCTTCATGAATTCATGGAGTAATGAGACGCTATCCTTGTTGTTTACCACGATGTGCGACAGTTGCTGAATGTACTTCAAGTCAGGATGGTTCCAATATTTGCAGACCAAGCGGCATTGTTTGATTTGCTTGGGCTCATTGATGTAATGGATTATACGCAGGTAGAGCTCTTGAGGTATTGTATCCCACATGGTTGGTTACGTGTTGTGTATGTGAGTTAAATGAGAAGAAAAAGACAAGGAATATAGAATTTGCACACACGTGAATACTTGGCTGCGGCACCACTGCTGCTACTACTAATACAAATACTACCTTGGTTGGCACTGACCATGTAACCTTGCCTGGGGACGAGTCATAATTAAAATCATCTCTAGACGTGTTCAATGGTTCTCTTGTGCATAGTGCGTGATTCGTTGGAACAGTAAGCACAAATGCTTTCCTGGCTTTGTTTGTACTAGATGAACGACTGAAAAGAGCAATCTGGATTATAAAGTCAAGTAATTCAAAGAAGAGCACGCAAGTGCCCTTGTACATGTGGAACTATCCGTCCCAAGTCATACTGTTTCTAAAGAAAACATTTGGCAGTGATCAATTTCGCAACAATAAGCCTTTCATTAAAATCCTCTCAGTACCTGACTTTCAGTAGCATTCTTTGTCTCGCAGTGATTGTATAAAAGAGACCAAGAACAAACGAGACACGGGTCATTTATCTTTATAGGCTTTGCCTTAAAGATATGCGGCAGATGAAACGATCAAGCCCTTTCCTGAATTGAATAAGGTTTATACGAAAAAAGAATCACAACCCAAAATAAATCGTTGAATCGAGCAAGGTTTTGACAGATCCACCATTAGTGTCATACCTATTTAAAGGGTCTTCTTTGTGGGGAAAATTAAGCTTTTTTTTTCCCATTTTTTCGCCTTTTGTTTGGCTTCATGAGAAGATTCAAAGAAAGATCATGCCCCTCTCCCCAGGCTCTTTTTATCTTTTGAGAGACGAGATTAAGAACTTTGGCTTGTGGTTGGCTAAATCATTATCGACATGGAAGATGTGGATCATTAACGATGCTTGTTGAATGATAGTTTAGCGCATTGAATTATCCTTCCTATATGATTTGAGTAATAATGATGTTAGATTTCATGTTACAAAGACGCTATATAAACAATAAGAACTGTATGACAACATCACTAAAAGGTATAAAGCGATACATCAACCCCTAAGTATTGTATCTCTTTTTGCACATCTCCAACATCTACAGATTATGGCTACATCTTGTTGTCATGGCAACGGCAATTCATGCGTTTCTTTTAAATACAAAAAAAGTGCTGTTATGGCGTTCTTCTTTGATAAATAATACAGCGTTATGTCATTTATTCTCACCCAAAGGATGTTGGGAACACAGAGGCGTCATGCAAATAAAAAGGATGGTAATTTCTTAATATAAGCTCATGTATCACACCAGTTTTTTTCTCTTTTTTCTTTATCTTTTTTCTTGTATATCCCCCTCCCTCGCCCTCGCCCTTTCTTCTTCTTCTTTCTTATATTTCTCACAATCAATACTTTTTTTTTTTTTACCTTTCCTCTTTTATCTAAAAAACCAAATCAAGAAATTACATATATGCAGTCATCCAATTATTATCAACCCAACCCACAGCAGCAATACATGTTGCAGCCATCAATGGTGGATGATAATTCCATCTCTCATGCTCCTCCTGGCAGCGGTGGTGGTGAAGAAGACGATTCTGATGGTAGTGGCATGCCTGATAAACGATCTGGAAGAAGAAAAATCAAGATTGAATACATCAATGATAAATCAAGAAGACACATAACATTCTCCAAGCGAAAAGCTGGTATCATGAAGAAGGTAAGCGTGAGTGTGCAAGCAATGGCAGTTCTACTAACAGTTGCTTTTAGGCTTATGAATTGAGTACACTGACAGGTACTCAGGTCTTGTTGTTGGTTGTGTCTGAAACTGGCCTTGTATACACATTTACTACACCTAAACTCCAGCCTCTTGTCACAAAGCCAGAAGGAAAGAACTTGATTCAGTCTTGTCTGAATGCTCCTGATCCAATTGAATCAACTTCTTCATCGTCTATGGATCATCATCACCAGCAAGCACAACAACAATCTCGATCTGTCATGACAACCAATAATGCACCTACATCCCCACCTACGGTTAGTACTACCCACAATCGTTTTTATTAGGTAGATAGATTGGTATCTAGAGTGGGTGTTCATTTGAGTGAGAGTAATATTGGGCCAAGGGTGTAGATATCATCAAGTGCCCAAACAAATGAAAGAACAAGAATATCACTTGTGGTTTGGAGAAACGTTACACTTCAACTTCATTATAACAATATTATTATTTTCATCACATATACATTCACACACATTTTTCCGCCCAAATGCCAACAAACACATACACATACACTGAATGCCTCTATCTATCTCTATTCTGTATATCATAGTATTAAAGGGCTTTGTATTAAATACATTTTCATTTGAATATGTAGACAAACAGCAATCACTATCGACCAAATCAATCTTTAGATACTAGTAGTAATGATGCTTATACTGATGATAGAAAGGTACTATGATGCATGTGGGTTCTCATGATGGAAATGTAACGTTTGTGGAAAATAGAGTTTCGGTAGCATGGTCGCTGCTAATCCGCCTTTGATTTTAAACAGTGCACCAGGTGCTGCTAGCTCTGAACATCAACAACAAATGTCATCAAACTACAATCCAATGGCCTATCCATCTTACAGTACTGCTTCGGCAAATTCAAACACTTCACCAAATGCAAGTTCATTGTATCCCTACAACTTGCCAGCCCAACAACAGCCAGACAACAACAGATATTGGAACAGTAACACGCTTGCCAACAATACCAGCAAGCGTCAAGATAATGTTAAGCGATAAACAGAAAATGAATAATACGAATAGTGTACAATAATGTATTAATGACCACATTGCTTATGAGTTGTAGCAAGCATCATAGCAGTATGAACAATGCAAATCAAATTATATAGGCTTATCACTAAAACCCCCACCTCCCATATATATATATATATATATATATATATATATATATATATATATCTACAACAATAAAATATCTATACGACAATGCCATGTACAAAACCTTGAATTTCATATCGTACGTTTTATAGTGTACAAGCTCGCATGTATACATGATGATGCATTGATCATCCACAGAGAACAACGCCTCAGAACAAAACACATGCTTACAGGCACTTGATAATTATTTCTCTTCCAAAGCTTCATACTTGAAAAGAACTTTTCAGACTGTTATATGCCCTTTTGTATTATATTGGCGTTTCTAGTCTAATAACAACAACTAACAAAACCTGAAGCAACTTGCTCTAAATTAGATAGTTTTGTAGTAACCATTACGGAAAGCTCCTTATTTGTAAAATGTTAATCAAGGTTACACTTGTTTTTCTCACCCTACTACGAAATCAAGTCGATGAGGTTGAATTTTTTTTTCCCATTCAACCATAATATTAAAGGGAGCCACTTGCAGTGCACTGATAACTGTATCATTTGTCATTTATTACAAACGATACTAGTCTGATATTGAGACAGACAATGTGCTTTCAAGATTTTATACAAAACCAACAGATTGCTTTGGCTTTTTAGCCATGGTCACGTAGATTTGGTAGCAATTGTCAGGTTTTCTTTTGCGCGTAAGCAATTACTCTGGCTAAAGTTGATAGCCATCTCATCACATCTCATCTGATATTGAAACCCTATATTCTGCGCATTACTGCTCAATAACAACGAATCAAACCTCTTTTAAATGCTATTTTACATCAAAATTAGCTTGAAATATGATAGTGCCAACATGATTGTTCATCGTGAGTGTCTATCTTCTATTTCATATGGTGGTAAACTACAACAACCATCAACCAAATGTTTTTCCGGACATGCTCCGGGAAAATTCTCGAGCATATTTCCGGACAAAGCTAAATCGGGCCGATTCCAACCAATCATATTTGTTTGAAATGAAATGATCACATCTATCATTCTGCTTATAAAAATTGTGCAGGTTTTGAAGTAATGGTATCTGGCATATTTGTAGCTCTTGTAATGGCATAATAGCTTATAATAATGTTGGCTAAGTAAGGAGATTTTGCTAGTAGTCAAGTATATATGATCGGATCCCGTTGTTGGACAGATTAAACAGACAATTGCGCAACATGATCCTATTACTAGGTTCTCTATTTGATATTGCAAGCCCAAAAAGCATTGAATCAACAGACAAAAAAAAACGGATGTATAATAATCCCTGACGGATTTGACAATACAAATCTACTTCCACATAATTAAAGCTGACATCACAAGAGCAACATGTCAATAACATCAATAACGATTGTCTTAACATTTGGGGCCCATTAAAAGAACAGTAACTGGGACAGGCTCCTGTGAGTCATCGTGTGGAAGTTTATAAAATATATGCTTAGAGCAAGTATGCAGCACGTTGAGCAGATGCTAATTGGACAAAATGGGGTAAGTTTGACGTGGGTGTTTCCAGCCATGATTTAATATCACCCCCGTTCAGTTGTGCACGCTGTTCCCAGAGTATACACACACACTTTCGAATTACAAGTGATCCATGGCCCAATGAAATCCAAGAAATCTGCCAAATGTCAAAAATATGGCATAAACTCAACTCAACTTGATCTTTACATGTACTTGACATTACTCGATCCAAACTACATTGTAGAAAAATGTAATAGGCAAGCAGGCAATACTATCTTGCATAAACAACGTTGATTTTATGATCTCTTGCTCAATGTTATATGACTAAAAAAGAAAAAAACTGAAACTTTTTTTTTGTTTAATCACAAGCCACCATACATAGATTCCTTTTTTTTTTTTTTTTTTTTTTCTATATTGAAAGACATATCTTTGACGTGGTAAGGGCTATTTGTATTACCAACAAATTCTTTCCTTTTTCAACTCCTTCTGAACAGGTTAAATATCTATACATCCAACGTTCTATAATATTCCTTTTCATACTTACATTTATTTCTCCTCTTTGATTTAGACTCTAAACAAAAAGTAGGTTATGGAAAACAACAAGGATAAACCAGTTTCAAAGGAAGAGCAACCTTCCGCCGAAGAACAACAAAAGCAATCGATTCCTGCTCCTATTCCTGAGAAGAGCGCTTGGAAAGTTGAAGTAACAGAGAAAATATCTTCCGAGATTAGCGAAGTTGCTGCAGGTAAGACGTCGATGCTTCGATTCACGTTGACATCTCTCATCAAATATCTCGACATGTACACAAATTAGACTGGCCCGCTCCCAAGGATGCCGCCGCAGAGACCAGCAATGTTGAAGAGAATGACAAGTTTGTTACACCCAAAGTTAAGAACAAGGGACAATGGAAGCCTTTCACACCCACCATTGTTCATGCTTCATCATCTGCTTCTCGCTCATCTCCTCGTAGAAGCAACCGTCGTGCCAATGGCGAGGTTCGCACCAACAAAAAGTCCAGCACCGCACGCAGAGGATCCAAGTCAAAGGAAACCACCAACAACACTACTGCCTCGGCCAACAAGGACAACAAGGAGACCAAGCCTGTCAAAGATGATGAAAAGAAGCCCAAAGCTCGTTCAATCCGCCCCAAGAACTCTTATCGCAATGGTCAACGTAAAGTCCCAGCTTTCGTCAATGTCGATGCCGATACACTCAAGATGTACATCATGCAACAAATGTAAGTAGCATTGCTGCTGGTGATTCATGGAAGGAGGGATCATGGAGACCAACTAGTAGTAAAAAAATTTTTCAACATTTTTTTGCTCAACTCAATTTTTTTTTTTATTTTTTATTTTCAACACAGTGAATACTACTTTAGCGTCGACAACTTGTGTAAGGATGTGTTCTTGCGTCAACAAATGGATTCCAATGGTTTCGTTGATTTGAGCTTCATTGCCAATTTCAATCGTGTCAAGGGTTTGACCACTGATCTCGATTTGATCCGTGAAGCTTTGGACAACAGCCAAATTCTCGAAGTAAAGGGCGAAAAGTTGCGCAAGAGAGAAGGTTGGGAGACCTGGCTCATGCCCGCTGTTATTCCTGGCCCTACGCCTGTCAATCCCACTATTCCCAAGCCAACCACCACCGCCGCTGAGGTTGCCAAGCAGAACGCCCCTGCTAACCCTCAACCCACATTAGCTTCTTTGGCTGGTACCACCTTATTGCCTGCTGTTGTTCCCAAATTGGCTGAACGTCGCAAGTCTGTAGCCAAGCCTCAACAAAAGGAAGAAGACGATTTGTTTGATTTTGATGAGGACGATGATTTCATTGATGGTCGCCGCAACGATACTGTCAAGAAATACTACCTTTCTGACGAAGAAGATGAGGATGACGATGATCTTGAAATGGATGATGAGACAGTTGCTCGTATCATGATTGTTACTCAACGCAAAACTGATCGCACTCATACCAACTTCAACCGTGCAAAGATCAATGAAGACATCTCTGATATGATCAACGAAGGTCTCTATCAATACGAGTCTGGTCTCGGTGGAGCCAAGCAAAACATCACCAAGGTTGGCTCTGTCGGCAAGGATCAATTTGATCAATTGAAGCAACGTGAACATCAACATGGCGAACAAGTTGGCGCTCAAATCTCCAGCACTACCATCACCGCCAAGCCCATCAAGAAGAATGAGAAGACCACTCCTCGTTTCTATGCTGTTCGTCCCGAATCTCTTCCCAGCTCTGCCTTCTTTGGCACCACGCCTACCAAGACTAACGATCAAGGCCATGTCGGTTGGGTTTTGAGTGATCAAGCCTACCATTACAACCCCAATGACTTGTTATCTACTAGCTATGGCAAGTCTCCTGCTGCTGACGGTATGCTCTCCAGATCTATGGATATGGCCCACTCCTTTGGTAACTTCCAACATCCTAGCCACGAGTTATTACGTGAGAAGGGCTTTGTTCAACACAAATACTACAAGTACCACGCCAAGGCATTGAGAGAGCGCAAGCAATTGGGTGTTGGCCATTCTCAAGAGATGAACACATTGTTCCGTTTCTGGTCTCACTTCTTGCGTGATCACTTCAACAAGCGCATGTACAATGAATTCAAGAGATTAGCAGTGGAGGATGCCAATCAAAACTACAGGTAAATTGATAACAGTAATCGGATCAAATTTAAGGTTCAGGATGCTCATTGTGTTTCCATTTATAGATATGGTTTGGAATGTCTTTTCCGTTTCTATTCCTACGGTCTTGAGAAGCGTTACCGCAAGGAGCTTTTTGAAGATTTCGAGGAATTAACATTAGCTGATTATGAGAGAGGACACTTGTACGGTCTTGAAAAGTTCTGGGCATACACTTATTACCGCAAGGATAAGAAGAAGAGAGAGCTCAAGATCAACGATCAATTGACTCAATTATTATCGAAATACAAGTCTGTTGAGGATTTCAGAAATGCCGAAGCACCCAAGTCTGAGGCTGATGATACCTACAAGGTGCCTTTCCATGGTGTAAGTAGTGCTTTATAGATGTGCGAGTGCTTTTGATTGACTTTTTTTTTTGATTTTGTAGAAGGCTAGAGGTAGTGTTAGTGGACCCTCTGGTGCTGCTGCTCCCAACGCTTCCAATGCCACACCTGCCACAGCAACTGCTTAAATTTTCATCGATAATTGAATTATACTCCCATTTGAAAATGCAACAAAGTACACCACAAAAAAATCTAAAAAGTTCAACACAACAACACCAAAAAAAAAAAATCATAGAAATCTGACCTGCTTACACCTTTTTCTTTACTATATTCTTCCCCTTTTCTTATTATATATATAAATTTGTCCTATTAAATAAATAAAAAAAAAAAACTATAAAAAACCCCAAACTTAATTGATATTGCAGTAGTAGTAGTAGTAGTAGTATGTGTACTTGCAAGCGTCGATTCATGCAATTTTGGTGAAACAAAGAGTGAATCGTTTTGCGCATATCATGGAAATAAATTACATGTTTTGTAGTCGAAACGGTTTGTTTGTAGTACTTACAAATGAACATATTTATTGAATAGATATTAACAATGAAAATTGATTTATATATGAGTTGGCGAGGAATTTGATAGTATCAACAGGTTAATCCCTCCAAAATGAGGTGATAGTAGAGCAATTACAATTCGGCAATGGTGCAAACCATCTTTCCAAAGTTCTTGCCCTTCAAGACATCAACAAGTGCTTGAGGAACGTTGTCGATACCCTTGACAATATCTTCCTTGTACTTGACTGTACCATCGGTCAACATGGGGGTAACATCCTTGAGGAAAGTCTCCTCAAAGTCCATGTGATCCATAATGATAAAACCGTCAAGCTTGATTCTCTTGGTGACAATGTACATGCTGTTATACAAAGGCTCAGGCTTGGCGAGATTGTATTGAGAGATCATACCACAGGCAATGATACGGGCAAAGTTATTAGCGACAGCCAAGACAGCATCAAGCATTTTACCACCAACACCTTCAAAGTAGACATCAATACCCTTGGGGCAAGTCTTTCTCAAATTTTCTTCGATATCGCCGTTCTTGTAGTTGAAGGCGTCGTCAAAACCGATAGACTTGAGGTATTTAACCTTTTCATCGCTACCAGCTGAACCAACCACGTACAGACCCAATGCCTTACCGAATTGACCAACCAGCTGACCAACAGCACCAGCAGCAGCACTGACATAGAGAGTCTCGCCCTTCTTGGGCTTACCAATTTTGTGGAGACCATAATAGGCGGTCATACCAGGCATGGCAAGGACGCCAACATAGTGGCTGAGGGGAAGACCATTTTTCTTGGCATCGTTACGAACAACATAAGCATGTTTGGCATATTGAGCATTGACTTGAACGTATTCAGCAAAGATACCTTGTCCAGTGCGACCATAGACGAGATCGTCGACCTTATAATCGGGGTTGTTGGATTTGACAACGACTGACATGGTGTCACCAGTCATGGGTTCATTAAGAGCAAAGGCAGGAGCATAAGAGTCAATAGAGGCATCACGCATACGACCTCTCATGTAAGGATCGACAGAGATTTCAAGAGTCTTCAAGATGAAATCACCCTTGGGAAGTTCGGCCTCCAAATCGATGGTGGATTCTTTGACTTGCATGTGCTCTCCAGCAACAGGGAAAGTAGAAGGAATCTTGGTGAAAATAACTTGCTTGTTGGCGACCATTGTAGTAATGTATGATTGACAAAATCTAAAATAATTGAATGGAATGAATTGAGAAAACACCCAAGGTTTTTATACCTTTCATGATAAAAACTGAGACATCTGAGGTTCAACATGCATTGCATTCAATTATTCAGCAAGCTGGAATAATGCTGCCCTAAACATGATGAAATATGCGAAATTAAAAAGACGAAGCTAAAGCTTATAAATCAAAATGTGCTCAAGATAGGAAACTCTAGACATGCCATGACGATCGCATTACTATGACAGAGGTATAGTCGATAAATGCAGAGCAAATCAGATGGAAAGGGTCTGTTTTATCTCGTTTTTTTTTTCTAGCTCTTTCGACGCCAAAATTTAGAAATCAACATGTCGTTCAGAAAATCCCAATTTACGCCAAGTCTCACTTGATATTTAAGTTTACAAATCTGTTCGAGGGCACATTCCACATAGGCCCATTCAATGCAGGATACTCTAGATTGGTACGTATGACAATGTAGGAAGCGTATGTACAGTCTTACCGTACCACTGCAAGCTTTCCTTGGGGCCATACGTCAAATGTCGCTTGAAGCAGCTCGCATGAATTGAATCGACACCCCCCCCCCCTTTCTTAAGAGAATGTGGCCCCATCCGTTTTGGTGACTTGGGACGTACTTGTCTCTATCTCGTTACTGGACACGCCACTGCTTCTACAGTTGCAAGTTCATTACGGCAAAACTATTTTTTTTACGACATCATGACATGATCGGATTGAATCTCCACCAAAAATGTTACTACTAGTCATAGTCTGCATTTTGCCATCATGAAACTAGAACTTCTTTATGCGATTTCTAACATTACCACTTCAATCATTCTTTCGACTCTACAAGACCATGTATCCAACAGTTACTATTGCCAACCAAGACATTACTGTAAAAGGATGCTCAACTACAGATGAATTTAATCAAGTCATGGCGTTCCAGCCTTTCAAAGACTGGCTCCAAGCATTTGAGGAACAACAAAAGCAGAGAAAAAACGAATTTGATATCAACTCGATCGATATTCAGAGCATCGACTATTTTGGATCTAAAAAAGTTGGATTTGTCAAATTTAAAGCAGACGTATCGTTCAGGGACACTGGCAAGAACGCACCTGGCATTGTGTTTATGGTAAAACTGCCGCGTTGGTATAATGCAGCTACGTGTACTCAAATAGTCATTAGAGAGGAGGCGCTGTTTCCATGTTGATCATCCTGAAATCGCAAGGGCAAAAGGACAAGATTCTACTGACCTTACAACCTCGTATTCCTATTCCACATCTCAGCTTTCCTGAGCTGCCTGCGGGCATGTTGGATGGATCAGGCAATTTCTCAGGAACAGCGGCCAAGGAAATCAAGGAAGAAACGGGGCTTGAGATTAAAGAGGATGAGTTGGTAGACATGACAGACATGGCGTATGGAGATAAATGGAGAGGTGTTTATCCCTCAGCAGGTGGATCAGGTAATACGGCTTGGTTAAATTCGCGGTGCTTTACTAATACGTGGTGGCATTGTTAGACGAGTTTTTGAGATTGTTTGCCTGCATCAAGCATTTGGAGAAATCACAAATTGACGAATTGGAAGGAAAACTGGCTGGGTTACGAGACCAAGGAGAAAGCATCACTTTAAAACTGATTTCTATGGAGGACGCCTGGAAAGCGTCACCGGATGCCAAGTTATTGTCGAGTTTAGCGTTGTATGAAGCTTTGAAATCAAAGATTACTACTTGATTTGCGAAACAAAAGTGTATTTGCTGATTAGATATAAGGGATCATACTAATGAAATAAAATGAATGCACTTGTCTAGCCTCTTTACTGGACCTTGTAAGTGTTGGCATGTTAAAGTGGGAGTTTATTTGAAAGTTGCGGCAGATGCAGTCTTGTGTGCACAACTCGACATTTGGAGGCTACATTGGTGCCTTAAAAATCACATGAAAGTCAAAACAAAATATTTGCATCTGATATCCTTTCTTGTATCTAGCTCGATGAATGGCGTGTGGTCTTGTCCATACCTCAAGCCAATACAAACTCTTTCTTATCTTGTATACCCCAAATCACAGCAAAATCTGGCCAATTTCCAGCACTCACAGCTCCTCCTGCAGGATGTTCTAGGTGGTCGTAATGGTGCAAAATAATTGCTTTCAACTTGTAGTTACTCTCTATCACTTTATCCTAATTTTTTTTTCGGGTCAAGTCAAATCGATGAAAATCTCTTCATTTCTGATGAGTATTAGCAAGGATAAAATTTTGAAAAACAATAGATGGTAGTTTTCACTGTGAAAATGGCGTTTTCTCTTATGATACACATTAGATCAAAATGATTCTAAAGGCTCAATGGATCATATAATGCTGCTTTTGTGGCATGTTTATATGCGAAATTTCATCATTTTGGCAAAAAGTCAGTTTTTGAATGTCTATACATTGCTCGTAATTTTTATTATAAAAACTTTGCGCAATTAGCACTATTAGAAGCGTCTTGGGTCAGTTCTCTGTAAATGTATTAGAAAATAAGGTATAAAAGCAACGACTTGTATAGTCGAATTTGGCAAAAACATTCTGGAGATGCAAAATCGAGTCGAATTTGAGCAAAAAGCATCCCACTCGGGAAGAAATATTTTAAATGTCGCAGCCAATCACTGGTCGCACTGGCATCATTGACTAGTAAATATCATAAAATTGTTTGCTTTTTGCACATCTGATTGACACGTAACTACTCATATATACAGATAGAGATATGCTTTACACGATAGCTAATGTTTCAATAATTTTCTAAGCGGGATGATAACATTGAAGAGCTTCTAAGCGACATCCAGTGAACAACCTCCAACACCAAATTTTACCAGCAGGCGTAACCATCCTGCTAGATCGCGCGCCATGTCTTCTCGTGGATACCCATGAAATATAGCCAATACAGCATGATTTCTTTTGCAAGATGCATACTAATTGTCATATGATGATAATTCACAGCAGAGCTTAGCGGCATTGTACAAAGCTCGGAAGTCCATGATCGCTATTGTTTAGTTTGGAAGGGCATAATATTTCCTTTTTAGGATTGTTTACGTTGCCTGGAAAAGGAATATTTCATCAGTAAACAGCAAGATCAGTTTGTTTGTGATTGTTCAAAAAAGAAGACATGTCCACATACATACATAAAGCTTAAATTGTCTATTGCTGGTTTAGCTTTTCTTTTTCTTTCACCAATATATTTTCCCAAAAATAAAATGATTGATAGAACCACCTCAACAACCAACATCCACCAATACCAGACAGAGCCATTGCAAAGAATGGACATTGTGCCCGATGAAAAGACCATTGTCAATCAGATTCAGCACCTTTTGCTAGTAGAAGACGATGACATATTTGACAATGATGGTGACGATGAAGATGAACAAGATGAGGATTTTGCAGACTTGCCACCTACGCTGGATGCACCGGATCTCACCAGAAGGGGATCAACATCGTCTGAATTTAGCCATATTCAATACGTCGACTCTATCCGAAAGACTCGCCCCTTGCCAAAGATTCCTGATCGCACCTCATCAAAAGAACTGTCCAGCAATATGACCGCCATCATGAGCGAGAGTTTTAAAAACAACACTCGAGTTTCTGCTCAACAATTATTCCAAATGTTGAATCAAAGCAAGTCGGCTGAAGATGACGAACAGGACACAAGCGACGATGATGTTGAATACGGAGGCGTATTTGCATTGAAAACGCAAATGCCATCACCGACGTTATCCAATAGAGAGGTTTTAAAACAGTACTACGAGGAGCTTAATCTAAATTACAAGACAATGACACCAGTGGAAGAAGTGGATGAGGATCAGTTTATTACCAACTACGCCTTGGAATCTCCTCCTGAGCAGAGTACAAGACCTGTGTCACAGATTTCCCTACAGCCGCCTAGCTTAGCTAGTGGAAGAAGCTCCCCTACGTCTTCTCGTAACTCGAACCAGTCCATCGATTTACCTGATCCACCACTTGATGTTGATTTTCAGACACCAAGACAAGCAAATGCCATTCTACAGACAGCAAACCAGCAGCCTACAGAGTCTGATCAGCAGAAATTCGATACTATCAATGGTATCAGCTCCATGTATGCAACACCCACTGACGGATATAGCTATGGTGCGCCTCGGCCATCATTAGAACATGTCTGCGAAGCTAGTGAAAGCACTCCAAAGCATCAAAATGCTCCACCCAGCAGACTATCTTTATACGGCGATGTTCAAAAGCTCTCTGAATTAAATCAGGCCCTGATGACACCAGAGATTTCCAAAAGCTCCGTCCTTGCTCCAGCTCATCAGCAGCCACGACCTGAGCAGCAACAGCAACAGCAACAGCAACAGCAACAGCAACAGCAACAGCAACAGCAAGCCTTAGTGTCTGTGAGCTCGTACAATAAGCAAGCCAATGCAAGAGTGTCCATGGCCCCTGCCAGTTTAGTGCATGACAAGGAATCAATGAAAACTTACCGTCGTATGGCTACCAAAACCAATGATCGTAACATCCAATTTACCTATGCTAAATATCTGATGCAACTGGTGTCTCTCTATGTTGGCAGCAAGGAACCTAGCGTGGTAGCTACTCGTGATCGCTTACAAGAGGAGGCAGAATACTGGGTTGATAAACTGGCAAAATCCAATTATGCAGCTGCTCTTTACACCAAGGGTCAATGGCTTCGTCATTGTGGTGATAGCAAAGCCGTTGGTATCTTTGTGGGTGCTCAATACAAGAAAGTGTCTCATGCAAAAGCATTCAAATGTTTCCAGCAAGCTGCCAAATATGGGTCTGTGGAGGCTTACTATGAGCTTGCAGAGTATTGGATGGTGCGCAAAGACTATAAAAAGTCCATGGATTGCTATCGCTATGCTGCCTCGAAACAACACATTCTTTCGCTCTATGTAAGTTTATTATTTGGTGGTCAATGTGATGTCGTTTAATATCGTGTGCTTTGTAAACCATAGAAACTAGCCAACATCTTGCTTCGTGGTCTGCTTCATCAACAAAAGGACATTCAACAAGGTTTGATCTACTTGAGGCAGGCTGCTGATTCAGAAAAGCCAGACTGTGCCCGCTCAGCTTATGATTTGGCCTGTATATTGTCAAACGATCTCAAGAGCATCGACTTGGAAAAGTAAGTATGCATTAGTGATTGTAAGATCTAAGTGTACTGATGAATACACGGTTGTGGTGTCATAGCGAGCCCTCTATTACTACTTTTTACATTACGCCAAATACCACATCAGCAATGCATTATTTCAAAAAGGCAGACAGCTTTGGCTTGATCAATGCTACCTTCCGCTTGGGCCAATTTTACAAGGAAGGGCAACAGCAATTTCATCCCAACGCTTGGGAAGCCTACAAATGCTTTGCAAGAGCAGCTGAGCATGGCAATGAAGACGCAATGATTGAGCTGGCTCACTTTTACAAGGACGGCATCTCTGGTTACCTGAGCCCTCAGCCATTATTAGCTTTCCAATGGTGCCACAAAGCAACAGAAAATGGAGATGCAGCAGCAGATTATGTACTAGGGTAAGTGGTGCGTTTTTGATGATTGGCTCATTGTATGACTAACACTGCCGTTCAAACGCATAGCACATTTTATGAATATGGCATTGGTGTCTACCCAGATCAAGCAGCAGCGCAAGAATGGTACAAGCGATCAGCATCAAAGAGATACGAACCTGCAGAGGAAAGATTACGCATCAAGAGAAGCTCCAGCAATCAACAGATTCATCAACAGCAAAAGTCGCATGAGCATAAATACAACCATCGTCCACAGACTGGACCTAAACAGTACTATGAAGAAAGCGTCAGGCTAGCTGAAACATCCAGGCGCACTCATGCTGAGCAAAACTGCCAAATCATGTAGATTGCTCCACTGAATGATACAGCGTTAGCATGTTGCAAGTCGTATTAACCTTATCCCATACAATAATAAACATTCTTTGAGTCATACGAGCAACGATAGCTTTCTTTTATATTGTCTAATGTTGCTGATGAAGATATGAGTGTAGGGGAAGGTTTGTATGATGCCTTTCCTATTTATATACACTACTCGTAATACTTTTCATCAACTGATTCAAGAAGAACGCATGGCATTTTTTTGCAGTGGTATCAAGATTAGAAAGGCCATCGTTTTGATTGCATACGATGCGAAATTGATTGGATAGTCTACAAGTGTAACGGACAAACCTATCACTGATGAAACTTGTAGAACAGCAATCATGGAGCAAATCCTATTTTCAAGAGATATGCAATCAGTATAGCTCTGCTACCAATCCAGCACATGATACAGCACAAATGTATCCAACAAAAGATGTATATCAGATAGTTAGACACTCGTTTTATCTGTGCAATGCATGCAATGACTGATGATTTCAAAGACTGACACCATCATGTAGAAAGCCAGGAACATCACTGATGGTTCAGTTCCAGTGGTCATGTGTAGATGTCCAAGACAGAGCGCCTTGCTGCCTTTTATCACTGAGGACACCATAAGCTAGCACAAAAATTCAAATCACAGCTTATAAAAGGCCATCTATTTCGTGAGTTCCATGCTTTAGATAATTCTCATTCGATAACAATGTCAACCGAGGAAGAGAAGAAAAAGCTATTAGGCAAGCTTTCGATAAGGATTTCTGTATTTCGATATTCGCTTGCATTTGAATGGCTTTCAACAGTAACTGACGCTGAGGTTGCTCTTTTCATTAACAAAGTTGTTCAAGCTACAGATCCACACGTGCCTGAGCTATACGATGAAGATTTTTTTTTTTTCCTTGGCTGATGTATTAAAGGTTGTCTGTCCATATAGTAGCATTCTTGATGGTAAATCTCTGTCCTGGTTCCAGAATTGGCGTGCGAAACAGCAACTCTCAATGAACAAACTGAAGGAGATGGAATTGATGTATGTGTTGAAGCCAGAGTATAGAGGTAGGGTCTGACGGACACTCTTGCGATGGATATCTGACAGAAGAAATAGAGGCAGGTGCATTGAATTCAGGAAGTCTGCGCTATCCAAGACGATGGTGGTTTTGGTATGCTGATTGTTCTTAGTATGGCATGCTCGAATATAACAATAAAATAAAAGGCATATGCCATTTTCATTATGAAGAACTCGTTAGTTATAACATAACGTTAATTAGAAATGACTTCAAACTGAAATCTCAACCTTCAGGACACAGCAAAAAGATGAGCGAAAACACGGAATTGTAAAGAGCGAAGGAGCTCTTCACAGAATATTGCTTTTTGCAACATTGAAAAGCCACAAATTCCATAGTGTATGCGTCTGTCATTGTACGTATTAGCTGCGAAATGTCGGCATTGCATTGTACGATAGCTTGATTCTAGAAACGATGCACAAACATCTAGTTCACACGGCAGAGAATTGACTTCAGACATGTCCCAAGCATACAATGTATAAACCAATTGTAAGCCTACATGGATTGGATTTGGGCTATTTATGTCTCAGTCTCAATATAAAAAAAAAAGATATATAAATGCATTTTGATGTTAGCATGACATGTTGCTCTCTTCTTCTTTCGTCAATATGTTTGTCATCAAAAGAAGCCTTCAATTAAATCAGAAAAAAGTGTATCCTCTTGCTTTCAAGCATCAATTAAAGCAGCAGCAACAACAGCAAAGATATGTGCCATTGGCTCAAAACATCAGCATGGTACAGAGACGCCCATTGTCGATTTGGACCATTCCCAAGATCATATTAGCAACACAAGGTAAAAAGAACCGTGGTCTTATTCTGGGTACATTGGGTGCTGCTACGTTTCTCAGCTCCTTTCTGGGTCCTGTCGTATGGGTCACCGTGGGCGGTGCTGCTTCTTTAATGTCATGGCGATTGTTTAGAAAGGCAAAGAGTTGGTGGAACTATCTGACGCCATCTAAACCAGATGCAGATACTCTCAGCAACAGTAATCAAGAGGAACCGTCGCTTTCTCAAGCATTGCTCTCCAAAATTGGCACGCATCATGCTGAGGAGCTTATTCGAATGGAGGCCATCAAGAGCCTCAAGAACTATTTCGAGACATCCAGCAAAGGCAAGCAAGTGCTAGAGGAATTTGGCTTGGATCATCCTCGTGATCTGGTATGGGAGGATGTACATAGATCAGAAACTGTCAGGTTGGATGGCGGAAAGAAACATAGAGTGTCTGTCAACTTTTGGCTGGAGGATCAGACGTCCAAAGGACCCAAAGGTGGTACTTGTGAAGTGTCTGCCAGTGCACTGGTGAGTGGGCAAGGCAACATTGATCTGGAGCAAGTCAAGCTGAGCTCCCCGGACTGGCATCAAGATGAGATCATCTCTCTTGCGTAGTATTGTATATAGAAGATGGTAATAAACTGCTATTTTTTTCAATAATACATATCTGTCCATGATGTCATGGATGACGATGATCATCATGGCCAGTGTAACACAGCCTCTGTATCTCAGATCATCCTCAGTGATGCGATGCATCTATGACAGCTGTCTCGTGAATTTTACAATGTGTATTTGCTTTATAGATTAGAAATACTTGACAATCATCTGATATGCTAAGGGTAATTTGGGGGATAATTTTGGAGGCAAAATAATAAGAGCAGCAAACCAGAGTAAAACAAGAACAAACAGCGGACCGTAGATCAAGGCGATCCTTCTACGTCTCTTTCTTTCTTTTGTAGGCAACACAGAGGGCCGGATCTGTTTTGAAGGTCGCAACCAAAACAGAATGAGCGAGTGAATGCGATCAATGGATGGGATCAGTGTGAATGGGAATAAGCCAAATAGAATCAGATGGCCCAAAATGAAATCTGTGGTGAATACAGACATTTCGACAATTTTACAAATGTATTCTCTTGCAGCCAGATTGCCCACCTATAAGCGATTAGCCTATGACAGTAGTGACACACATGAAAAGAGCTTACCTGACTTCCATTCCATCTACCAGACCACCATGCTCGATTGGTTGCATCATGATGAAGTTCTCGAGTCAAGAAGATGGCTATGAATGACTTGAAAATAAACCGCTGCACCGCAAATACCGAGAGCAGGCCCAACAATGTAGACCGCACTTGAAATCTCTCCAATGTCCATAAAACTTCGTAAAACAAAATAAAGCCAAGCACTGCCAAAGTATGAGCCAGCGTAGACATGTAGAAGCCTGTTCTCTTCAATCGAGATCCCATGAGCGAGAACGCCTGTACAAACAGCAACACAATGGCGTTAAAGACAATAGGGGACAACGAGATGAACAAGATGCGACCCAAGGCCCCTAATGGACCTAGCTGTGTGTTGACTGGATTCTTGAGCGCGCCATACGTGTCTACCTGTTCACGACTCTTGTAAAAGGTATAACACGCTACACACAAGACAGCCTGGATCAGCGGCATCATGATTTCTGCGAAAAATATGCTTGACAGATGAGCGCGAGGCACAGTTACAATGGGCTTGTTGCCAGACAGAGTCGAGTTTTGTCTTGCCTTCTTCTTGTTGCCTGTTACCTGCGTACGGATTTGACGACAGAATGAGATCCACGAGTGATCATAAGATCTGGATGAATTGCCACGCGACAACCAACCTAGGAACTCTCTGTAGTCGTTGATAAACTCCATGAGCACGAATTGGTGAGGATTGAACACAAAGGGAGACACCAGCAGTGATGCCACGGTAGCCCAAAAGTAGATGAGATGAGGGATCCATAATGCCAACGACACAAAGAACAGCATAAACATGGTGCGTGCGCCGAAATAGATGCTTGGATGAGCAAATCGCGAGTAGAGCACAGAGAAGGGCAATCTGGAGGTAGCAAACCCTCTTCCGGTAGCAATGTATCTTGCACCACCAAAACTGAGGTTCGATAACACGGCGTTGGCATAGATTTGAGTGACAAACACTTCAAACAAAGGTGATAAACTCAAGAACTGCTTGACCAAACGCCAAATGGATCTGCCTGTGCCCTTCTCAGTCAATTCTTGCAGAAATAATGGTAGAAAGGCAATAAAGAAGACCATAAAAATGGACAAGATACAACGCTGCAACCAATCGTACACGGGTCTCACGTCAAAGCAGTTGCTTCCCATGCAGTGAGGCAGGCCAGCAGCCATGGTACCCACCAGCGTCATACAGAACAAGAACACTTGTACGGCAAAGATGATCATGATGTTGTTCATGTGGAAGCCAGGATGGGCATAGTAAAAGGTCAAGAAGCGGTCCAGAGGAAGCTGTGTACCCAAGTAGTAGTATTCTCGAGACAGTAACTGTTCACCCATACCCGTGCCAATCTTGGTGGTAAAGTTGAGGATAGAGCAGAACCCCAGATCTCTGCCTTTACCGCATTGCAAGTATTCCGTGTGCTTGATACGGCCACCCCGAAGCAGCGCGTTCATACCAGCATAAATGTCTTCGTTCAGGTGCAGGCCTCGTTGTGCTTTGGAGACACCGCCTCGTGTGGTCATGAACACGGCGTTCAAGAAATCAGGATGGCCGTAGTGCAAGCGGCCACCTGTCTTGGCCATGATACGTTGCGTCAACGTGCCAAAGGTCTGCTCTTTACCAGCAGCCACATCGCCTAGCATGCCCACGTTTTCAGAAAAGATGTATTCACGCGCACCCACAATAGCAACAGGCGATTGAGGCGATTCCTTGGTCTGTTCGTCCTTGCTACCTGACAGCGCATAAACGTGCTCCAATGACAGTTGTTGGCCCTGTTGCTCGAATTCACCAAAAATGCTGCGAATCTTCAAGCATTCCTCCAGATAATTGTCTTGATTGGCGTCTACCAGCTGCAGATACTCGCCTCTGTAAAAGATGAGGGCATGGTTTTGGTTGTCTGATTTGCCGTCGCCCAAGATGGGGTTTCCAGGGAGCTTGATGCGGTATTTGGGCACACGCTTGTTGTTGGGCAAGACTTCGCAGTGGCCATCAATCAACACCGAGTAGTAGGTAATCTGCTGTGTCTCTGGGTCTACTTGCTCGTCGATGTAGGCCACTTGAAGATGTGGGTATTCGGTCAGTAAAAACTCACAGTTGGCTGCTTCTTCTTGATTGAATTTAGCGTATCTCTGCATGGCTACCAAGAAGCGAAACTTTTGATGTGCTATTGTATCCAGTAAGTGTTCGGTCGCCTCCTTTTTGTCATCTGGCAATGCCTCGTTCATGGTGGATAGGTCGTCATCTTCTGTAGTAGTAGTAGTATCGTCTTTGTTGTTGTTGTTGTTGTTGTTGTTGTCGAGGGAGGAGGAGGAGGGGTCATTGAGGTCAGGGGTTTCAATGCGGTGCAGAATCTTCAATGCACGGGCATAGTTCATGAATCCATTGATGGTGCGGTACAATGTCTGAGCACGCAAGGAGGCCCACACACGAGTACGCAGCGTATATTCAGGGGCGGACGATTTGAACCCAATGCAGTAGAATGGCAAGTCTTCCTTTTCAGTGGGTTTGGAGGGCACTTGATTTTCTTCTGCTATAAACATGGTGTCCTTGACAAAGTTGTTCCATTCACTGGGATGCAGTCGCTTCAGGTACTCGAGCAAGGTGACACGCGTGGTGGAATCTTCTTCGCGTATGATCTCTCGCAGCGACAACAGCATCTTCTCGGCATAGTGCGGTGTGAACACTGTGAAAATGGGCATTGACTGAACGGAGCATGGCTGAGGAAACTGCGTGGAGAGGCTCTGGGCAAAGAAGGACAATCTTCGTTCTGCCTCTGATTGCTTTGGAAAGTAATCTTCCATGTTGAGCGACAGGGCAGGGTCAAATATGGGCGGTGCATGAAGCTCTCGCTTGGCAGTGCCATCTTGTGTGTCCTGATCCAAATGCACTTGATACAACAGCGACTGAAGGTGGTTGACAGATAGCAAGTGATCTCTGTACATGCTGATGATGATGGCATTCCACATCTGAGAGCACGCCATCCGACGCATGTGCACCGAGATGAATTCCTTGGTGGCTGTGACCTTAGAGAACATATGGTGAGGCAGTCTGATGAACAACTGCCGCCAGGATGTCATGACAGAGATGCCCAGACGCATGGATTGAGACACGGAAAAGATGGTGCTCCAAATCACAAACCACAGGTACGTATCTAGAAAGAACAGGACCAGCTCCACCGAGAACATAAGAGCCGTAGTCAGTACGGGCATGACGGAGCACAGCCAGTGGCCTAGCAGTGGATCCGCACTGCAGTTGTTGAGCTGCATCAGTGTTGTCACAGAGAGAGCATCACGAAAGGAAAGCGCCAGGAAGAAGTAGGTTTCCAGAAACTTGCAGCTAAAGACACAGATCCACAGCAAGACAGACAGAAAGCGATCATCGTCCACCATGGTGGCGAAATTAGCAGTGAATGCCTTGCACGAGAGCGAGCGACTTGATTTCTGGCGATGGAACAGATTGGCAGAGGGGACTATGACCAAGACGATCGACACCAAAGCACCTACGCCCAATTGGCATGACGCTAAAACTAGTGCCAATGTGCTGGTCTGATCAAACTTGAGAATGTAGACAGAGCAGGCGACATGACAGCAAGCCATCAGCATCAAAATAAATAGCCTGGTAGTAAGTATGCTTGCTGTTTTGACGCTCAATTTGAGATAGTTGAATTCAGCCAGGGTAGCTGCTGTCATGAGCACAATCGCCACCAGACCGCCTAAACCGACCACCGAGAGTTTAACAGGCATATCTACAGTCGTTGACTCTTGGCTTCCATTTTGCCTCTTTCTGTCCAAGTAGATGAAATCCACACTAGCAGCCATGTAGTACCAGAATGAAGCAGCATGAATGATCCACACGCGAGAGAAGTTGAGCAAGAGATGAAACCAGGACCGAGTTTCATAGAATGTCTTGTCAAAGGCCTTGCTCCAATCCACTTGGCCCAGTGAGAGATAGCGTTTCTCCTTGGGAATGTCTTTGAGATAGCCTCCGTTATCCAGCAGCGATAGGTTAGCAATAGCAGCTCGGTCCCAGAACAGTTGATTGATATCGTCATATCCGATGATTTGATAGTGATCCTTTTCACGGCGCACATAATGGCCCTTTATCACTTGGTATGACTGGTCTCTGATAAAGTTGTACAGTGGCGATACCACAGCATCGAGGAAAGCAGGTACAACAGCGCCAGGCTCATTGCCGCTTGTTCTGTAGCCTTCTGCAACGTAAAAGAGAAAACAGAGCAGTTCAGGCGTGTATCTCAGTGTAGCAGCTTCGCCCCAAATCAGCAAGTACAAGGCTAAATGAGCGACACGGTCATGATCAGACATGGATTCCATCCGTTCTCGCCACTCTCTCTTGGCCTCTGATAACAGCAGCCCGGTTGGACTGTTGCTTGGTGTATGGCCATCGTCTAGACCGAGGTGAGCAGCGAAATACCATTTTCGGTAATTGCTATGTTCACCACCAATGTAGTCTGCATGCAGCGTCCATAAAGCGAGTTGTGTTGACATACGAGCAGATCGTGAGTTGAGCATGGTGAGGAGGTGGTCGTACATGTTGCGTGTATTGTCAGACTGAAAGCCGTATTTCACTTGGTAATTGAGAAAGATGTCATGGATTTCTTGAGGCGTAATGGGCGCCGATGGATCCCAATGGTTGTAGTCATTGTCTGATTTGGGTTGCTGATGCGCCAGTGTGGATTCACTGTGCAATGATTTTTTGTCGTGTAATTCAGTGTAGATGGAACTCAGGGTGGGTTCTTGTGATTGTGATAATGAGAGATGTATCGGAACAGATGATGCTAATTGTGTTAGAGGAAATATGTTAGGGCATCCAGTTGCAAAGAGAAAAAGAGCGGGTGAGGTAACATACCATGATGGATATGTGCTTTTTCATGTCTATATATGTAATTCATGTCAGTGTCTGTGTATAAGGCATTCTACCACACAATTACGTACATTGGCTTGTCTATTGTCATTATAGTAATGGCAACTTATTGATCATTCAGGAAAAAAAGAAAGGGAAGAGAGAAAGAAAAAGGGAGAGGGTCAAGAAATGTGGATGGAAGAATACAATAAATGTTCCGTATCTCAATGTCAAAGACTATCATATGCAAATGCTAGGGGGGGGGGATGGGGGGGGGATAACGTTCAATATCGTCAAGTTGAAGGAATATAATTTCTCTATATGAGGTTACTCAATTAACTTGTAGCTATGCATATGTGTGTGTATTGCCCTGATTTATGGCATTCATGGATATTGACTCAGTCTGAAAAGCACCTCCGCACAAGCATCACTCTATACGCTGTAATGGATGCCCATATGTATGTAGAAGAGCACATTCGTTTATTCGTCTCTTTCACCATCCAAAGAAATAGAAGAGAGGCTAGAGATAGGTCATTAAAAAACCAAGCACTGTACATTCCAATGAACTCATCTACTAATAAGGAATTTCAACCATTCATTGTTGATACTAAGGGGGGGCTCTCTCTCTCTTTCTCTCTTTCTCTCTCTCTCTCTCTCTCTCTCTCTCTCTCTCTCTTTTTTTCGTCGTTAGAACAAGACCAAAAAAAAAAAAAAAAAAAAAAAAAAAAAGCTCCTCGACTATACAGATCTAGTCTGAGAACTATACTCTACCGAGAGCAACAATGACACTGATTCCATAACACGAAAAACACGTGGATCGTTTTCGCCGTGTAACTCTGATCAAATAATTCAAAAAAACTTCTTTAGGCCCCAAGAACCAATAATGGCTATTGGTTTGAATAGGAGCCAGTGCTCACATCTATTTTTATGAGCTTTTTGAGGTGATGGTGTGGTGCACGGTTGATGTTGCACATGCTTATTTTTATTTGATTTTTTTTTTTTTTTTTTCATGACCATCAGGTATAAAAGAGACAAATGTTGTCCATCATGAGGAGAAGGTTCTCTTTCTTTCCTTTGTCTCTCACCTTTTCTCCTTGACTCTATCTAAAATGAAGTTCTCTGTTGTTGCTTTCATTGCTGCTGCTGTCTCTACCGTCTACGCTCAAGCCGCTGTTCCTAACGCTGGTGTTGCCGTCAACTTGCCTGGTTATGGTGTAAGTATAGCTTTGTTGGTGCCATATCATGTACATTTGTATTGATGAGTTCTCGCTTCACCATAGGTTGTCATCAATGCTGGTACCACTTACACTATCACCTGGTAATTTTGCTATTATAGCTTGATTCAATGACATTGGGTACTGATACATTGGATAATAGGACCGTTGATACTGCCAGCACCAACCCCTCTACTGCCATCAACTCGATTGCTTTGATGAAGGGCGGTTCTGCCAACTTGGAAACTGCTATTCCCAACATTCTCTCTGCTGCTATTCCTGTTAACCCTCCTTCTTACGCATGGAACGTCCCTGCCAACGTTGAAACTGGTCCTTCATGTAAGTTGTCCGTCATTGATTTGGATGGGAAGTTTGTATTCATGTGTCAATTTCTTTGATTAGATGCCCTTGCCTTGACTGGTACCAACGGTGCTACCACTTACTCTACCTACTTTACCATCATCGGTGCTGCTCCTGGTACTACTAATGCCACTGTTACTTCCTCATCTGCTGCTGTTGCTGCCTCATCTGGTGCCCCCGCTGCCAGCAACTCTGCCTCTGCTCCATCTGGATCTGCCGCCTCTGCTTCTGCTTCTGCTTCTGCCTCTGCCTCTGCCTCTCCTGCTGCTAACGCTGCTTCTGGCATCAAGGCTGGCGTCATGGGTGTTGCTGGTGTTGCTGCTGGTGCTGTTGCTCTCTTGCTTTAAAGCAACTACATCCTTCACACAACTCATCTTTCTTGCCGTTATCTATAATAATATAATTCAATTGTAAAAGTCGATCTATACACACACTCATATATATATATATACACTAGAAATCATTTTATTCTAATCCTTTTAATAATACAGTTTACACCATATTCATGTGAGTTTAGCTTTTCAGAAACTGTCTGATCTTAGGGAGCTTGATATTCAACATTTCTCGGGAAAGGAGGAGTTTTTCGCTTGGGTAGGGGTATACTGGATAGATGTGGGTGATGGGTTCTTTGTTACACTTAATATTGCGTGTTACAGTAGAAAATGGTCTCCATTTCTATATGAATTGGGTATCACACAATCTATATTTACATCAAATAAACAAGGATGTTTCATAAGTTTCTTTTTTCGTATTGAACGATGCTATCCTGGAGGATAGCAAAATGCTCTTATAGCCTACATGCAAGTGTACTATTTGATTGTTCTCTTTTTGTATATATGTGTGTATGTGTATGTTTACCTGATGTACTGAATGAGGTGATTTGAAACGTGCTGTGAAGAACAAGAATTCGTTGAATTCCACTGTTCAAATATATCATCCAAATCTTAAATTGCAATTTCATTTTTTTTAGCTTTAGGTTTTATATGGAAATGAACCCCGTTTCGTGCAAAAATCAGACTTCAATCACACATCATAGTGTTGTTGGGTATTATAGTTGCAGTGCCATCCTCTTACAATCCATAGAACCATGCTGGTGTCAACCTGTAGCCATCATGTTGATTGCATCTTTTGTTTCAACATAATATCCAGATGCCGCCTCTTGATGTAGTTTCTTACATTGTGTGTCACTGACATACATATCTGATCACAAAATGTTGCAGCTATCCAATGTACTCGTTTTTATGGAGCATTTGATTGCACAAGTAGTGTGTAGAGAAGTCTCTTGTCATATGAAACCCCTTTTCGTTCACATAAATAGCTCTGGAAAAGAAAATTCCACGGAATAAACATGTACCAGCTATTGCTGGGAAACTGAGCGATTGGGTTTACTAAAACTAATAGCAATTATCCCTCTCTTTCTTATGTAAAAGCGCATAATCTGGCACAATGGCATGCATTGTCTATATCAAGATATTAGATTTAACATGGACAGATATTGAGAGCATATACCTGGTAACAACGCTGCAGTCGACACCCCCACTCAAAACTTTAAACACAATTCTCCATTTTTTGACCTAAATCAAAATGCACTACAGCATCTAGGATATTCTACATCATGTATTCAATCACCAAAAGAGTCTAAACACTCCAATTCAGGGGAAACGTCCAACGAAATCAGGCACATTTCAATACATCAGGGGGGAGGGGGCGCTAGATCTACTTGTACGCAATGCCTGACGCTCGAAAAATTGTACTCGACAAGTATATGGATCCTGTAATCATTGTACAATTTTTTCGCATCGACGATTTTCATCAATCTTCTCATGAGGGATACCTCATGGATTTCACCCATTCTTAAACGATCGCAATTTTAAGGCCAAAAATGAGATATTTGACCACGAAGTGCATATATCAGGAGAGACGCAGAGCGATGCTCTATCATCTGAAAAGATTTGTGTGGATGCTTACTATGGCCAAATTGGACTTTTGATGGAAAAAAAACAGGATTTACTAAAAGACAAACTTGCAGCCAATTGTTGGTGACAGAATTCTTTGATATTTACACCATTCGATTCGCCTTCAAATTTGCTATCGTCCATCTCATACAGTACACGCACGCTTTGTATACTCGATCTCGAGAAATTTAGCAAAATGCCGTCTCCAGATTCGGGTTTCCAGAAGAATAATAACTCAATAGTGGAGAATGAATTTTGATGCTGCTAGTGCTTGTGGGGATGTGTTCTGATCAGATAAAGGCTCTATACAACAACCTCCAAGCCAAGTAATTTCCCCTATTCATTGATACACATAACTCGGAAGCACACCATGTCTAACCTTAGACACTCTTACAATCCAGACACATGCAATGAAACTCTGTCAATGTCATAACCATGTTTGTTATTTTAAAATGTGTACATTAATATATTGTTGTATGCAACAAAGACAGCAAGAAAATATAACCAATTTAACGGTAAGACTTTTGGAAACGGGCACGAGCACCGGGACCACCAAACTTCTTGGGTTCACAACGACGGGGATCAGCAACGAGGAGAGTACGGTCATATTGAACGAGGATTTCCTTGATCTCCTTCTTGGCAGCCTCATCAACAAACTTTTGGTAGAAAGCAACAATGGCCTTGGCAAGAGCTTGACGGATAGCATAAACTTGAGAAGTGTGACCACCACCGTTCACACGAATTCTGATATCAGTGTTGGCGAAACGTTCCTCACCCAAAAGAAGGATAACTTCGTAGACCTTGAACTTCAAGATCTCGGGTTCGAGGAGCTCAATGGGAGAACCATTGATACGGATGAGACCGTGGCCACGCTTGCAGTGGGCGACAGCAGTAGCGGTTTTCTGTAGAGTTAACGAGTTAATATCAATCACATTTCAATAGTTTTTTTTTTTTTTTTTTTTTTTTCATCAAGAGAGGTGGTTTGATGTAGGGTGACAAGGTCGATGGAGTGATATATTGATGTTGGCGCCTAGATCAAGTTGACTGTCTACCATTCGTAATAGCATGGTGTGTTTTTGACTGGCTGTAACTCATTGATGTGGATGGTAGGCAAAGCACGTTTAGAAACTGATTTGCTGTGCAAATGCATGAAAAAGTCAACATGTTGTACTGTAGCAGCTAAATTTCAACATGATGGCATGTAGTTTTGATGTTTGAAAGCACCTAATGATGGTGTATATGCTGTTGTTGTGCGAGCATCGTTCATGTCCATCTGCCTCCCATTGACTCGTGTCTCCTCATCATCCACACCTCCCATTTCCATGAATCAATCAAACGAACCTTGCGACCGAAAGTTTGAACAGCTTCCATTATCTAGAATTTGGATGGATTGGTGAGTTGGATGGATTCATACGACGGATGGATATGGTCTTGATTATTATTATTTTTTACCTTGAAGTTAAGAGAGGGAAAATAACTGTATACACCAGGCTCATAGCGAGTTAATTCTCCACTCTGGCCCTCATTCTTCCAGTTGCTCCCCGCCTCTGCCACTTGCTCACTTGCTCATTTCACTTTACTATGGCTTCTCACTATCCGGGCCGGGTTAGCACATCCCTTCACAAGCATACTAAAGTGTGGGCCCACTAGTTGGGAATCACACAACAAAAGTAATCCAGGGCGCCAGACCCATATTGGAGATTTACTTGGTCTGTTGTATTCTTTTTAATATGGTAAAATCCTCCCATCAAATGATCCATCCATCCATCGAATCTCAACATTAATCATGTAATCCATTAGCCTACTAGATTACATCACAACAGAAAGAAGCGTGGACACGTCTCAGCTGGTCACGGTCGTGTTGGTAAGCACAGAAAGCATCCTGGTGGTCGTGGTCTTGCTGGTGGTCAACACCATCACCGTATCAACATGGATAAGTACCATCCTGGTTACTTTGGTAAGGTCGGTATGCGTCAATTCCACTTGAAGAACAATGTCAACTGGCGCCCTGTTGTCAACCTTGATCAAATCTGGACTCTTGCCGGTGAAGGTGTTCGTGAGCAATACAAGAACACTGAAAAGGTTCCCGTTATCGATGCCCTTCAAAAGGTATACATTGTAGTTAGTGAGCGATGAGAGAGCATGCTGTATTCATGCATTTTCTCTAAATAGGGTTACGGTAAGGTCTTGGCCAAGGGTACTATTTCTCAACCCGTTATTGTCCGTACTCGTTTCGTCTCTCGTCTCGCCGAGAAGAAGATCAAGGAAGCTGGTGGTGGTAAGTAGCTAAATCTTCAATTCAAGTGTATGTGTGTCTAACTTTTTTTTTTTTTTTTCATAGTCGTTGAGCTCATTGCTTAATTTATTCAAGCCATCTCTTTCGAAAATTCAAGCAATTTCAATTGTTCTCAAATAGATCCATGTCAATAAAGCTATACTCATGAAAATTTGTACATTTTACTCATAAAGATATTGGTTGAACAAGTAATTGTGGACTTGTGGATGAGATCGAGTCAGTCGTCAGTAGTGTATCAGGGAGAAGGGCTATTGTAAGAGGAGAAGCTGCTCTCATTTAGAGATGTACTATAGCACATGAAGGTGACAAGCGTTCTTTTTCCATTAGCAATCTTTTCTGATAGAATACAATGGATACGGGAAGCAAGTTAATGCGATAGTCAAATGTCCATCTGAGCATTTTCTTTGGCGAGATCAGTGCTGGATAATATACATACTGTAGATAAACGAATGGTATCCATGTGATATTTATTCATGTGCAAAAGGCATTGCTATGCTATCAATGTCAATTTGATGCTATACTTAACTTGAAACCATGCAGGTGTCTGATTGAAATCAAATAGATGCTGAGCAGTGATTTTCATTAAATGTTGACAGGCTTATATCATTTGACAGCCAAAGATGAAAAAGAGCCACGGAGAGTACCAAATCGCAGATGAGGCTGTAATAAAACAGCATGGAGATGGTATCCATCATCCAATGGCTTTTATATTTTAAATTTAACAGCATCAAAAGTTTAAGCATGCCAAGAGATGAAAACAGACAACTTGTCTGTTTGACAAGATTTGACCCAATGCATGTTCAACGGCCAAGATCCGTAGTCCAATCACTTTGTTTTCGTGGAAGATCGGCCCTCACGGGTACTGCGCCAAAAGATCAACGCTCTCCAAAATTCAAGCATTCCCAAATCATGTAAACAGTTCCTTTTGCCCTCAAATGCTCATGCTCGTCTATTTATAATCATGGAGATATATTCAAATGAACACCAATTAATATCAGCATCTGGTCCCAAATGGAATTCAAACGTAATCTTCATACTTGCAAATCAAACAGAATATTCCAAAGATGCTACATATTCTTGATCTGTTCTCGGCATTGTGATCATGCATTTACTCAACAGTTCCTAAAAGAATAAAACTGATCGGCGCATATCACCGGTTTATGAGGCTCAAATGTGCAAAACTAACATTGTTTTTTTCTGTTATGAAAGCATTGCTGCTTCTTGGCAATGAAGATATGGATTGTTTGTGTATTAGCCACTATGCTGATCCTACCTTGCATTTATACATGCTACCAATCTGTCTAGGCTCGTTGTACAATAAGATCAAGTGAATTTGTAGTACACTAGCTCAAACGTACACCCAAATGTGATGTGGCAAACGCCAAGACGTGCGTGTATAAAACTCTACAGAGAATAAGCAGAGATTATCGTATACAAGTACGAATCTGGAGAGATATACATCTCATTTTGATCCAATTGGGGTTTGATTTCATGCTGGCTATACAGTAGAACCAAATGATTCAATTGCACATTACATTGGAGTGCAGATGATCCGTCATTCTTGATAAAAGCAACACACTCGGTTGACATTCGTAGCAAGATACAGCGGCAAGGAGGAACTGTGCACTCAAATAATCCACAGAAGTAGACCGCAGCATGCTACTAACCATTACTAATTGGAGACCATAGGGGAATACATAGTCACCATACGATATGATGATTGGTAAAAGCTACTGCGCCTTCCACATAATAAAAGCGGGAACCAAGCGTCAAAAATTTTTATTCAACAAACTTTTGTTTACTCTTTCCTAACAAGTTAATTTCAAATGGCTGTTCGTAAGTATATAGACAACCTCGTTATCGTTAAGGACATCCACTGAGCACTGTGTCATTGATAGGTGCACAATTTGAGAATAGTAACGAGATTGGTGTATTCTCTCGTTTAACCAACAGTTATTGTTTGGTAGCCTTGGGTGGCTCTGAGAATTTCTACAGGTAAATTTAAGCTTTTTTTTTGGTATTGTGATGTTGGGTCAAAGTGCAAGAGAAACTGACAGGTCTCTGCAGTGTTTTTGAAGGTGAATTAGGTGATGTTATCCCTGTTGTTCATACTTCCATTGCTGGTACCCGTATCATCGGTCGTTTGACCGCTGGTAACAAGAACGGTTTGCTCGTTCCCAGCACCACCACTGATCAAGAGCTCCAACATTTGCGCAACTCGCTCCCTGATAATGTTGCTGTTCAACGTGTCGAAGAGCGTTTGTCTGCCTTGGGTAATGTCATTGCCTGTAACGATTACGTTGCTTTAGTCCACCCCGATATCGATCGTGAAACTGAAGAGATTATTGCTGATACACTCCAAGTCGAAGTTTTCCGTCAAACTATTGCTGATAACGTGCTTGTTGGATCTTTCTGTGCTTTGAGCAACCAAGGTGGCCTCGTTCATCCCCGTACCTCTGTCCAAACCCAAGATGAATTATCCTCTCTTTTGCAAATTCCTTTGGTCGCTGGTACAGTGAACCGTGGTTCTGATGTTATTGGTGCTGGTTGTGTTGTCAATGACTGGTGTGCATTCGCTGGTATGGATACTACCTCTACTGAATTGAGTGTCATGGAAAGCATCTTCAAGTTGCAAGATGCTCAACCTACTGCTATTGTCAACGAGTTGAGAGATACCTTGGTTGATACTTACTCTTAAATCATATGTTTATATTATTTCTTTTTTCCTTCCACTTATCCCCACAATCAGCCATCCACACATTACAACAACAACACATACAAATCTCGTTTTTAATAACCGTTTCGTCTGCTCATTTTTTTTTTATATATAAAAATTGTAATATACTTTTTTCCTAGAGAATTATATATATAAAAGCCATTCTATTTGTCTTTTCTAAAAATTGTTATCTGCATCCTAAAAATATTGCCTCATAGCATGATCCATGGGAGGGTTTTGATGCTTGATTCGACAAACGGCCAGTGTCAATGCGTCGTAAACAACACTTGCAGTGGCTTATTATTACGTGAAAACTTTTGACATGTCAAATGAAAAAGAATTCAGACATGTTGAGTAAAAAAAAAAAAAAAAAAAAAAAAAAAGGCAAAGTATATGGTGTGAAGACAATTTTTATTATACAAAATGACAGAATATAAATATATACAATTACCTATAACAATTATAGTTAGTAAACGATGATGATACAGATGTTGAATCAATCAATCAAATGTTATCAGTATTTTTCAGAGTGTAGGAGCTAGTAGCCATTTTCATCAAGGTTTTTATGAAGACCGTCGTGATTATATTTATCATCCTTTTAAATACTGATACCATTTGGTAGATTCTGAAAGAGACAATTACCTTTTGAATGCAAGTACCACACAGCAGAGCCTCCACTTCTTGTATACAAGAGTAATGCACAGCCTTGAAAAAGAATGACATGTTAATACCAAAAACTTGATATACGAAACATCTCGACCCAATGACAATTGGTACAAGGTAAGAAAAGGTTCAAAATATCAGACTAGGAAAAACTCTTCATAAGAATCAGACATATGCTTGTCTTTGTTTTTTGAAGTTCATCAATTAGGAGATTCTTTTCTTGCCCTTGAGCCAGCCATTATCACGGAGCCAATTCCATTGGAAGAGATAATTACCCATATACAAGACAGCGAGACCCCTCCTTTGATAGCAAAATGACAGACACAATCAAGCGGCCTAAGGAAAAAAGAAAAAGCAAGTTGGTTAGAACTTGATGACAAACATGCGAATCGATGACATTGATTCAATTAAAAAAAAAAGGATCTCAGTCTTTTTCTCCAAGTTTCAGAAAGGCATGAATGGTATTTAAAAAAGTTTTTTCGACATTGAACGACTCTTCAGACTCGTCATCTAATTGGGCTCATCATTTAAACCTTTGAAGAAAAAGACTGGAAGATCCCGCAAGAGAAATAGGCAGAAGAATAGGATATTTACCAAAGAGCCATCAAAAGAGCAGCAAAGCAATCGCATTACCCAGGCAGCAAGAACGATGAGACATCTGAGAAATGACAGTTAGTAAAAGTGAATCAAATCAAAATAAAATGAAGGAGTAAAAGCAAAAGATAATCAGAAAAACAGCCAATTTGTATCTACATGTAGTTCAGACGGTAATTCCAACTTTATAAAAAGTTCGATCATCATTTGAATCTTTTGCTTTTTTTTTTACTCCAACATCTCATATACAATGGATATGATGCTTACCATAAAAGCCACCCAAGCTATGCACAGCGAGATTTTTCATTTACATTAAAAGCAAACACATCAGACAAACAAGACAGACATCTGCACGAGAAAAAGATGGATATTAGTAAATGGTATTTTGACAGATACAAGCATTGCGTCTTAAAAAAAAGTATGATAAGATGTAGCATCAGGCATAAAAGATTCACATCAATGATCAGAAACTCTAGTTTGTTTGACTTAAAACATCTTTTGCGCCACCAGATCATACTTCTCGACACGGTCAATGTTGCTACTTTGAATACTAACCTTTTTGTATAATGAATTGATAGAGAAAAAAAAAAAAAAAAAAAAGAAATGAAAAGGAAATCATGTGGGCTGCCCTTTTATAATTTCCATGAAAAAATTTTCGAGCTCTTGACTTTAGACAGTCCCTGAGACAGAAGACGAGAAAGCCGTCAGCATATTAGATTGATGCTGTTTACAAACCCAGATGCTTCTTTCTTGTGTTAACATTTAGAATATGGACGCAGAAGTAGATTTCTACGAGCTTTTAGGCCTTGAAGTCACTGCCACAACAAAGGAAATCAAGAATGCTTACCGCAGAAAGGCGCTCAAGGTACATCCAGATAAGAATCCCAGTCCAGATGCAGGTACATTCAATGCAGCATTCAACACAGTATACTGTTCGACTGACCCCTCTTGCTATAGCCGTGCTCTTTCATGCCTTGACACAAGCACAAGATTTGCTGTTGGATCCGAAAAAGAGAAGCGAATATGACCAAAAACACAGAACCCGTCAAGAAAGACAAAAGAAGAAGCAAGAGATGGACTCAAAGCGAAGACACGCACAAGATGAATTGGAGAGAAGGGAGCAAGAGGCGAAACGAGCAAAAACAGATCAAAATCAAGCAAAAGCAGAATACGAAGCTCAACTTGCAAAACTGCGTGAGGAAGGTGCAAAGAGGCGACAAGAGGATTGGGCTTCTCCTGCTACTGAAGGGTCAACAACGCAAGAGCCAGGTAACATTCAGTAAAAGCATGTACAATGAACGTTGGACTCATCTGTTGCGTAGTGCCTCATGCAGAAACAGAACTAGGCGCTCTCAAGATCAAATGGAAGTACAAAAAGTACAATTTCTTAGAGCAGGATTTGTTGGACATATTGAACCCAATTGCAGAGGTGGATTCGCTTGCATTATCGTCGAAAAAGAAGGGGAGCGCTTCCGTGCTATTCAAGTCTGTGGTGGATGCTGTAAGTATAGCCATCCGCGATTCAGTCTGATTGCTAATGTGTGGTTCTAGTACAATGTCATGACGAAAAAAGAGACACATCCCTCACTATCACAGTTTGAGAGCATTACTTGGTTGACTGGTAAACCGCCTTCGATTGTTGAAAAGATGACTCGAGCAGAGGAAATGAAAAAGGAGGCCCGTGCTGCACTGTTTAGCACAAACAATAGGTCGACTGCGGCAACAGGAACACCTTTATTCACCACGGGATCACAGTCTTCGTTTTTCAAAACCTTTCATATACCCTCCAACTTGAAGGTAAGGCAGGAGTGTGTTTCATGTAAAGAGTGCCCGTGTACTGAGGCATAGTTGGTAGGGCTCCATGTCGTCCAAGATGTCTGATGATGATTACGAGTCGATTACTTTGATGAAGATGAGACAGGCTGAAAGAGACCGTGTTTTAGCGATACAGCACCAACAGCAACATCAACAGCAGCAGAGTGCACAGTAATGGCAATGTACATAAGACGCATCACGGGTAGACACTAGCATTACGCATGGCGATAAAAGCCGCCTTGATCAAATACAGTGGATCTTGCTTGAAATGTAGAAATAAAATGCAATCGCTGTATACGTTTTGGATGTAAAAAGGTGGATATTATCTTTATTTTGTCGGCAGAAAGAGGGTGGGTTATGGTATCATTTGAGGAACGCAAACTTAAATCAAGACGACGTGTTTTCCTCAATATCGTACTTGTCAAAAGCATCAAAATTGCATTGCACCTTGTGAATAATGCCCGTGCCAAAATCAGCTTCCATACGAATTTCAGTCAGGCCAAAATACATTCTACACAATTACAATGCATTAGCAAGAAAGTCCAAGTACAAAGCTTAAGTCTGACTCACCTGACAGTATACGCAATACGCTCCCCATGAACAACATCAGGTAGTTGTGGTATAGGCACAGAGATGGCGGCTACTTGTTTAACATTGGGCTCATCAAAATACCGGGGCTCTTTGTCCTCATCAGTGGCATACAGCATGATATCCGTCGCCTTCATGGTACCGTAATATACAAACATTCTTTCACGAATGCAATGATCTACTGGCAGCTCATCGCCTTTCTTGACAAACACCAGAAATCGTGATGTACAGCGAATACTACCATCTGGTCGAACTACGCGAGAGGAAATGGGATCCAGGTTGTCATCAAAGGGCAAACCTGCATTGATACCATATGTGCGGCGAGACACTCTGGATGTAATGACCCGTGGATTTAATCCAAAATAGACAGCACCACGCACCACTGCCATGGCAGCTCGTGGAGGACACAACACTTGATCCACCCTGGATTCAAACACTTCTTGTACGCGTTGAAATAGATAATTTGAAGAGCCAAATCCACCCACCAAAAATATGCATGACACTCGCTTGTCAGGTACAGCGCTGTATTGTTTTTCCAATAGTGCAATCTATCCAACAGAGAGCATGATTAACCATCTCCCTCACATATCCATCATATACACAATCACCTACCACACGCTCCACTACCGGTTCAAACACTTTCTCCTTCAATTCATCGGCTCGCAATGCCATGGTGCCCTCGTCCAAGCATTCATCTTCTGTATTCAGGTCGTCCAAGCTGATGGATACCGGCAAACTGATGTACTGGTCATCTAGACCGTCGAATTCCGGCTTGATGTTATCCACAAACTGATCCATCAAATTGTTCATGGCCGCAGCAGGTAAGGTCTTGGCTTGATCGCCCAATTTCTCTTGCATCAACACCTTGAACTTTTCATCCAAAAACACGCTGCCACAGCTCTCGCCAATGCCTTTTGTTACCTCCTTGAGTCGGTTGTTGCTTTGTATTCTGTCATCCATCACTTCAAACACAATCAGGTCAACTGTTCCGCCACCCGCATCACAAATCAACATGCGATCCCCCTTCTTCAGATTGACTTGCTCGCACATGCGTTCGCAGTAAAGTGCAGCAGCTTCCGGCTCAGATATCAGTATCAGTCTGTCCTGCGGGTCGTTTTGCTTGATCAATCCTGCCATCACAGCTGCTTTCCTCATTGAATGCTTTGCGAGATCAGACCACATGGCTGGTACGGTCAAGCAATAGCGAAAGGTATCAGGATCGTAATTCTTGGCGAAACCCTTGGTCACATCTTCCAAGACATGTTTGTGTAGTGCTTTCAGGTAATCCGCAATGTTGCTGACTGGGGATCTAGATGTTGCATGAGCAAACGAGAGATCATTATAGTAAGTGGCATAATGTACCTGCGGTTTTCAGCGATACCTCTATGCAGAGACTCATCGAGATTGAGTTTGAAGTTTGACAAAATTATGTTTTCCTTGGCAGCTTGTGGTTTAAGCATTAACTTCTTGGCACCATGGCCCCATTCGGTCATAGTGGAAGGATCTGAGCGTTTGTATGCTGATATAGAGGGTGTCTTTGGGTAGAAGCTGCCACCTTTGTGAGGCCTGCAATCGTCAATTGAGTATAATAGAAAAATAAATACATTGTGTGCCATGTTACCATTTTTGTACATCAAATACTTCAGGTGTGGTATTATGAGTAAAGGCGTAGGATGCGCCTGAAAACGTGGTTCCAAAATCGTAGGAAATCACCACCTTGTAGTTGTCCTTGGTGCCTATCATCTCTCTCTTTCTCTCTTTCTCTTTCTCTCGCTGTGTTGCTGTGTAATGAAGAAAGGAACAATTAAATGAAAAGAGACTTGTTCTTTTTATATCATTTGGTCCTTGGTCGTCTACTGCTTTTACTTGAATCGCCGCATGATGTTACTCAATAATAGGGTCATCATTGAGAAGATCAGAAAAGTACCACATCATCACACCCGTAGTCGATAGAATGCGAGAAACGCTTTGGATTGCAACACATCTAGATATTGTTTTTCAAGTAGGCAAACATAGATACATGCTTTCTTAACAACGCCCACAGTTTCATTCGGGATCCAGTTACACGAAACAGCGTGGCTAAGTGCTTTCTTGTAATACCTTGCATATGTATGTGATATAAGCCAACAGGTTGTCCATTGTATTTTCTATTTCTTTCTCTCCTTTCATATCTTTTTCTCTACAGTTTCATGGTTGCCCCTTTTCCAGATAAAGACTTTCCTATTGTCATTGGTATCGATTTCGGTAAGCCAGCAGTGCGCAGGATCCAAACCACAACGCGCTGACTTTTGATTGCTGCTGCACCTTATTCAGGTACAACTTTTTCAGGGGCTTCGTATGCTTTCATGAACGATAATGAAATCACCGATATTAGTAAATGGCAAGTAGACTGGTCAAGATGTAATTGCTGCGTCTATTAAACAGTAGTGTAGGCCTGGTCAACCAGATTACAGTTATCCAAAGGTATCTCCCTCCCTCCCCCCCCCCTCCCCTATAAAATGACATAAATGGATATCAACGTATTAACAAAATGTTTCGTCTCTTGTTTTGGCATCCAGTGCCCTACTATTTGCGTAAGTATATATATATATATATATATAAGCTCCTGTACCAAAAGCATGCTCTCATTCTTTACATTGCTACAGCTTTACAATAGGGATGATAACGTGAGTAGTAGCTATACGCAATACACCATGGTATAATCTCAATCCTCCTGTCTAGAAACTGATTCAATGGGGCAGATCTGCAAAGGCTGGCAAGTCAAAATATCCAAACATCACGATTCTGCAACAATTCAAGCTCTACCTTGATGACAACTTAGAGGGTGTGGTCAGACAATTGCCACTGGACCTCACAGCCACAGATATCATCGCTGACTACTTGGAAAAGTTCTTTGCCTACGTCAAAGTAGACATGACCAAAAAGGGATTCCATCAGAACTTTGAAAAGCAAGCTCGTTTTTGTTTGACGGTGCCTGCCATGTGGTCTGACAAGTCCAAGCAAATCATGAGAGATGCTGCGATTCAGTCTGGTATCATCAATGCCTCGGATCATCGTGATCGATTGATGCTCATCTCTGAGCCTGAGGCCGCTGCCCTTTACTGTGAAAGAACCTGCGACAAGTTCAATATGCAACATGGAGACGAGTTTATGATTTGCGATGCTGGTGGCGGAACAGTGGATTTGATTGTGTTTAGGGTTGAAATGGATGCAGCTGGAAACCGAAAGTTCAGAGAGAGTACAAAGGGCTTGGGTAAATCTTGTGGCTCCACCTTTATTGATAGAAATTTCAGAAAGCACCTCAGAAAAAAGCTGAAAAAGGTAATTCGACGATCTCCTAATGGTGCTATCGAGATTCCAGATGCTCCACTGGACCATATGATGGACATTTTTGTTGGTAAGTGTCTCTCCGTTGCGGATAGTGTATGAATGCGTGTTGTTGATTTCTTGCATCTAGACAATTTGAAGCCTTTATTCGACGGCACTGACGATCTATACTCTGACATTTCCATGGGCTTTGATTTGGTTACAAAAACTGAGCCTTCCATCGGACTAGATGAAGGCAACATGACATTTACGAAAGAAGAACTGAAAAAGCACGTATTCGATCCTGTCATCTCTGAAGTCGTACAGCTCTGTCGTGATTTACAAAAGGACACAACCAATCTCAAAGCAATATTCATGGTTGGAGGCTTTGGTTCTTCTGCCTATCTTTACAGTCAGATGGAAAAGGAATTTTTGCCCGAGAATATCAGAATTGTGCAACCAGATCGTCCTGGTAAGTCAACAACACCTGTACTCTTCTCTATTACATGGCATACTGACAGATGTGGTTAGAAATGGCTGTGGCTCGAGGTGCTGTCATCTTTGGTATGCATCCCTCCAAAATTGCCACTCGTATACCCAGATTCTGGTATGGCATTGAAATCACCAACATCTTTGATCCAGAAATCGATCCTATTGAGTACAAGGTTGTGAGACCAGATCGCAGTGTACGCTGCGATAATAGATTCTCCACTTATGTAGAACGCGGAAAGCCTTTGGGTAAGAGTTTTTCTTTCGTAGTTAAGACTCTGATTGATATCATTACTGACTGTATGATGCTATAGACATTGATAGCTGTGTTTCTCGTAATTATACCACCTATTACCCTAGCCATACAGCCTGTACTTTCTTCGCCTCAGATAGCGATACGGAGCCAAGATATACCATCTCCACACCAACAACTAGTGTACGAAAAGTGTTTGACTTTGAAATCCCAATGCCTGTTCTGCCAAACGTCAAACATGGTGATCCTGTACCTTTGACAATTAAGGTAAGACTCTATTTTGTGTATTAGAAGGTTTGAATACTGACAGTATTTGACTAGATGTACTTTGGTGAAGTCGAACTCCGGGTTGAAGCCGTCATTGATGATCAGACGTATGCCGTTGTCTGTAATTTTAATGCATAATAAAGCTCTTTCTTTGCCACACGTTACATGATTAATACCTTGCGTTTGCTGGAAAAAAGGCTGCAGTCGCATCAACATGCATGACAACCAAAAGTAAATGGTAACGCTGGTCACGTGATTTCTGGCAGTCAAAGCTATTACTAGCTATATATTATTTTAAAAACTGAAATAATGTCGTCTTGATAGATAGATCCCATGGTAGGTGTGGAATTTGAGGCTTGATAGACTAAAATTCACGGAAAAAAAAAGAGTAAAAAAACAGTAAAGTCAACTTGATAACGGTATGTTTTATTATCAAACTGACAGGTGTAAAGTAAACTGAAGTATCTCACTGTGATCAGGAGTGATTCACTCACACGATGTGCGATATAAGCGTGTATCTTTACTTTAGTATGTTTAAATGGTTGTTGATGTACATTTGAGCGCTTTTATTAAAAGATCCAAATAGCATGAATTTGAATGAGTGCTATTTGATGAATTTGATGAATTCGTAATAATAAGTCGATGATAACAATCAGTTGTCAACTGTATCTAAAACGAAAGCAAAAAGCTTCTTTATTACAGGTGTGGAATACATCCACTATGATCTGCATTCCGACAGTTCATCCAGTTACCAGATTTAGATATAAACTGTATGTACACTGGATTAGATGTACGATATCGATTTATACTATGATCATGAGAAGATATGGACTTCAGATACGCTAGTACTATAAGATTCATACTATATAAGATATAGGCTATAGATGGCACCACGGACATGGATGGCACTATAGACTTATACTTGTATTCCGACATTAACTACGGATGTTTACCATATCTGGATAGGCACCAAGATTAATGCAATATGAGCTTGTTGCTTCAGATGTGCACTTCATGATCCACGCTATAAGACACATGCTTATATCCGTGATACTAGCTACAGATACTTTATGTACTACAGACTTGTACTATATATGAGACATGCTATAGACATGCATACGATATGCTATAGACATGCCATATATCCAGATACATGCTAAAGATGTATGCTTAGCGATATACACTCAGATATGTACTATTAATATAGACTAAGAAGACTGTACCTATCGGATACATGCTACTAGATCGATATTAATTATCCTTATGGAAAGGATAGATCAGGGTACTTCGGATGAGAGTCTAATTATTCATCCAGACAGAGCTAAATCATGATTAGCTTGCTGGAGTTGTCTTTTAGCATGATTAGACATTAGTTGATCTGAGTTGACTTATTTGTCAATCTAATTAATAGAACTTTTATCCATTGTTATAGTATATAAGAAGGATCATCTACCTGGCCAGTAGAGAGACTTCAGTTTACTTTACACCTGTCAGTTTGATAATAAAATATACCTTTATCAAGTTGACATTACTGTTTTTTTATTCTTTTTTTTCCGTGAATTTTAGTCTGTAAAGCCTCAAATTCCACATTTTTTTCAACTCAAAGGTTATCACTTTTACACTTTATCTTATACTCTACATTTTATTATTCTACTTTAAAAACTATTTTTATCATGTCTCACAACCAATACAACGCTACCGAAAACACTCAAGAGGATATTGCTCAAGACTCTATCCGTGTTTCTTCTCCTTATGACTCATCTATGCAAGTGGATGAGCACGCTCAACTTTCTGCAGTTGATCATCTTCTCAAGAAGATTGACACTGCTCAGGCTCGCTTGGATCAGATCCATCGTAACGCTGGTGATACTTACACTGAGGAAGAACGCTTGGCGGCTGATGAAGCATCTGCGTCTATCGAATGGCTCAGCAAGCAAGTCAATGCGATTACTAAGAGGGCTGATTCCAAAGCAAGACCTGTCAATCTCAATGAGATCCCCCGTTTCCAGGTGGTAGGACAAGCTAAGCATTGGCCTGACCATCCAAGATTCACCACAGTCGATCATTTCTTCAGTGCTTTTGAGAACGTCATCAGAGCATCCGGTAATGAAGTAAATTTGGTTTGGAAACGCTACGTGCCTGTTTCACTGCCATTTGACTTCGAATCATGGACCAAGAATGATCTTCTGGCATGCAATGATTGGGATCAAGCCAAGGCATTGTTCCGCAAACATTTTGGTGCTCCCATCAACTCTGAGGAATCCATGGCCAAACTCTTCAGCATGCGCATGAAGAACAAAGATACTCTACAGGACTATACGAATAAGTTCATGAAGTACGTCAAGGATTGTGGCTTCCCTCCTAACAGCAACATGTTAGCCAAGTTCTATCAGTTCACGCTGTTACGCAAGAATCAGCAAATGATGGTCAACCAAATGTCCGTCAAGCATGGTTCCAACCACAAATGGACTATCAACGAGATCTATGAGTGTGTGTTGCCTTTGTTCCTTGTTGACGAGCAAAATCGTGGTGATGATGATGTTGAGGTCGACATCAGAGGTAAGTGTAAGGGTGGTTCTGGTGGTTCTGGTTCGAGAACAAAGATGGCAAGGGTATCTGCCACTGGGTATTTCTGTGCGAAGCATGGCGGGAGCAATGCCAACCACAACACCATTGACTGTAAGTCAAGATTGAAGCACTTTGGCTCTGACAACAAGCCTAACCGGGCTACTACTGCTGCTCCGTATTCTATGAATTCCTCATCCTCTGATCCCAAAACCTGCAACTTTTGTGGTAAGCCCCGTGCTTACGGTCATCGTTGTCAAGAGTTCTACGACTGGAAGAAGGAGAGAGAATCAAGGAAGAACATTGGTGTGCATACTGTACAAACAACCACTGTTCGCAAGGACAACAAGTCTGGTTCTGGTTCTGAGACCAACGATGTTACCATGGAAAGTAGCACTGATTCTGACATTGGTGATGCTGTTGGAGATGTCACCATGGAGGAAATAGATGCTTGCTTGGACGAGATTGAAGCAGAGGATGCCTCGCTCAACTGTAAGTCTAATGTGAAAAATGTACCTGAAAGTTTCAATCCATTTCAGTTACTGACTCCTATTATTTTAGAGAGCAAAGAAGGAAAACCAGTCCGTTTGATCGCGAAAGTAGATACGGGATCAGATTCCACCTTCTTAAATAAAAACATTTTTCACAATAAATTACTATTCACTTCCCAAGATATTATTTCTGTTGAAGGCAATTTGAACTTTCTGAGTCATTCAGTAAAGAGATTGGGTAAAACACCAGCTATCAAGATAAGATATCTTAATGACATTGCATTTGATCACTCGTTTGAGCTATCCAATTTTATTCAGGACCTAGGCGATTTTGATGTGCTACTGGGTGTAGACACATTGAGTCGACTTAGAATTGGGCTAACTGGCGTTGCTCACAAGTTTGCTGATATTGGACATCTTACAGAGGAAGAGAAATCAGAGCTTCTTGAAAGCATCGATTTCGAAAATGTCAATTTTGATACTAAACATTCTATTGATCCAGAAACCGCATCAATCTTTGAATCCCAAGCTGAGGAGAATAAGTATATGAGCAACATCCAAGATGCTATTGATGAGAATCAGAGAATCAAGCCTGGAACGTTTTGTAACGTGCCTGAATCTGAGATCACTATACCAATCAAGGAGAATGTTGATTACTACGTCAAGCAATATCCGATCGCACATCATGCAATGCCCGAAATCGAAAAGCAATTGAATGAATGGCTGGATGCAGGAATTGTAGAACAGTGTAGACCTAACGGCTTATTCAACAGCCCTCTCATTGCAGTATCAAAGAAGGACAATGATGGCAAACCCACCAAAACTCGAGTTTGTATGGATGTGCGGAGGATCAACCAGCATATGCCCAACAATACAAACCAATTTGAGATACCAAATATACAGGATATCTTCACCCGGATCAAGCAGAAGGGGACAATATTTTCGAAAATCGATCTGAAAAACGCATATTTTTCATTTAGAATTTCTGACATATCAAGAAATGTGCTTTTGTTCAATTTTAGAGGAAAATCGTATAGATGGTTAGGCTGCTGTTTCGGGTTGCGCCCAATCACATCTGTCTTTAGCTCTGTCATGAACATTTTGTTTTCTGATATGCCCAACGTGGAGGTCTATGTGGACGACCTATGCCTCGTATCTTCATCCTTATCCAGTCATTGCGAATTGATTAAGGAGGTGCTGAGACGCTTGACACATGCCAACTTAAAGATTGGTGTTGAAAAGTGCTCCTGGTTTCGATCTAGCATCTACTTGCTAGGCTTTGTAGTTGGTCCTCATGTTTCCAAGGTTGACATGCGACGTCTCTCTGACATTGATCATTGGGGTCCATGCAAATCTGCCAAACAGGTTAAACAACTAGCTGGTGTTATTTCATATTTGAGACCACACATCCCAAATCTGTCAAAACTGATGGCGCCTATTGATGCTCTACGAAATGATCCAGATGCTGGTAGCAAATGGACTGAGGAGCACACCAAACGACTTGAGATTATCAAGAAGGTCTTGTTATCTGAAGCTTTACTGACTGCACCAGACATGAATAAGAAATTTTATCTTGAATGTGATGCTAGCTTATATGCAGTTGCAGTCATTTTGACGCAGCGCGACGATCAAGGACGCACAGTCTATGTGGCGATGTTGAGCAAATCTCTGACCAAATCCCAACAGAACTGGCCTGTCCTGAGACGAGAACTGTATGCCGTGTTATTCGGTTTAGTTCGTTTGCGACCCTTATTGTACGGGCATCCTGAGATTGAGGTTATGACAGATCATCGAGCTCTGATTTATATCTACACATGTAAATGTCCTACTAGAGTCATTCAAAATTACATGGAGATTTTAAACGAGTATCCCCAACTGCAATTCACTCATATCAAGGGCTTAGACAACATCTTACCTGACAAACTTAGTCGCTTGTATGAACCTTTAGAAGATCATACAGAGCTGGCGGGAGACAGTGATAAGAAAATTGCTAAATTACAAAAGAATATCATGAGAAGCAAAGGCTCCAAGAAACGATTCATTGGCAACAATAAGCAAACAAAGCATTATCTAACCAAGAAC